TACAATTTAACAACAATCATATATTCTTATTACTTTAAAAACAATTATCTAAAACATATATTAGTATTGAAGTTTAACAAAAGGATAACAAATAATTTAGATAACTGGAATACGTAAAGGTATCAAACTCAATTTTAACAATAAATTCATTAGGAATTCTATTCCATAATCTGAATGGTTTTAACTCGAGAAAATTTTATTTGAAAATAGATCATAAATTCTATGGTTGCTGTGAAGTATTGTTATTTGACAAAACTTAACCAATCTATTTATAAGCAGTTAGAATTAGATCCTTTTTTATGAGAAGAATAGATGGATGGGTTTGCACTCAAGAAATTAAAGTCCATTCTTTAGATTTTGTTTTATTAATGTGGTTGTATTTTTAAGAGGATGAATTGTAAATTTATTCATAAAATGGTGATTGTTGCGACGCTTAAATTTATATCTACTATAGATAAACAAAAAAATAAGAAATTTATTGGGTTTAAATGGAGAGGATGACATTCGGATGTGGAATGGGGAAATTATGGGGAGTATTTGTAGATCTCTTGTGCCTTTTTAACGATGATGCTCTTGATGTTTATAAAAGAGAATATTAATCTTAAGACTACATACATTTTGCTTCTTCTAAGTTTAGGTAATATAATTATTCGACTTTTTGTTATTTTTGTAAAACAAATTGGTATTGCTGATGGAAAGAGGTGACAGCATCGGCGTTCTAAAATCAAATTAAGAGAAAAACATAGGAGTTCATTAAATCAATGCTTTACTAACTTTAGATGAAAAGTTTGTAGTTATTTGGAATTACCGGTAAACTTTAATCACAGACATATATAAAATTGATATTCTATCCCCCTTAGTAACAAATACCAAATCAATCTTGGATATCTACTTTGTTCTAATGAACTCACTCTTTAGTTTAGTTTCATAAATCTTAAGAAGACTGATTATCTTAGCATAAAGTAAGACAGAATTAACCCAAATATTAATAACATAATCAAATTAATTTTAATCCTTATTCAGATTTTATTGAATTCTGATATTTTTTCATCCATAAAATTTTCCAACACATTTCCACTTAATCTTGATGCTTTAAATTTTCCGTTATTTAATATTATTATTCTCTCTCTAAGAAATTTTAATATTATCTCTTTATTAGTCATATTATTTAGAAAATTAACCCTCATATCATCTTTTCTGAAATCAAACAAATAGTTAAGAAAATCTAATATTATAACAAATAATATTTAGCTATTTATCAATTACTCAGCTTGTAAATTTAATCATTCAATCTAATGTTTCTTTTCAATCATTTTTTTCTGTTTCTTTAATCTAGACTTTAGATTTCTTAGAAATTCCTAGCTTTAATCTTCCAAAAGATGTGTTAAATGATAATATGATCCTAAATATAAATTTTATCGATGCTTGATATCTTCTTTGTATAATATGGAAATTCAATCTGAAATTGATTTTTAATTCAAGAATGATTGGGTTGAAGTGTGTATACAATTTAATCATCCAATATTTATCTGGAAAGTGAAATTGGTCAAATCCCCCTTGTTTGCCAATCTATATAACTTAAAAGGAGCTCTACAATTATTATGAACTTGCTTTATCTATAAGCATTCCAATTGTAAATTCTGATTGCTTATTTCTATCTGTCATGACCTTTAATAAGAAATCTGCTGTTATTACAGCGCTTGTCCTTTTGGGAATATAAAATCCTTTGCTGTATTTGCCTCTTAAAGGGTTACATATAATTCAAAAATTTTGCGTTTTATAATTGACTGTTAAGAATGAAATTATAAATAAATTATGTATATTGAAAATAATACTAGATCTAATGAAGAAAAATTTGATTAAGAGAGTTGCAATGTTTGGATTCTCATATTAATTCCTATTTGCATTACTTTAAATTAATTTAAAAATCTTGTTTAAACAACATACTTTCTTAAGAATAAAATAAATATTATGTGAAAGCCTAATGGATTAAATTAAAGATAAGAAAATTGTTAGGGAAAAAAGTAAAATATTTAAGTTCAATAACAAATACTCTTCAGAAATTTTTGATAAGATTAGTTGCATAATGTAATATACAGTATGGTTGAAGGAATTATAAGTTTATCTTTGACATTGCATCAGTTCATAAGGAATTCTCAATTTAGAAGGATGTCCTAAAATATGATACTCATATCTATTAACCTCCATTAAGCACGCAATTAAATTCAATTGAGAAAGTTTGGAGAGAATTAAAAATTCACTTAGCTAAATAAGATCGTAAAACAAACCGTAAACTCAACTACTAAATTCATTGCAGCACTAAAGAAATTAAGATAGCTTTCTTCTAAGCTATTGCGATTCTGTATATCCAATAGTAGAAAATTGTTTGAAAAATAGGAATTATGATTTATAAAAATAAAATATTTGATATGAATAATAATCTTCATCGTGATCCAATTGATTAGGAAAATAAATGACTAAATCGCTTCTAATTGAATTAATTCATTTAAATCATTATGGAAAAAAAATTTGATTAATGTCGAATAGTTTATGTACAAAAGAACTTCGTATTTAGGCGACTTGTGGAGATGATGATTAAGATGCATGAGAAAGTTAAAAGAAATAGGTCATAAAATTGTAGAGTAAGCCAAAAAAGAAAATAAAGAAATAATTTAAAGATAATTGATTTAAAGGTGAATTATTTGTATGTAAAATTAACAAAATTCTCATTTTAAATTGTTTTGATCATAAATCTATTAAGTAAAGGTTTACATAATTTCTTCATTATTTTTATCTCCTTCCAAACGTATAATCGTAAGAATAATAATTATATGAGAGTGATTATTAAATCGATAATTTATCATCATCTAGTGATTTTTTAATCATTATTGTTTTATTTTTATTTTCTATATTAAATAACATATTTAAATGTAGATTTTTAAAATCAACGGTATTAATATAATTAACTCAATCCATTTTTAGTTGTTCAAATATTTATACATGCTTTTTTATATTTTAGATGGATCTAATTTTATAAATAAAGTTTGACAAAGCTAGATTGTTAGAGTGACCACTACCATAATATTTAACAATTAAATTAAATCTGAATTTTATCTTTTGAAGGATGGTTTAAGAAAAAAAAATTGAGTTTATCAAATGATAATGTGAAAAACATATTTATTATAAAGTATAAAGTTTGATTGATAACATCAAATAAATTTTATTTAATGTTAATTTTGTTTTTCCTTAATTTTAAATAGATAGATTTTCAAAATTCAATAAAAGTAGGTCTGCCTAAAATAATACTTAAAGCAATAAATGCTGGTGTAATTATTTTTTAATTTATTCAGGTTTAATATGCTTAAAGTCAAAGTACGTTAGGATTATTTTATAATATTGGTTTAATATTGATGAGGAGGAAACATTCAATCTATTTAATTTAAATTTTTTATTTAATCCTTATTTTATAAAATTAGTTAATCACTTGGAAATACTAAGTCTTTAGAGTCTAATTAAAGGGAGGTTAGTTTAAGTACATGTAAATATAAATGAAGAACAGAAATTAATAGATTAATATTATTTTATGTTAAAAATGTAGCAAAAAATGTATATAAAGTTTATAATAAATGTATTAAGAATTTACAACCTTAATTAATGGAATGTGTAATTAGATTCCAAAAAAGAATATTGCTGAAGTTTATAAACATAATAAGCAAAGATAATTGAATTTAGTACAAAGGAAGAGTTGGGCACCATCTATAAAATACTCAATGTTTTAATCTAATTACGGGACAAATGATTATTAAATTGTACCTTAAGAGAGTTCAGATTCTGAATCTATAGTTTTTACACCTTCATAATATCCATCATTACATAAAGTTGCTTCTCAAATTATTATGATTTCACAATATTCCCAGATTCCTTGTTCAACAGTATTGAAGGATGGTTTAAAATCTAAATTGATAATTAAAAACATTGATGAAAACATTGATATTCAAAAATTGTAGGAATTTGTGGATAAACTTCCCATTAAGGGTTTTGTTTAAGAAATCAAATTAATATACTATTAATCAAATCCATGCTTATTATTTCAGTTGAAAACAGATTAGCCATTAATTGTGGCAAATCAATTTATGAGTAAACAAAATTAGAAATAAGCAAAGTCAATCTTTGGTTATAAATTTACATGTGCTTAATTGGCATTGATGAATGAAGAATTTGCTGCAGTTATATTAAGAGGTCTTGATAAAACCATTAGTACTAGTTAAATAGAGAAGATTATTTCTTATACATTGAAGTTGGAGTAGAAGGAGTGTATCAGAGAGACTCAAAAACATATAATCGAAATAGAAAATGTAGGGTGTATTACAATTGTTCTTAAAGATTTGGAATATTGTGAGAAGGTTGTTATAGCATTTAATGGGACAAATTTGAATGGATTATAAAAAAATAAAATATTAGTTAATGTTCATCCTGAGTCTGTAAAGGTCCGAAGAATCGATCTTAGTCAATCCATTTAGAAAGGACTATTACAAGTAAATTAATTAAGCAATATATAGAAAATAATCAAGGTTAATGAAGAGGAAATGAATTGACAATTTAATTTATTTATTTTATTTTTAGATTTCCCAAACACTGTAGGTAAATAGCAAAATCAAAATGAAAACTCTTTCATTGAATATGCATATAAAAATTAAATATTATTTTATTCAAAATGACAGCCAAAGATGTTATTATGAAATTGAACAAAGATGCAGAGTATAATGCACTCACTGCAGATTTTTAAGGAAATGATACTAAATTCGTTGGAGAATATGAAAATGTCAAAATTCCATCAGATAAGAAAGAATTCATTAAAGATGCTTTTAGAAAAGTAGCCACTGCCTGTAAACCCACATTAAAGAAGTAAAATTGTCCATCTATTTTAGTCTGTCTCTGAGATAAAATTGGTTAGATTTATAAGATAGAGTGTATAATAGAGCATAATACTACACAAGTATCAAATAATAAATAAAAATAGCTGATGCGAATTCATGTATTAGTGATGCCAGAAATGTAGCCGAAGTTAATGTCTGCTGCGACAATTATATTCAAAGACTCAATAATGATTTCTATAATGATGTCTTGCAAATATTAAAAGATTATTGAGATATTTCATTTATTAAATAAAAACAAAAAACCAAAACATTTATTTATGAATTTATCGCAAAGAAATTAGATTAATTAATTTGACTTGGTATTATAAAGTTCAATAATTTCTATAGATGGAATAAATTATATTTCAAATCATATTCACAGGATTTGTAGCATGATATAAATAATAAATAAGTTTTATTTGTGCAGAACAATAAAATTGAATAAATTAATGTTCAACAACATCCACCTCCTTACTTTTTATCTTCTGTAGCATTATTTGATTTTAGTTATTAAGTTTAGCCCTGCTATTACTCTTATTATTGGACCTTCTATTGAGTTAAATTTACGTTTTACTTTTTATTAAGGCTGCTATGATGATTATTATTCATTTGGATTTCCTTGCAAATCATAAGATAATTTTTTAAAGAATTCTGCTACATTATGTGCACTTTTAGCAGAAACTTCTGAAAATGATGCTCCTAATTCCTTGAATTGTGAATTTAATATAAATACTTTTGCTTTTGCTTCAGCTACATCAAATTGAATTTGCCTTTCTGACTCTAGATCTGTCTTATTCCCCAAAATATAGATTAAAACTTCATCTCCTCTTTCATCTTTCACATCCTCAATCCATTTCTATAAATCTTAAAAGGATTTCTCATCTTTTTTATGAAAATATCACTTACTTGTGATATCATAGCATATAATGGCGGCTTGTGAATCTCTTATATAACTAGGAATAAGAGATCTGAATCTCTCCTATCCTGCAGTATCCCATAATTAAAGTCTCACAGATTTGTTATCCACTTAAAGCGTCTTAGATATAAAATCTATGCCAACAGTAGGCTATTATTATTTGAATTATAATTACCTATTCATTGCCTGTGAAATTGTCGAAAATAAATCGATTGATTATTGATGTCTTACCAACTGATTGATTACCTAAGAACACTATTTTAAACTTTTGCATGGGTCCACTTGTTGTATTTTAAGCCATGTAAATTCAAATAAATATAATATTTTCAATATTTATAATTCCCTAAAATTCCAAACTATTTAAATTAAAAAACATCGTATATTTCCTCATCATCTGTAGACTATCAATTACATTACTTATTTCATTCAATATTTATATGAGTTGTGCTTTTAACAATAAATTTAATTAATCTGTTAAACATGCTTAATACTTATCATACACCAAAATAGACTTACAAATAATAACCATCAAAAATCTGTTAGCCTATTCATTAAAAAAGCTTAACCTGTAAGTCTCTTTCCCCTTAAGAACTATAAATTCCCCATCATTATAACCATATCAAGGATGATCAAGATCCTTCAACTCCACAAAAGATTAAACTAGCTTAGGGTGTTAAATTGTTAAAAATTCCATCCTAGCTGAATGATAATAGTTTTAGAGGAAGCAGCTCTAAAAATATCTTGACTTCCGATAGTCCCCTTATCACTCATAATAAGGAGAATAACTCAATAGGTAGAAGAATCTGCACTGAATCAGGTGCACAAGATAACTCAACTTCTGTAGTTATTCAAGAAAATAAAAAGTTGAATGAACTGATTTAAAGGTTATTTAGGGAGAAATAAGAATTAGTTGCAGTTATAGAAAAATAAAAAAATTAACCATAATTTTAACTTGGTCAGACTGACTAATTTAATCTTCGAAGCTTAAAAGCAAGAATTGAGAGATTAGAAGCAGTTATTGATCAATAAAGTGAAGAAATCAAAGAATGGAAACTAAAGTATAAATAAGCATGCGAAGAAGACGAGAGAGTCAATGCTATAGATTAAATGGTATTATTAATTTTTATAATAGGAATCACAAATATTGAAAGTGGTTGAAGAAAATGAAAGACTGAACAATTTAGGATTTGATAAAGATAAACATATCTCTAATTTAAATAATGAAGTTACATCTCTTTAGAAGAAAGTCTATGAACACGATTAAAAAATTAAAGATCAATCCACTCTTATAGTTGCATATGAAGAGGAAACTAAAGAATTGAAAAAAATATATAAGACTAAATTAACGATGATTGAAAGATTTGAATAGCAATTATAAGAAAAGACAGAAAATTCTTTTTAACCCTTCTTTCATGAAAATTAATAAGGATAAACAAACAATAATTATTAAATAATTCTAGACTGCATAAAACTAATTGAATAGGTATTTACAAATTATTATTTTAGCAATTGTGTGATTTATCAACATAATATACTTCGCAAGTCTTGGAAAATTAAAGATTGTTCAGATAAAATAATAATTTAAAAGAAGAATTACTATCTTAATAGAAAGCGTTAGATGAAATAAGGACGTCTCAAAGAGGAACTGTTAATCCTAAATTTTAAGAAGTTAATAAAAATGTCATTTTATTAAGAGAAAAAATTACGCAATAAATGATTAAATGATTAGAGTTTCTTATTAACCAAATTATAACATATGTTCTTATTAAATAACTATTATTCAATATTTAAAATCATTTATCAATTGAATTTTAAAGTCAATTTCTATAATTAACATTATTTAAGACTAAATTATCTCTTTTTATGAAGTTAATGTATTTTATTATAACTAAAATTACATTTTAGGAAGAATATTTTATAGGATCTTGATAAAATTTGGCTTCTACTAAATACTATACCTAAGACGGCATAATTCCTTAATAATTCACATTGATATGGAAGATTTTCTTTTTGTTTATGCGTAAAAGTACATAATACAAGAGAGGGATAACTAGAGTGGTTTATTAATTCTATTTTTAAGAATATGTTAATGATTATTTTAAATTCAAAATATATATTAATAAATTATTTGCCTAATTCTATCTTAATTATTGTCTTTTTACAATATGCTCCAAATCTATAAAGCAATATTCTAGTGTTATTATAAATCTAATTTAAAATTTTTCGAATTAGGCTACAATATAAATGTCTAACATACAGAATTCACTATATTTATTTAGCCATAAATAAAATGAATTCTATAGGTCCAGATGAAAATAAGCCAATATTAAGAATATTTTTGGCAGGAATAACTTCAATAGCTGCAGGTGGATCTCCTTAACCAATTGATACTGTAAAAGGATAGTGAAGGAAAATCTGCAGTCAAAAAATATAGGAATATCCTTTGAGGATCATATGTAATTTAGTAAGAAGAAGGATTACGCGCATATTTATAAGGATTATCAGCATCATTAGGGAGAGATGCTACATATTCAAAATTGAGAATTGGATTGTATGAACCATCCAAGCATATGATATCTAATGATGGAAAGAAGACATCTTTTGGGGTCATGTTTTTGCAGATTAATGTCTGGATCAACAGGAGCGATTGTTGGAAATCCGTGTGAAAAAATTATTAATAAATATTTTTCAGTTTAAAAATTAGATTCTAATCTATTCCTGGCCATCATCAATCAGTAGATGCCGATATTACACAAATATTGCATCATGTAGGATTTCTAGGCTTTTATACTTGACTTGATTATTATTTGTTAAATTATAATTTTTAAAAAGATGTCTTAAATAAAAGAGATCATGGAAATAAAGGCACTATGCCTAATTTACTTAGAGGAAGAATTCTCACTGGAACTAAAATGGCCATTTACAATTAAACTAAACAATGGTTGAAGAACATTTTAATTCAAAGAAGGATTCAGTCTTTCGTTTGTATGCTCATTTGCTACAGGTATTAAACTGCTCTGATTAAGGATTAATGCTTTCAATTACAACTATACTTATGTACTTAATTAAAACCAGAATCATGTCATAAGATGCTGATTATAAAGTGTTTAATGGATAGATGGATTGTGTAATCAAGACATTTAAATAAGAAGGTTTAGGTGCATTTTAAAAAGGGTTCTTCCCTTAGTGGATAAGATTTGGAACATTTACTATTATATAGCTAATAGTTTTGGGATAATTACATACATATATGGAATTAGAAATATATGATTAATTTATTTATATGAATTTTCATGGCAGATTTGTTAATTTGTTTGTATTATAATAATCCCAAAAGTTGAGTCTGATTGGTTCAAGAGCATTGACAAATTTTTTGATTGCTACATAAGCTGCTTCATCAGTTTGATTGGGTCCAACAAAAGTTTCAAATACTTTGGTTCTACTTGGAGCAGCCAACCAAGCCGCTTTGGCAGCATTTCTTACCATGAATCTAGAAATATATAAGGACTGAATACGTATGGTAAGGTGCCAAAGCTTCATTGTATGCATCTGAACAGATATCTGAAAACTTTTTATTTCTATTTGTATCAACATCTATAAACATAATCTTCAAGTAATTAAAAAATCTTATGATTCTTAGCATCGTTCTTGCCATGGATTAGTAATTGGCTAAAGTCTATGAATAAATGAATGGGTTATCGTTACCTTATTTTTTAAGATCTCTTTATTGTTCTCTCCATTTAATTCCATCAATCCTTTTTACTTCTCTATTTATATTACTCCATAGATTCCTTTAGTTTATTCATTGTATTCATTTCCTCTATCCTTGATAATTTAGGCTTTTTCAATGACATCTGAGAATGCAAAATATAACAATTTGCCCAATTGTTTGAATAGTTTGCAAAATTCTACCAAAAATTCTCCTATTTAATAAGGAGGGTAATCTCTATTCTATTCAAAAAATTGATTAGCATCTGTCAACAATTTTAGTATTATCTCGTTGTCATATCTATCGTTTTAATCCATGATTATTTAATAAATTTGTTATTTAATTTTGAATTAATGGATTATCGAATTGGATCAGCCAGTATGAGTGATTTAGAAAGTGCCAAATTGGTAGCAAAGAAACTGTTTGAGACATATGATAGGGATAGAAATGGGGTCATTGATACAACTGAGACCATACCTATGATAGTTGATGCATACAAATCATTTAATAGAAGCTTTTAGCCAACAAGAGGAGACATTGATAGTTATTCAAAAGTCATGGACAGAAATGGAGATGGCAAAGTTACTTATCAAGACATAGAAGAATTATGCATCAAATATCTGTGTCCTCAATATTCTTAGCAATAAAGATAATAGGCTAATAAACCATAAGACCCAAGAATCGAAGTAGCAAGAAGAGTGTTTAGGAAATATGATACTGATAATTCTGGTTACTTGAATCTTTAGGAAATACAAAAAATGATGGCTGAAGCATACAGATCTATGGGATTATCTTAACCAACATACAAAGACGTATAAGCTTGGCTAGACGTAGCTGATACTAATAAAGATGGTTTTATATCTCTTTAAGAATTTGAATAATTTGTCTAAAAAAGTTTATGATATTAATTTTTAATTAAAAATTGTTACTTCTCTCACACATGAATCATTCAAAGAAATAAAGGTATTTTTTAAGTTCTAACTTCTTTAAAATTTTATCATTTATTTGAATGAATAGGTTTATTAAGAAACTAATTTCTAAAATATTTCTAAAATCGATAAGACAACAATGAATGGAATAGAATTAATTAATCCTAGATTGGAGATTAGTGAATTAATGAGAAAAGTAAATCAAGTCCTAATATATAGAGATCAAAAAATACTTCCAAATTAAACAGAGAGATTTTATGGTTAAGTGGTAATCATTGATGAAATTGAAGAATTTCAAGAAAATATTTATTGATAATTCTACTTTTATATTTTATTTACTGGTTCACTAAATTAACAGCTATTTAAAACGAAAATGTAATGGTTGATTAAAATACACAATTATTATAATTTTAATAAAAAATGTCAAATTGTGGAACTCCTTTGTGTCTAACTCCATAAAAGAATAAAGAAGTGAAGAGACGGAATGTGTTATTGAATGTCCCTGATGAGATGATAAACTACACTCCTTTGGAATAGATTACACTGCCAAAGAATTAAAGGATCAGATAATCATTTTCTAAATTTTTATGTGGAAATATTGATGAGAAGGAATTTGTCAGATTCAAATGTTTCCCTTAGAGCATCAATTAGCCAATATAATAAACAAAGAAGATCAGAAATAGACATGAAGATTATACAATATAATTGAAGAGATAAGCTGCTAAAGAGAGAGCCAAATAGAGATGGAAACGATTGGCAGAAGTATTATAATATAAGTATTGAGGTGGTACAATAAAATATTTAATTAAGAAGATAAAGTGATTCTAATTATTAATCAAAGATATTGAGTAGAATAGAATTGGGAATGAAAATTTAAAATTAATTGGCAGAACAATCAGCAACAATCGAAGATTTAAAGAGTTATAAATTATAGACAATGTTGGTATTAAAGGAGAAGAAGAAAAAATAGAATTAATCATGTTTTATATCACCAAAGCATTATTAATTTGAATTGCAAGAACTATTCAAAGAATAAAGTGATCAATATTTGTACATTTACCATAAGAACCTGCCAAACACATCAAAATTATCAGAAAAGGATTATAATCAATTACTTGACACTTATCTACATAAGAAATAATTATTTGATCAATATTTAGAGTAAAAGAAACAAAGGAAACTTGTCAAATGGAAACCAATGACAAGTACAAGTACGTTTTACAGTACATCAATGAGTTGTTAATCGAATGGATTAAAGAGAGAGTCTCCATTGATGAGATTGCAAAAAAACCCTCTGGAATAGTAGTAATAATAGAGATAGACAGAATACTTTTTAGTCAATCAAATTAATGAGGTTTCTAATCCAAAAATGGCAACAAGTATAGTTTCCAAAAAACATTAGAGACCACAAAATACAAAAGATAAATTAAAAGGAATTGTTAAACATAATAGAATTAAATCAATGGACTATGCAGAGAATGATGATGATGATGGTTTGAACATGTCTAATGCATCGATCACTGAAGCATTACTAGACTAATTGTATTTGGGATCATAGAAGTTATAATCAAAACTGAAATAGCAGAATGTTGTTCAAAAAAGAGTGAGAGACATTCTCAGACTTTAAGAAATGAAAGTTAATACAATCAATGCTAATTATTAAAAGCTAAACAAATACTAATAAAAACATTAATGATTATAATTTTATTATTCTTGGCCAATTATATAAATGCTGAGTCCCTGGCTACATAAAAAACAAATGATCTAAGGGAAATGCAATTGAGAGATGGAATAATTGAATTGAATTCAACTGGATATTTGTATCTCTTCAATATTAATTTTCAAGTTACTACACTATGGAATTTCCACGTCCATATGATGTCGTTATATACTTTGTAGCTCCCAGCTGTAAACTTTGCAATGATCTTAATGAACATTACTAAAAAGTAGCCAAATTCTACGCTGATTCAGGAGCATTATATAAGAGTGAATCCAAAAGAGCAGTCTTCTTTGCCACCATGACATTCAATGATAAAACTAAGCAAGTCTTCGAACAACTTGGATTTATTTCAGCACCTAACTTATTCGTCTCACAACCACATATTGTATTTGTCCCACAAGATGAAAGAGAAAGATATTTGAGAGACATGAAATGGACTATTTCTTATACAGATGGTACAGTCACAGCTCATAAATTCCTTGAATTTATAAATAAAAGGACCGCAAGATAGGTTGATTACAAGGCATCTACCTCTGAAGCACTTACTGTTATCGGTGTTCTCTTGGGAGCTCTGACAGTAGGAGCCCTGTTATTCTTTATAGCCAGGCCCTTGTTTCTAAATCCCAAATTATGGTTCGTTGGATCGATAATCATATTCATCACTTGTTTGGCTGGAGTCGTTTACAACATTATTCATAATGTCCCTTTCTTTAGCTAGAATAACCGAGGAGGCTTATAATGGAAGACCAATAGTGGAAGATAGTAACTAGGATTTGAAGGATTGTTCTTGAGTCTTGGTATGACTTTCGTTGGATTGACTATGGTGTTGATCATGAAACTAAAGGTCTTGGTCAGACATCGAAAAATAGACCCGTATTTTATTATTAAATCAATAGGTTGATTGAAAGATCGATATATCTATTTTTATTTTTAAGCATTTTCATAACCGTTCAATTCGTTGAGGAGAATTATAGACAAAAATCGCACTATAATCCTATTTATTGGCCACCAAAACATTATATCAAGGGACCATTAAATAGAGACTAAGGCAATTCATTTTGAGTTTATATTAAATAGTAAATTACAAATATTACAATCTCTTTGTTATAATAATAAATCCAATTAATTTTTATATGATATGTGCTCATGGCCAACTTATACAATTTTTCATTCCCTAAGTATCATCATTATTCAATGCTTCCATGAATTTCATAATGTCCATCAATTATCCTGAGCATAGTTTTTAGTATTCATAGGCTGAATACATCCAGAGTAAACATTTATTAATCATCTTTCTTATATTTTAATCTTTGACTTTGTCTTTGTCTTCCTTCAAGAACTTAATCTTCTGATATAATTGTTCATTATATAATTGATGTTCAATTAATGTAGTGAAGTTTTAATTTGTAATTTGTTCTGTGTAATTGTGGCTTTCTTTATAATTGTTAGATGTAAAATTATTAATGTAGTTTACGTAATCTATATATTTCTTTCTGATTTAATTTCGATCGCCTTCTACTTCATCAATCAATAATTTTACACTATAATTAGAAATAAATGAAATTACCTTGCATCATCATAGAAAACCTTCCAAATTTCTGAATCCACATCAAATCTGATATGATCTTGTTTTCCTAAGACTATTCTAGCATTCAACTTTTCTTTTAATTAATTTATCAGAATTGCTGACTACTTCAGAATATACAAAATTTCGAACCGACAGATCTCAATTAGATTTTGACTTAAAAAATCAGACAACTAAACCATTAACAATATTCCATTTAATTTATCTTTAATACCATCAGTTATCTATCTGATGCCTTATTATATTAATTGAGCCTTCTAAGAATCTAATTACATCTATTATTATTTCGCTCGTTCTTCTTCTTCTCTTCTTTATCTCTCCTCTTCTTCAACTTAAATTTATTAGCTAGATTTTTAAGAGGTATCACCATCAAATTATTTCATAAATTGTTTCTCATTTTCCATTATTATTATATATCTTGGATCAGTTCTAAATTTGTCAAATACGCTAGCTTTAAGTGCATCTCTTGCTGTTGTTCTCTAAATTATATAATTATTTATATTTACTTATTTAGGGTCTTTGGTAATCATTGATTTTAACAACTCTTTCACTCCATCTGAGACTGTGTATTTTTAATCTTCCAAAATATATTGCTTAGTTAGAATCTTCTATTAAACTTCAAATTGACTCTTTCCTATAAAGTATATTTCTCCAAATAGCATCTCATGGGTTAGCAATCCCAATGCCCAGACATCCACTTTTGAGTCGTATTAATCACTTGTGAAAAATTCTGGAGCCATATATGGAAAAGTTCCCAAATGAGTCTAATACATTGATTTTTATCCAGCAAATCCAAAATCTCCTAACTTGTAAACTCCATCTTTTATGAAAACATTTTCTGGTTTAATATCTCTATGAGCTATGTTATTTTTTGCTAATAATGCAAGTGCCTATAATAATTAAAACAAAATGAATAATGCTTCATCTTCTTCGAGCTTCTTTACTTTTTTAATTTGATCAAGTAATGTTCCTTAATTGCAAAATTCTAACACTATATAAATATTATTTGTTGTCTCCAAGCATTCATATATTCTATTGATAAATGGGCAAGCATCAGTTTTAGAAGCCTCTACTAATTCCTGTAATATTTCCACTTCCTAATGTATTTATTACAAAATCTCATCGCTTAATTATTTTATTAACAACTTACCCATATTTAGCCAAGACAGCTCTCTTGATAACTTTGATTGCCACAGCTTCTTGAGTTAATTTGTTTTTCCCAAAAAAAACTTCTGCAAATGCTCCTGATCCCAATTTATCATGTGTTTGATATTCGTATTTTTTTCCAACTGATTTCCTCTCACTCATTATGGAATTAATTATGATATGTATAAATATTTTATATTAAATCAATATATAATAACTTGTAAACTGATTTAATTCTTTGAGTATATTTGTCAACTTTATTCTATAAAATGATAATGAAATTCTATTAAACCTTTAAAAGTCCTAACTTTACAAGGTTTATTCGATTTTTTCGATATGATATTGTTAAACTGAAATGATAGTATATTTTCTTATAGATAGAATTGTGAAATTATAAATAAATATCAATGATTCTTTTAATTTTGTTATAAATAGTAAACAACATTAATATGAATCCCATTAGCTTATCCAATTTAAGAAAATCTAGCATATAGTGAATGATATCTTCAAAAAATTATTGAGTTATTTCATAATAGCATAGAATTCTACAAATCGATAATCATTATGTTTCATTCTTTTGAAGATTCAAATCCTTTGATATAGCATAAATCAGTAATTTCAATATCGAATTTATGATTTGAATAAGATAAATATATAAAAAGAGGATTCAAAAATAGATTTGGAATTTAGAATAAATATTGTCTGTTAATACATATACATATCAATTGAGTTTGAAAAGTTAAAGTTCATTTTTTTAAAATATATCATAATTCCTCTTGTTGTTGTGGTTGCTAAAGAAGTGGTTGCTAATTATCTGGCAATAATTATTGTCTACAATTAGGACATGTTGATTAAATTTATAGCCATGCAGAGATACATGTGTTATGAAAATGATGAAGTGTACTGCAAGGCATTTGTAGAACTTCATCATCAGTTTGATAAGGCTACATACAAATTGAACATTCTTGTTCTCCCTCAAGAATGTTAGGCTTATACAAAATCTTGTTCTTTTGTAAATCATTTAATGCCATCAATGCTTGCTATTTCTTTCTTCTGTCGGTGAAGCATCGAATTATCAAATATATCAAAATAAAAGGAAGCATAACTAATGCCAAGGCAACGAGCAAATAATACTACGAATATTATAAGAACAAAAACGATCCATAAATATAAGTTTGAATAATTGGCCATTTGTTACAATCACTTGCTTCTCCACTACTTTCTTAAGGAGTAGCTACAATATAGTAAATAGTCCAAATGAATATTGCTTAGTTTGTCACATTACTAAAGATATTATTGTACTTGCAAAATCTACTCTAATTAACAATCTCTTATCTTATTTACATTTGCATTACATCTGCCTTTTTATCTAATTCTATTGTTGATAAGTTTGCAGTAGGATCAAAAACTATGATACTAAAAGTGATATACCTTCTGGAGCAACTGGATGATCTGTCACTTCATTAAGTGGAACAAACACTATTTAAACATAATGAAAAGCCAAATGTTATTATATTGATTGAATATTTGAGAAATGAAATAATTATCCATATAAAACTAAGCTAAAAATTGCCTGTATGCTGCTAAATAACACCCAATAATGTAAATCATTCCACCCACAATTTTTTAAAGATAATAAAAATAAAATAATCGACATGCTAATTATTATGTACAATCTCTCAAGGAATAAAAAAAACACTCTTAATCTAAATTAATCCATAGCTCTTGAGAAAAGCTTTGTAAATTTAGGAACAGTATTCACTTCATTTTCATTATTCTCTACTTGTTATTCTCCGTCCTAATGAACATTCATTTTCTATATAATTTTATATATTATTTAATATATTATTAAAATGCTTCAATATTAAATCCATAAACTTATAACTTTTTCAAACTAGTAACCTAAACATAGATCCTGATTTAGCAAAAACCAAAATTAAGTACTGTTAGATTGGACATTAATTTATTTGATAAAATTAATAGATATACTAATCCTTTAAGTTTTAGAAGATGATAAATATGTCTTTATTGGTTTAAGAACTTATTAAATTTTAATACTGTATATTAATACTATAACTGTTCAAAATTCAATAATAATATTGAATATTGTATCTCTAATATTATTAATATATTTAAAATAAAAAGTTATTCTGGTTAAGAAACAATCTGCTAAGAATTTAAACAATTTACTAAAGTCTAATTTCATTTAAAATACAACTTTTCTTTACAATTCAAAATAAAAAAAATTGTCATTGTCTCGGGCAATTATAAGATTTAAAAAAAAATCCTTTATTCATGATGACATATAATTATGATACAAACATTTTATGATAATATTAATCAGTTCTATATAATATTAAATCAAAATTGAACTTCAACTCAGTTATTTCTTAATTTTGTAATATTATTAAATTATCAATTACATCTCTTACTCATTAGGTAATGAATATAATTTGATATCCTATCTTTAGATTGAAAAGCTCTATCAATATAGGTTAATTTAATACTTTTTTTAACAAAGACAAAACATTAATGGCTCTTCGAGAATCAATCCATTAGTGTTTTATTTTTGCTGCGTATTCTTCAAACAATTTATTTATAATATGTCTAAAATCAAAACCAACATTACTGTTCAATATTTATTCTAGGTTTTTAATCACTTCCTCTTCCTTAATATAATACATAAATTTTTTCTTTGAAAGCCTTAATAAATTTATCTTTAAAATTTTTTCTAACTAATCTGAGTTTTCTATAATTTCTTTATATGCATTTTACTAATAGTTTGGATCATATTAATTACTTTTAGAAATCAATTATATATGTTTGTTAATAAAGGTTTAGTAAAGGATGATATCTACTAAGAATTAGCTGAATATTTTTTCGGCTTTTGCAACACATTTCTCCTAGATGTAAGAAGTAAAAGTAGATAAAGCAAGAGAGGATTTACTAAGAGATCTTATGAATGGATTATCTCCATATCTTCTTACTTCAATCAAAGTCTTTGTGTGTAATTACCAAACCAATAAGTTAGCTCTCGCTGCAATCTTATACTTGCGTCTCACTTTCTGGAAATAATACAAATTTTACTTCTAATCTTCTATGGATCTATTTACAGAGATTAAAGATTGTTGTTATCAATATCCAATTTTTTTTTACAAATATTAACAATTGCAATTCTTTCTAATGAATTTTTTCTACTTCCCTGAACTGAGCAATCTAATCTTTGACCAATAATTTAATTAATTTTGTTTATCTTGCTTCCTTCTGGATCAGCTTTGATCTCTTAATGGTTTCCTAAGATTTTGTATGTTTATCTCATTTAGTTTAATTAATAATACGTTATGCTTTCATCATTTCATCTATTTTAGAATACATCTTAGTTTTAACCATTTCAATATTTTAGAGTATCTTATCTTTTGGATGAACTGTTTTTCTTTCATGAAAGATATCAAAATTGATTATTGATTATACAAACTTTTATCCATTCGATGCTGTATATTACTCTCCAAAGGTTATCTACATACCAATGATGGCATCGAATTCGCTATAGAATGTTAAGTACACATATTCATCAAAAAACAATTTTGAATTCTGTTTGGAATTGATCTTAACAAATCTACTTTGAACCGATTGGTCAGCATTGAATTTATTTGGGAATTCTATTGAAGTCGAAACAAATAGCTTGTATGAAGTGCTTGTAATTTTTGAAGGGAAGTTTAACAAGATCTGCAATGGAGCTAAAATTTTGATTTACATTCACTATTACACTATTTTCCTTTAACTCTTATCCTAAAGTAATAAAATCTAAATCTGACTATTTAAACTCTATTAATAAATTCGATTTCAAGATCTGATTGTTATAATCCATCAAAGGTTTTTAATAACTTTTTCTGTTGTTATATAATTTTTGGTTGCTCAATGATCTTTTATTTAGTTTCAATCTTCGTATTAGTTTTGTCTATCTCTTGAATGGCATTGTAATTCTTTTCAAATTCATCATAGATTTCAAGAATGTCATTATCTAATTGTAGAAATTGAGATTCAGGATGAGAAGATGTATAAATTTTTGATCTAGTTACTTATGATTGACTTTTTGAAAGATGTCTCATAGAACCTTACGTAGTACTAACATTAATGTCTATATTACTGATAAGAAGGATTAGTTATTTTTGATAAGCTTCTCTCAATTTGACTAAGCTAGGTAATCATAAAAAATATTTTTATTGTTATAAATAATATTGTATTTGTTTATTATTTAAATAATTTAGGGTTATTATAGGGTAAATACTTGCAGTTTTCTTTTAAAATTTATAAGCTATTCAACTCAATATTATCAAAATTGATCAATTATTTAATTTAGATCTTTTGCGTAATTCACTATTTTATTTCCTAATTCTTTATAATTTAACATTCTTTTAACCTGATTTTTTTGTTAATTATATTCTTTCAATAGTCAATCATATTTTAATCATGGTTCATTCATTATTTAGGAAGGAACATACTCATTTATTAAACTTAATTTTAATTCTTTTGAATTTTAATACCAAATTAAAATTCTCCTTTTTCATTATTATTTATTGCAACATCCTACTATAATATTCCTAATCATTGAATATTTGAAGATTATCAACAGCATGAAATTAGAAAAATATATTTTAAGAAAACAATAACATTCATTACTATATTGATATGTATTATTATTAAGTGTGTTTCATTCTTTATGTTATAGTAATGCTCTTGTTATTTCAGTAAGTAAGGATGGTTGCAATTCTAGTTTTTCATATTTTGGAGTTTCAGATATAATAGAAATATTCTTGAGCAAATGATTCATGCAAGCATTTTTGAGTGAATGAGCTGAGCATTTTTATGCAAATATTAATAGATCGCAGACTGTTTCATTATTTAAGTACTTTTTAATACTTTTTTGCATAAGATTTTTAAGGCCATCAATTAAATATTGATCAGCCAAACCTATGATAGAAATAAAAAGTACTTAAAATCTCGCCCATTAATTCAATATCCAATTCAGCCACATTAATAAATCCAGTGTAAACAAAAAGTAGAAAAATATAGAAGGATTTATAAGTGTAATTTTCTACTATAAATATACGTTAATCGCTTTCTTTCGTATCAGAGAAAAAGAGAGCTTTGAACTGAGGAGATTGAGCAGCCAAATAAACTTAAATTTAAATATAAATTGTGATTACTTTTATGAGCATAAATCTTCTAATTACCAATTTCAAATGCAATGTCACTAAGTTCTTGGTTATTAAATAAATTCTTATGAATGTTTGAAATGACTCTTTAATAATTTTCTTCTTATATAGTTCGATTTTCGAGCAACCCCACATCCAAAACGTAGAGATCATTCAACCATTTGTTACCATCAAATCCACCGAAGATATATATCAGGTCATTTTCTAACATTTGAATAACAACTATTACCTGTGGCAGTTGCTGAATGTCTCTGTCTAGGTTAGGGTATCTATGACAATGCTACTTCCTCCATTTATAAATAAGTTCCAGTTCCATGATGATTCGGAATCACCCACTAATATGTTAAAAAATTAAATATAAAAAGATCATTTGATCTGCCTGAACCATCATACCCACCGAATACATAGATATTATTTTAAATTAAATTGGCTGTATGTCCTCTTAATCCCTTAGGTAAAGTTCCTTTAGTAACAACTTAAGTCCATTCCAATTTATAAGTGTTGAACACATGAAGATCCTACAAATGTTGTGCTCCAGAATGGCCACCAAACAAATATAAATTTTCCTTATATCTACTATAATTATTTAGTTACCTGGTCATTGTATGCGCATTTCTAGCAGTAGGTATTGTTCCGATCACACTTGGTTAAATCCATCTATTTTCTTAAATGTCATATATTTCTATCTCATTAAAGCATTCTTAACCATCGTAACCTCCAAACAGGTAAAGTTTTTTAGAAACTATATTCAAAGAATGACAAGCTCTAGCAGTAGGTATCTAACCTTGTGGATGTACCTTGTACCAACTAGCTTATCCGTGTTATCCATTTGTCTCTAAATAATAAAGATCATCTAGCCATGTATTTCCATTATGTCCTCCATGAACATACAACTTTGTTTAATAAACTGCTGTTGTGTGATTGTTCCTATAAGAAGGAAGCTCTCCATTTGTTTATAACTCTGTCCATTAATTTTGATTCAGATCATAAATGTGAATGTCTGCAAGGGCATTCATTCCATTCCATCCCCCAAAAATATATAGCTTTCCCATAATTAAATCACAAGAATGTGCTGCCCTGTCACCAGGCTATTTTCCTTAAGGATCTATTTTCCTCCAGATCATTCTATTGTTATTTTACATTATTATTATAATAATCACAAATTTCTCTCTAAAAATAAATATCTAAAGAAATCGAATCTCACAATGTCTTCCTTTGGGTCTATTTCCTTTACAAATTCACCCTAAAATAGATTTGCTGCAAATCCAAACTCTTTAAGTATTCCTCCTAATGTTGGCTCAACATTATATTTAAATATCTAACATTTAACATAATTTTTGTACTTTAACAAAATTACTAAACTCTTTAATACTCATATATCCTTTACTTTGATCAAATAAGTTCCAATAACCGTATGAGCAAATCTCTCTAAATAATAGGTCTTATCCAAGAGATCTTTCATAAGTTGCTAAAACTTTTGTTTATACTAAAGTTGCTATTTCTTCAAATGTTAATAATCTATTCATATTCATTGGATATCCCATGCTATAATGCACCATTTACAACACACACCAATTATCCATCAGTATTGTAAATTAATTGACTCTAGTGTAATCCTTATTTTTAATTTTTCAAATACATTGAAAACATTGAGCAATTCAGATGGTCTTAGACCATTCTCTCCTTTTGCAATAAAAACATCGTATGATCTCCTCAATTCATTTAACTATTTTCCAGTTACTTTATGTTATTCCGGTAATTCGAGGCTGCGATCCTTAATATAATTTGCCCATGCTTGATATTCTTATGATGCAATTTATTTTCTAATTTCTATTTGTACGGATTATCGATATTGTTATCTTGTATTGGCCAGTTTTTATATTAGATTCTCGTAATTGTTACAATGGTATAATCCCTTACCAAAAGGTTATCTACCCTCAATTTCTCTCATTTGTTAATGAACCTATTTAACAAACTTTGGTAGCTTATCTAAGTAGATATATTTTGTATTACATGGATTTACAAATTCAATCAAACCCTTTGTTGCTGCACTCATTTAATTTTTAATTAAAATTTTATACTTTTCCTCTATTCTGCAGCAGAATAGATGTAATTTCATAATAAAAAGATAAATGCGGATTGCTATTCCTATTAATCTACACAAATAACTCACCAAGTTTCCTAATAGTTTCAGAAATTATGTGAGTGCCATATTATTCAAAATACATACTAAGTTATTTCACAATCTTGGTACTAATCTTGCTCTCTTTGGATTTTAAAAGGTTAGATTTCTTCTATAAACTTGGCAATGAATAATTATTTTTCATTAATATTTTCATTAATCTATCTATAATTTAATGTGAAAATCCTGTTTTATCCAAGAAAATATTCGAAATTAGTTTATTTAGGATTGATATTTAACTGAAAACATAATAGAATTATTTATAATTTTAGTAAAATAAGTTATATATTCGACTTAATGTTTGAATTAACAAATGTTGTTATTGCAGAACTCATTATATGTAATATTTTACCTATATAGCAGTAATCATAGAATTAATATAACATAATCACATTGCCTTCTTGAAAAATATATATCTTTTTTATATTCAAATTAATATTATATTGATTTGTAATTTATATAAAACAATAAATTTTTTATCCAATTATTATTTTATAAATACGCACGAGTGTTTTTAAAAATTTTAGTTGATTTTATCGAAAAAATTAAATGAATGAAACTAATGAAGAGAAGATCAATTGTTAATTACTAAACTTATCAAATTAGAATGTACTTAATTGCTTAGAATACATAGCCTTCGATTCTAATTCTACAATAGTATTAGCAATTTAACAACAAATCATCAATTGTTATTTCTTTAAAAACAATTATCTAAAACATATGTCTAGTATTAAAGTGTTAAAAGATGAAGTAGGCTATCTTAATTAACTTGAATACTTAAAAACTTCAAACTCAATTTTAACAATATATTAACAACGAATTCTAATTGCTAATCTTAATGGTTTCAATACAAGAAAATTTTTGTTAAAAAATCGCCTTAAATTATAAGGTCGTTGTGGGTCGTTGTTATTTAATAAAATTTAAAGCCACCTATTTATCAGCAATCAGAATTAAATCTGTTTTTTCGAAAAGAGAATGGATGGATGGAAATGCTCTCAAGAAATTGAAGTCGATTATAGTAGAGTTTCAGTGATTTCAATGTGTTTAAATTGTTAAGAGGATGAGTTGTTAGTTTAAACCAATAATGGTTATACTGGCTCAACTAAAGTTTATATTTACCATAAAAAAACCTAATAATAAGAAATTAAATGGATTTAAATCCAAAGTATGTGGTAGGGAATTATATTTGGAAAATTATGGGGAGGATTTGTAGACCATTTCTATTTAATTAATGAATTTGCTCTTAATGTTTATAACAAATCAAATTAATCTTAAGACTACATACATTATGCTTCTTCTGAGTTTAAACATTCTTAATCCTTGATCTTTAAACAGATTCTGCAAAACAATCTGGTACTGCTGATTAAAAATTAAAGTATCAGTGTTATGAAATTAAATTAATAGTAAAAATTAGAATAAATTAAATAAATCAAAATAGACTTGTCTGCATTAAATAATCTAAACCATGGATATTCTTCAAAACAATCTTTATTAACTTAAGATGAAAAGTTATTAGTAATTTGGAATCGCTAAGATACTTTAATAATAGAAATGATTTATATTTGATTTTCCATTTTTTTACAAAGATAACGTAATCTAACTATTATACACAAAAAAATAATTAAAATATCTTAATGATATTATTAAAAGCTACAAAATCAATTTGCATTTCTATTTTGAGAGAACAGAATCAAATATTATAATGACCCCATTCTTAAGTTCAATATCCATATTTTTGTTTGTCAATTTTTAAGAAAATTATCACACTTCAGTTATTGTAGTCAAAAGCAAGAAAGGATTATTAAAAGAAAGAACTGAATAACACATTAATACGAAATTTAATAACACCTGAAACTTGAAAGATTTACAAAAACAAGCTAGATCTAGTTTCATCATCTCCTTATAAAGTTCAGAACTAAAATTTATATGAAACAACATTTTAAATAAATTTTGGGTTAAAATAAATTAAAGTTAAAGATAGTTTGTAAGAGCATAACAAAGTTAATTTATTGAATTTAAGGATCTTTCTCATAATATAACTTTTAGTGATAAATAGAAATAGAATCACAGTTTTAAAACTGTTATTCTTACAATTAATTCTACAGCATAAAATTTTTTGGTGATTATTATGATAATTAATTGTATGTCAAAAAATATTGATTTTTATTTTATCAAATGATTAATACTAAAATTAATTCAGATTTCTATATGTTATCAAATATTAGATCATAAGTATGTAGTATTTAACTTTATTTAAGTATATTATTATACAATTGTTCTAAAGAGAAATTTGAATTATAATAATATACAAATTATAAAACTTATAATGCAAAAAATTAGATAAAACTTTGAATTAAGAAACAAGTTAGGTTCTGGTGCTTTTGGGGACATTTACTTAGGAGTGAATACAAAAAATAACATTGAGGTATAAATTAGAACCTATTTCTTCAGAATGTCCTCAATTAAGATATGAACATGAAATTTATAAAAGATTATTAGCTGATAATTAGAGTATAGATAGAGGAGTACCACATGTTTATAACACATCAGAGGAATGTGGGTTTACATTTATGGTTGTGGATTTATTGGGGCATCCTTGGAGGAGCTCTTCGTGAGTAAGAAAAAAAAGTTTTCTCTAAAAACAGTTGTTATGATTGGATTGCAACTTCTAGAGAGAATAGAGTTCGTTCATTCAAAGGGTATAATACATAGAGATATAAAACCTGATAACTTTTTAATTGGGAAACTCAACAAACAAAACAAAATTTATATCTTGGATTTTGGTTTGGCAAAACGATTTGTTAAAGAAAACGGACATATACCATTTAGGGAATCGAAGACTCTAACTGGAACTGCCAGATATTGTAATTTAAATACACACTTAGGTGTAGGTAATGAAATTAGTTAAATATTGAATAGAACAAATTAGAAGAGATGACATTGAGTGTATGGCATATGTATTGTTTTATTTTCTCAAATCAACTTTGCCATGGTAAAACATGAGAACAAAAATTAAAGAGAGAAGTAACTCTGCCTTTTTGAATACGAACGAATTATGGAAAAGAAGATGACCACAACCTATAATGAATTGTGCAATGGAGTTCCCAAAGAATTCGGGTTGATATTAAAACATGCAAGGAATCTCGGGTTCGAAGAAGAGCCTAATTATAAATATATGAGAGGATTACTGGAAAGTATTTGTTAATAAGAAAAAATTACTGTTGATTATAAGTTTGATTGGTGTAAATGAGGTTTTATTAACAATAATTTTTATTATTAATTTTTGTTTGTTATAACTAATTTTCTCTAACATGCGTTAACCATCACTTTTTTCACCATAAAAGCAATCCAGATATGAAAAATCAAATAGTTCAACTGGATTTGCTACATTCTAAGCCACCGCTTAAATGAATACAAAATAATTGGCAGACTACAGAAGAGATGTTAGAACTAATGTTTCATCCAGGGAACCCTTTGCTTAACCATAGGAGAAATCTTCCTCCTTATTTGGTTCATGGAGCAAAGCAGAAAAGGCAGTATTGTATAAATTCATGTTAACATAATTTTAGAGAGCAATAAAAGGTTAGTAGGAAATCACCAAAAAAGTAAAAGTTGCTTGGAGGATTAAATTATGAAGAAATATTCACTAATAAAGGACCATAAACAAAACATAATAAAGACAAAGTTGAATAGCTTTTCAGGAGATCACCTACAAACGATTACTTTGATAATTCATTTACATCATTCCCTAAACCAGCAAGATAAAACACTCTTGGATCAGGATATAAAGATTCTCCGTAAAAAGCAAAAGAAAAATTAGAAAGATTCAAAAATTGGGATAACCGTTTAGATGTTTAGTTGATTCTCCAAAATAAATCAATCACTAATAAAACTTCTTCGACAGGAGACAAACCAGGGTTTTATAAATATGTCAATGAAGCCAAGAAAGGATTGTTTGATGACAATCAATCTAATTTTCTATATCCTAAAAGCAATAAGAATAATCTGTTTGATAATCAAAAACAAACCTTTTCTTTTAAGGACACATTCAATCCTCCTAAATAAACTACATTCTAAAGAAATCACTCTCCTCAATAGTCAACTAGATATGTAGAGAAGTTCCCCTTAACTGATATTGTTAGGATGACTTCTCATTTTTAATCTTTATCAACTTAGGAAGTCAATTAAATCCCAAGAGGGTATTAAATCAATAAATTATGTTTAGATACATATCCGAGCTAAGCAATTTGGCTGATATTTTACAAAGAGTTGTCAAAAGATCAAACAATATTAGTTGAGATTATATTTCATACTTACTATATAATTATAAATTATAATAAAGCCAAAATTCTGATTAATAATTTAAATAATCAAATCAATTAGCAGGCACAAGAGCTGTCTGTTCTTTCTGTTTCTTTCTTTGGATTCTCTATTTCTTCTCTCTTTTTCACCATATCTAACATTGTTTAAAATGCAGATGACACTTACCCATCTTCCAAATAAATAATATCAGCAATAGTAACATCTAAAGTTTACGAAGTATTAGTAACCATTTCTTCATGATTTTTCATAATAAATGCTAATAAAATGGTGATGTCCTCAGTTGCTTCTTATCCTCCCCAAGATTCATACAAATCTACTTTTTATCCACTTGCTACATCTTTGATAGCTTTAATTTTATCTTAAACCCAATCAAGCATAGAATCCAAACGAGATTTTTGCTTTTCCACTCTCCCTGCTTCGAAATACTTCCTTTTTCTGGATGCTATCAATTGAGCAGCAGTAGCTACTAACATACTCCAAGCCTCCTTATCATCAGCATCTTAATTCTTCATAATAACCTTTAAAATAGCATTTCTTTTCTTTTCATCCTAAAACTTCTCATATTCCTCATAAACAGCACCAACAGCCATATTAATTGCAGAGAAAATACTTCCGAATATTGGAATGCTTGCTCCAAAATCTAAAACTGCTTAAGTTACTTTAACTGCTACTTTGGTTGTTGTTCCAACAGAATACCCATTTTCTTGATTGATAATCTCTGTACTGGCTATCTTTTAAGCATCACAATAATTAATGAATGTCCAATAAAATGCCTTTGCATAATTATATCCTTCTACATATTCTGTTCTCCACTTTGCATAGTTTTCTTTCACCTTTGCTACTTTATCAATACCAATAACTTTTATACATTCCTCTAACTCATCTATTTTCTTTTCAATTCTTTCTATTTTTATGTCTTCTTTCTTTTATTCAATCTTGATTTCCTCAACCTTTTCTTCATTCTTTTTCTAAGATTATTCAGCTTCAGCCAACAATTATTAAATTCTTTACTTCATTTCATCCTTAGATACTTTCTTAACTGTTGTCTTTTATTCCTTTTATTACATCTCTGCTAACTCAGCCGCATTCTAAGCATCAATTTCTTGTTAAATCTTCTCTAATTCTTATTAGATTCTCTTAATCTCAGGATCTTCTTAATTTTATTTAGCCAATGCCTCTTAAGCAGCCTTCTTTTCTCTTTCAAATGCATTTTCCATCTCCATAATTTTGTGTACTCCTGATTTAATGTATTTTAATTGTGATTCACTTAGATCAGCTACATTTTCTGGATTTTCAATGAGAGTAGAAACTAATCTCAAATCTGTCATAGCATCCTACTTTTTTAAGAATTTCATAAAGAGCATGGCTCTGTTTGTTAAACATAAAACTGCTTTAGGATTTAACTTCAGAGCATGATTAAAACAGTCAAGGGATTATTCAAAATTTGGGTTTTTTAATGACAAGTAAGCCTGTCCCATATTACTCCAATATCCAGCATCTTATTAGATTGATAATGCTTTTTTATAAAACTCGATAGCCATTTCAAAGTTCTCTTAAGCATAATACTCAATGGCCAAATTTGAAATAGCATGAGTATGCTAGGGGCTAACTTTTAATAAATCCTAATAGGCCTATATAACTTATTCTCTGGGTCGTTTAAGTCCTTTCAAACTTAATGCTTTACAATACAAGGCTTCGGTAGGATCAATGTCAGCAGGCACAATTTTTAAGAGTTCCTCTGCATTTTATAAACATTTTTCGTAATCATGTTTTTTTTCACATGAAATCATTTCATTTTATAAAATGGTGGCTATGCCTTTTATAATATCTTAATCATTTGGATTCAATTTCTGAGCCTCCAGAAATGAATGTTTGGCATCTTCATTCTTTTTCAGATTGGTTTCACAAGCTGCTTTATTTTTCCACAATGTCAACATTTTACCTTATTCTTGTGATGGCATTTTTACTAATTTTTCAAATATCTCTAGAGCCTTTTCATAATCTTATTGAGCAAAATAGATATTACTAAGATTACCAGAGGCAGTAAAGGCATTGGGTGTACCTTCTCCTTTGCTGATTGCTAATTTGAGAATCTCAATTGCTTTTTCTGTCTATTGTGGTTGGCTGTGCATTAAGGCATGACCATAATTGGCCAACACAGCCTAATCAGTCTAATCCTTTTGGATTTCATAAGCATGAGAAAAGCATTCAGCAGCATCATTAAATTATTTTAATGTCATATGGGCTTGTGCTTTCATTCCATAAAGAGGAAATTTTTGTTGTGGAGGTATGTTCAAATCTAATCCTTTTTGTGTTTGAGCAACGACTTCATTCCAGTCCTGTTTGGCCATGAAACATCTTGCTTTGTAAAAAAATCGCATGATATTGTTTTCTGGTATGGAATCAGCCAGTTTGATGGCCTCGTCGTATTGTTGAGTCTTTATTTTCTGGTCTAATTGCTCCTTGATTGTAGCCATAATAAATGATTTAATTATGTTTTTGTATGTTTGCAATGGTTGGTTATAAAATTTGTCGGCAGTTATTATTTTTTATATTATATCTTGATCTGATGAAATACTAAATCTGAAATAAACATAATTTGACTCAAAACTATCAAATGGTTAATCACACTAGCAGAACAAAACACATAATATTAGTTTATTTCAACAAAAAACAAGCCATAAATAGAGTATCAATTTAGGAGTTTAGATTTTCTTGGGGAAAGACTGTATTTAATATTGGTATTAACTTAAAATAATAGATAGATTGATAGGATTTTTAACATTTGATGAGTTCTTGCTGTACAACATTTAAATGTAACTCATAATTTGACTCTGACAAGAGAAGGGGTCTCTAGTGATAATTATTAACTGTTTATAAGTAGAACGGGGGAGATTGGAAGAATTGCTTATGGATGTGTCTGATGAAATGAAACATATAGATTGTATAGGATCAAATTAAACTGCAAACGGAGGATGTCACAGGTACTATTTGCACATGAATTTATTGCATTTCATTTTTCATAATTGTGTGAACTGGAGTTTCATTCAAAAGCACTTGATTTGAAACAACGCATTGCAAGTTAAATTAATCTGGACCCAAATCAACGAATCTTAGAGTGATGAGTACCTTGAAGCTATTGGTTATTTACTTTAAGATTTTCTACATTTTAATTTGGATCGATGTCTAATTAAAATTGTTATTCGTGCACTTAATGATGATGAAATCTATCCGAGACAGAAATAATAATAATCATTTTTATATTAAATAAAATAATCATTATATAAATTTTCTAATAAAGTGATGTGAATGAAGACTTATTCAATTATTTATGATAAACGAATTCTTAGATTTCTGTCACAAGAATGACGGACATGAAAGAAACAGACAATTACCAGCAAGAAAAAAATGGAAAGAAGTCGAAGATGAATTGCTATTAAAAGCAATAAGAAAATATGGAACTCAATGGACTAAAATCCAAGATGAAATACCATCCAAAGACTCCAGACAATGTCAAGCAAGGTGGAAAATACTCAAGCATGTATATATATCATAGTAATACTCTCTATAGAAAGAAGAAACCTTAAATAGATTAGAAGCCCTAGCAAGGGATGACTTCTCTGACAAGGACAATCACCTATCAAAAATGAAGAAACAAATGAAATAAAGGAAGGAAATACCCAGGAGATACAATCCTAAGTTCGATTACAATGAGGAGTCCTCTAGTGAATCCATGCATTTACAACAATTCTAAGAAGCATTAGCTAAACAACCGAATAAATTGTTACAAATTCAATAGCAACAGCAATAGCAGCAACAGAAAAGGGAACAATACTAGAAATAATTGTAAAATCAATATCAGAATGTGTGGAATGCCATGGATGACAAAATGTTGTGGACGGCATATAAAATATACAAAGGAGCATGGAATCAAATCACTCCTAGATTCCAAGAGAAGAACCCATAGAGCTGCATCGATAGATATCAATAAGTATTACTTTATTATGATTTCTATAGTTGTTATAATAGAAGAAAATCAAGTTGTAAGAGGATGCCTCGTCAGTGGATGTAATATCATCTCCCAATGATTTGGATAGTTCCCAAGAGGGATCAGAACAATTTGATATCTCTGCTAGTGAGGATGAGGATTCAACAGATTTATAACGGTCTGATTGCAAAACATTATAAACAAAATAATAATAGTACAAAGGAGTTTACACAGTATAGCAATGTCATACCAACATTGAAAGAATTTTGAAATCATTTTCCAATCATAATCTAGATACTTTGCCTGGCATACGTGAATCGATCGTCAAGCTCATATTAACAGATTGATAATTTTTGTTTTATATATATTATATCTCATCTGAAATAGATTAAACTTCTTGCTGTTAATCCTTCAACTACTGAGGTATCTTCTTCTTATTTGACCCAATAATCAACAAACAATTACTTTTACTCTGCATTATTTACATCAACCTTGATGAATTGATGATAGTCATAGGCGACATGGTCTTTCTAATCGAAATAAATAATAAATCATACCCATTCTTTTGGAACCTCAGTTCCTCTCCAGAGCCAGGCTCCTCTCAATTCCAAATTTGGCTCATCTCCATACACACCATGAATACCAAAGGCATACTTTCTGAAATTTTGATCAAGTCTTTAATTGATGAATCCCTTCATTAAATTGTTGGTCAAGATTAACTTCTTACCTTCATTCTCTGATTTGTTGTATTTGACAAACCATAATGACCATCCATTCAAATCAACTGTGCTGAACAAAGTCTCCATGTTCTTTTGAATATCTTTCTCAGCAAAGAAGATTCTCTTGTAATCATCAATATTAAATGTTGATGGTGGCAATAAATCAAGTGGGTTCACTTCCTTCTTCTTTGGTTAATCTTCATCATCCTCCTAAGCTTTTGGTTTAGGTTATTCTTATTATTTGGGTTGTTCCTTCTACTTTGGTTACTCTTTTTGTTTCTCTTACTTCTACTCTTATTTCTTCTCCTTCTTCTCCTCTACTGGTAATGGGAAAGCATTCTTCAAGAATCTTGGTCTTCCATAGTACTTTTAAAATTAATTCAATTTCATACCTCTCTCCATTCTGGAAGTGAATTCACCTCACTTAACCATTTCAATAATTGGGGATATTTGTTTCTTTCCTCCTCTCCAAGAACCAATGTGAATATAAATGTTGAGACTTATGCCAAGGCAATATCAGCCACTGTGAGGGTTTCACCAGTTATAAATTTGGACTTGCCTAATTATGTGTTCACAATGCTTAAAGTATGGGCTATGGATGCCAATGAATTCTTTTGTTAAGCTTAATTCACTGGGACATAACCTAACACTTAAAGGACAATCACTAGGGTTTCAGTTTCCAATTCGTTTGTTGTAGCATCCAACCATTAATCAACCAATCCTTATTGATATTGAGATGTTCTATTTTTAATGATCTTGATTACCCATATAAACCTTGGGAATGTCGAGCAAGGTATCTAAGAATAGCGTTGCTTTCAAAGATTGATCCTTGTGGAGTTTCCAAAACAGGAACCTTACCAAAAGGATTTAATTTCAATAATTCTTTGATAGTATTCTCATTCACTTAAGTATCAACCAATTCTATTTACACTTTGGCTAATGCTGCTGTGACCAAGATTTTATTTGTTCTGCCGTGACCTAATGGTGAATGCAATTTATTAGACATGAATTAAAGATTTAATTTTAATTTTGCTTTTCAAGACATTAAATATAAATATAAAAAAGAAAGAATTATAGGTTATTTCTTATTAATTATGATAAGATTTATTTTATTTTTATAATATTATATGATACAGCATTTTTTAATCTTGATTAATACTTATACATGGTTATTGTCGATATTTACTGTCTTATTCCCGTAAACCAATTAATAGCAAATATCTATTAAAACTATTGATTTAATAATATTATTGTATATTATTAATAATAAATGAATGGCAATGTTATCTGCAATACCCTTTATTTTCTATAAAAGTGTTAGCTTCTTCTAAGCCAAATGGAAGGTAAACAAGAATGGATCAACGAGATAAATGAGTTATAGAAGGAATTAGAGCTCCAAAAAATCAATCACCCTCTTTATGAGAAGTGTTTGATCTTCATCACTGACAAAATCATACACCCATTTCTGTAAGACCTCGACACTCTATTCAATTGTCAAGATGTCGTTAGGGAAATGAAAAAATATGAATTGAATTTTAACTATGTTATTAAGAGACTCTCATTGGTAATATTCAAATTTATAGTTTAGATAAGAGAGTTCATACCAAATGTGGTGAAGGTACCGTTGGATGACTTATTCTGTAAACCTTAAACTGACCAGGAATGGATTTAATTAAACAGATATATAGAATATGTTAATGTATACTATAAATTTAAAATAAGTTAGATGATCCATTATCCTTGTCTAAACAATTCGATTAATTCTATGATTATATCGCTTTGGGAGCTGCCTATTGCACTTTGGGATCGAAGTATTCGAACCCTTTGATAAGTTTGATCGTGTAAAATGTTGGTGGGGCTGTGATGTTGGTTACGAAATAGACGGCGAGAAATATCAAGATCAAAGAGATCACAAATCCATCTCTCTCATTTGTCAAGGGATTGTGGAGTATCCAAAACAATTCAACCTTTTTCAAGAATTTCATGAAACTGACAAATTGTAAGGTTAAATCACATCTGAAAATTCATGTTCCCTTCTTATTTGAAGAACACACAATTTAAATATCATCATGATAATCATACTTATGAGTTAGAGAAATTTAAGGGTTTCAAAATGGTAGAGGATCTATTTAATAAACTTTAATCTAAGTAATTATTATTGAAATCAAAATCATAAAAAATTAAAGTTAGAATTATTTCAGCAAATAAGGTCAATTTAAATAAAAATGTGGATTATTCCTCAATAGTATAAAAAGTCGGTGAAATCAGTTCAGAACATCATTAAATAAGCTAGCTACTTCAATAGTTAAATAAAAATACAAAAATAAAAAAAGTAGTTTTACACATTCATGGTGGAGGATGGGTGGCTATGTCTTCATTCAGTCATCAATCTTATACAAGGAAGTGGGCTAATTACTTAGGAGATGAGGCTATAGTATTCTCGATAGATTATAGACTCTCTCCTGAATATCGATACCCTTACGCACTAGAAGATGTTTGGCAATTATACTTGTGGATCATCAATTTCAGTCAATTCTACTTAAATATTGCAGTAGAATAAATAGTTTTAGCAGGAGATTCTGCAGGTGGCAATATGGCATTGGGAGTTTGCTTTAGGGCTATAAAATATGGTGTTAGAATACCTGACGGATTATTGATGGCCTATCCTGCAGTCAATTTAGATTTAACTAAATTCAACCCTTATTTATTATAGGGATTGATCGATTAAGTGGCACCAGCAACAGTTTTAAAATTGGCTCTGCATGAATACTTGAAGGATACAAATGGCAAACCAAATGTTGATCCCTACTTAAGTCCATTGATAGCAGATGATTCATTTTTATAATAGTAATTACATTTATAAATTTTGTAGCTTACCTAAAATGACAATCATGTGTGGTTAATTAGACAGTCTGACTGGTGATACTATAAAATTTGTTAATAGATTAAGAAAGCTAGATAAGTAATTTAGAATGCTCATATATAATGGGATCAATCATGGATTTCTGAATTTTGAGGTGCCTATTTTTGCAGTGCCTGCTATAAAACCAATAATAGAAAGTAGCTGTGATTTATTGAAGCAGTTATTTAATTAATGATAAATTATAATCAAGTAGATCCGCAACAATTGTCAGAAGGGTTTCTATTCTGTTTAGTAGGCACAGTTAGAACATTGGGCTGTGGTTGTTCCTATGTTTTCTTTTCAGACTTTTCATCTTCGATTTCAATTCTTTGGCTTGGAAATTCTTCTTCCACATTTTGTTATTTGAACTCATATATTTCTAATTATCAATTTGTACATTATATACTCCTAATTAATTATTCAAAACATTCCTTCACGTTTGTTCCTTCCTTTGCTGATGTTTCATTATACAGCATATTGTGTTATTAACAGATTTGCTCTACTTCTTCGACAGATACACACCGATTTTGTGGGTTGTCTTACAATAAATCCAGTTTGTTCCCTATTAGCATGATCATAATTTTATCATCTGTATGCTATATAATCTGGAACTCAATTGATAAATAATACTTCCTAACGCCAACTTAAAACATTATCAAACGAAGTCTTATCGCATAAATCATAAAACAAAAGAGCTCCCTCGGATTTACGATAATGTGCTGTTGTAATTGCTTTGTATTTTTCAGCTCCAGCAGTATCCCAGATCACAGATTTGACAATTTTATCCACATCTGCTAGTAAGATGGATTAGGCTGCATATTCTACTCCAATCGTGGGTTGTGATTATTTTTTTATAACATTTTTGGTTAATCTAATTTGAATTTGAATTAATATACCTAATCAAAAAACTAGTCTTTCCAACACTTGAATCCCCAACCAAAATGACTAAGAATAATAGAAATCCATACTCTTATACAACTCATCATATTGTGCCTTTGGCTCTGTCATATTAATAATTTATAATAATAAAATAATTGATCAATTTATTAAACTAAACTTGTCCATCATCTCAATAAACTCGTTATAATCGATCTCTCCATCCCCATTCTTATCTGCCTCCTTTATCATATCATCCCAATATTTTTCATCTATAATTTTCTCACTTTCTATAAAAAATGAAAAATAATATCATACTTCCTAACACAGTCTACAACTCATGCTTATCAATCTTTCCACTTCCATCTAAATCCAACATCTTAAAATGCCTAGTATAGTTTCTCCTCCTTCATATACAAAGACTTCTCCATCGTAGCTGCCAAGAACTCTAACAATTATCATCATATATAAATACCTGTATAATTAATAGTTCCATTCCCATCAGTGTCTATGCTCTTTATGATATTTCCTAATTCCTTAGCCTACACATCACTCATTCCAATTAAGCCTTCTCTTAGTTCATCTATGGTTAGTACTCCATCCCCATTCTTATCCAATTATTTGAATAATCTAATTAAATTCATTAGGATACTTTCCCAAATCAGCAATTTCCTACTCGTTCAATTGAGAAGCTATGAATGTTAGAGCCACTTTTTTGAGTTTATTGCTACCATTGAAGTTTTTCAATTGTCCAAAGTTTAGTTTCAACTCTACAAATTATCTATCAATTTTACATTTAGTATTTTTGCTGCCATCCTTCATCCATTTATGTTAGATAACTTGGGATGCCTTGTATCTCTTTTCTGGTGTTGTTATCATATGAGAAATCAAATCCTTGGCTGATTCACTGACTGATTTCAACTCAGGTATTTCAAATGTGTATTCTCCCTTTTGTACTGCATCCAATATTTCAGGATCACTGTCACCGTAAAAGGGAGGCACTCCAGATAAGAGGATGTAGAGAATGACTCCTGCACTCCAAATGTCACAAGATTCATCATAACTTCCCTTCAAGACTTCAGGTGAAATGTAGTATGGGGTTCCAGCCTTGGTTTTCATTGTGACTTTCTGATTTCCAGATGCTTTTTAACTAATTGGATCTTCAAACAATGTGCTCAATCCAAAATCAATTACTTTGATTGGAGAATCATCAGCCTTTGTCAAGAACAAGAAGTTTTCAGGTTTAAGATCTCTATGGCATATACCATTTGTATGGCAATAATTCAAGGCCTATAATTTTAGATTCAAATCTCACTTGCATTATCTAAAGAAAGATTTCATGAGCCTCGGCTTCACTGAAGTATCCTTTGTCCATTATGCGATCAAACAATTCTCCACCTTCACATAATCTTAATAATTCATACAAAATCTTACTCCATCACCAAATACACATTTCTTTGATCCTCGAAAGTTTCATATAATTTTATGATATTAGGATGATCTAATTATCTCAATATATCAATTTCTTTTTTGAAACGATCAGGGTTTTTCACCTTGCTTTTAGGGATCACTTTCACGGCTCTCTAATTCTTAGTGCCCTTCAGCGTTGCCTTCACCACACTTCCATAAGTTCCTGATCCAATCACCTTTTTTAAATTGATATCATAAAATTATTCAATTTTTCCCTCATGTGTCATAATAAACCATTATTTTTTCAGAAAGACCTCTTGATCCATGATATTTTTAATATTATTTTTAGATTTTTATATTAAATTATTAATAAAGTGCATATATATCTATTTATTATATCTAACCTTTTATTAAGTTATTTATTCTCGTTTTATTCATATTGACAAGACTAAAATATTTTATTGGTAGAATTCTCCTATTAATCAAACTTAAATTACTTAAGCATCGATCAATAATTTTATTTACCTATATCTATGAAATGATGAAATAAAATTCAATTCCCCTATTCTAAGTCATAGCTTTTCAGAAGAATTTACAACTCTAGTATTTTTGAAGGAATCATTCTCATCAGTTTCTTAAGAAAATTAGGGAAAATTAAACTGATAAATAAATGTATAGGAAAATAAGGATTCTAGAATAAATCCTTTCTTAAAATATACTAGCAAATTTTAGTATGCAACTTTTAAGCCATTAATAACATAATTGCAATTGAACCTTTCTTATGGTAAAGTCAACAATACAAGTGAGCAAGAAGTGGTATAATTTTGGGGATTGTAGTATATGATTTAATTTAATATTTAATTAATCATAACTTTTTAAGTATTTCCTTCATATGAATCATTCTTCGATTGTTTTAAGAACCATAGACGATAGAAGGGTTATACTTAGGTTTAGGAATGGAAAATATTGTAGTGAATTAACCATTGTGTTTTACTGTTGACTCACTTAGTCTGGATTATTTGTATTCGAAATCGACTATTTAAGCAATTGACAGTTTCATTTTATCCTCATATTCTCTTTGATTTTTGCAGAGTTCTGCTTTCGAATTAACTGATTTAACTCTTGTTCTCAGATTAAACTTCCTCTCTCGAATTGCCAAACTCAATATGGATTTTTCTTATTCGGTTAAATCGCTAGATGGTAAATCTTATTCAATTTTCTTGTAATCTAACAGTGTTTTAATTCTCCTTCTTTAATACATAATTTTTATTATTATATAAATTAACAAGCTATCTCATTATTTTTCAGTTGATAATTTCTAATGGAAAATAATATAACAAATAATATTAATAAAATGCCTTCTAGTAGTTAAAATTGATATTAATAAATATAAGAAAAGACATATCATTATGATGAAGAGATGCCTTTCAAAAGTCTTAATCCCAGTCTACAAATTAAGTGCAAATCATTTCTGGACTAGTATCTCTTTAGATCAAATCTAAAAAAGGCATTTCTTCAAAAATCATCTACTATAATTTAGGATAGTATGGAGGCTTTAATTGAAAGGCTTCTAATTCTTCCTTGAATGTTAAGAATAAATGAATTACCCACTAGAAACCATCAAACCAAGGATGGACCTTTAATGCTTCAAAGGATCCTCCCAATCGCAATTCTGGTGTTCTATTCATCAGTTGATCCATCAATTTGATAGCCTTGAAATCCTTCAGAATTTGTGGATACTCCAATTTTCCATTTAAAATAGCCTCCTCTATTATAAATCTAAATAAAATAAAACAAATTACGGATCATCTTCTTCATCCCCAGCAAATGGTACCTCACCGCACATGAGCTCATAGAAGCATATTCCTAAAGACCATAGATCCGTTGAGAAACTATACCCCTTGCCCTTCAAAATTTCAGGAGCCATGTAATGTGGAGTCCCAACAAGAGTGTAGGTCTTGGAAGCTCTTGACTTTAAGACTTTTGCAGTTCCCATATCAATCAATTTAATATAGCCATTTTCCATAACAATGAAATTTTCAGGCTTCACATCCCTATAGATAATATGTTGGGAATGCAATTTCTCCAGGATGTTTATCATTTAAGCGATATAAAACTAGGTTTCATAAGAATTCAACAATCCAATTTCTCTGATCACATGAAACAATTCTTTGCCCTTCACATACTCTGTCAATAAGTAGATATAATTCTAATCTTTAAAGGATCTGCGAAAACAAACCAAATTTGGATGATTAAGCAATTCTAACACTTATTTCTCATTTTTAATATGCCTCTCTGTGTTATTGGCAATGACATTGACTTTAGGTACACATTTCATCACATGCATATTCTATTAAGGAATATCCTTAACTAGATAGGCATTTCCAAAGGTTCCTTCTCCTAATAACTTTAATCCTATGAAATCTTCTAAAGTAAGTAAGGAGTAATTGCTTTTTTATTTCTTCTCCAATAGACTGGAGGAACCGGCACGATCCTTATTTTTTTTAACAACAGTTTCCAATTCTCCTCCTATGCATTCAAAGAATTGTCTAAAAGGAAGTTCTGAGAGAGTAGTTTTTCGATTAGTTTTAATATCATGATTGATTTTTCGTTTTTGTTCTTCCATTTACAAATACTTATCTCCGAAGAGTTGACCATTGTTGTATAATTGACCTTCAAATTCTAATTGTCCATCGAGAATGATAATTAACTTATCGACTAACTAATTCATTTTGAAGATGCAATCATTACTCTCATAGCTTTTGATTTTGAAGTTTGAAACAATCTTTTGGATTTGCATTTTAGTTAAATCTCTCAATTTGGGATGTTTCTCAAATGCCCACTTCTGCATATTGGTGTAGATGATTAACTATGTGACTATATAATACAAATTCTGTACCTGAATCTTCTCTCCCAATATGGTTGTGATATCTTCCCTACTCAAAGACAGTAGATTGACATCCGAGTCATGGGCTTTGACAGTTGCCCCTCTTACACAATTCCCAAAGAGAGCCTACTCACCAAACGAATCTCCTTAGTTCATATATCTAAGGAATTGGCCTTGTTTGGTCACTTGAACAGTGCCTTTTTAAATTATGTAAAAGGAATTGGCCATGTCTCCTTCATTTACTATGGATTCACCTTACTTAAACTTCAGTGTGATCAAGACATTGGCTATACTGTCTCTCTATTCTTCAGTCATGAAATCTAAAATGACTGAAAAATTTACCAAAAAATTTTACTTATGCCAGAAATTCTCTGTTTGTTTCATATGCCTTTTACTAGATATCCTCAACTGCCTTTCGGAATTTATACCTCTCTAAAACCCAGAATCCACAATCTCCAATTGCAATCACAGATGCTGAACGAGGAGCATGATACATCAAAGCCAACTCTCCAAAAAATTCAGATGGTTTTAGCACTCTCTTTTTCTCCTCATTTATTGTTATCTGACATTAGCCTCGTTCTTCATTAATAATTTATGAAATCTACCAATTATGAAAAATAATGTCGCTTTATCGCCTTGCTTAAAAACAAATTCCTAATCTTTCGATGTAACATAATACATTTCCTCTATTAGTTTTGCTCTACATTACCATTATCATTACTTGTCATTATTGTCGAGTTAAGCAAACATGAAATGATTTCCAAAAGCATTCAAAATCATTTGAAAGTCAAATGGACTTTTCTCCTTCTACTACTTCATTACATTCTCATGGATCTGTTCCTCAACCACTTCTATCTTGGCTTGACGCTTCCTGTCCCCTCTCCTAGGCTATAATAGTTCTGATATTTCATCTACTTCCACAGCCAAACTCGATAAGGACAGACTAGGCTTATTCAATTACCCAGGAATCATCTGATCTCCCGCTATTTCTGTTGTCGTTTGTTGGGTGTTACTTATACAAACTCCCATTTTATTAATAATTATTAAACATTTTTTTCATATTTATATAATCTATCCTAAAACCCTTCCATCTTCGTATTTCCTACAAAATCAAATCAGCAAATATCACACCGCCCACACTTAGATTTTGGTTACTTTAATATCTTATATATTCATAATATTGGTTTAAACAATTTAATTAAAATATCTTAATTTTGAATATTTCAATTTAATAAAATGTAATAATAGTTTAAACAATAATTCTTATATTCACATATTGGTCAATCAATTCAATAATATAAATCAGATACCCTTCTCTAATGCTTTACTTACCTTAGATCCTGATTATTTATAATTTCTTTCATTCTCTCCAAAAACATACCAAACACCTGCCCTTTTTAGATAATTATTGTTGCATATTGATTCTTTACCAATCTATACGGTAATCCAATTAAATTGAAGTAGAACACATGACTAATTTTATCTCCATCCCCGACTAACTAATGCTTTTTTAATTAATGAACCCCATCATTGAAAAATAACAGCGCATCGTATTTATTATTACAACCCAAAGTACCATTAGATTTGTATTAAAAATGATCCTCTACAAATGAGGCCAAGAAACCTTCTATTGCGTATCTCCTACCACATCATGAACATTTGGCATCCAAATAAAACCTATATTCAGCTTGTCTATTACTCAAAGATCTACTACTGAGATTAGTGCTTTATTCTAAGATTTATCGAGAATTCTTTTTTAATTTTTTATTATTTTATAGATTCTGGAAATAGTGCTGGTAAATTTAAATCTGTTTTTAATAGCCTAATTCTCTCGTCTGCTGTATAAATTTTAGTGTCAAATCATTCATCTAATACTTAGCACAAGTTATCATAGCATTTTTGAAAATATACAGAATCAATTTACAATTTATTCTATTTCATTTTTTTCAACAAATTCATGCTATGATAAACCAAATCCATTAGTTCTACTTTACCTCCTTTAATCTGATTTAACCAAGTGTCTAAACCACTACTTATAGATGTGTGCTTAATCAAATCTGAGAATGTCAATCTAAGTCTTCGGAAAATAATGAACTTAAAATGGATTCTTGTGATTCAAGAATTCCAATCTTGGCCTTGAAAAATACTAGTCGTTTAACTTAAGTGGAAATGTACTATATTAAAAATGCTTTTCTTTCTTAAAACCCTCATCATTGGGTTGATGATATACTTTACATTATTTTGGGAAAGTAAAATTTTCCTCTTTTGGATTCTTAAGTCAATCATCAAAATACTCAAATTAACTATCATTTTATGAGAGTTGCATCTATTTATCAATATATTTCTGATAATCTTTTGAATATATTAAATCCTAAAAGCACTTCCCTTATTTGGTATTGATCAACCAGTACTGAATCGTCTTCTTTAGGCAAAGTAGAAGCTTCACCTATTGTATGAATCAGTTCTGGATTGCAATAGTAATCGAGTTCATATAGTTTCGAAACAAAATTATCAAACAACTCTTCAGGAACATCAATTGTTTGATTTTGTTTGATATAATTTGAATCCAAGAAGACTAAGATGACATCTGTATACATTTCAGCTTATTTGATGTTCATCCTTATTAAGTAAGGCAGGGGAGCTTCAAGATATTACTCTAATTCGAATGGTAAATTCGAAATCAAAATGTGTGTAAATTCAAAAGGATATAAAAGAGTCAAGAAAGCCTCATTTACAAGTGAACTAATTTCAGGATTAGAACTAATGAGCTGAATTTTCTTTCAGAAAGTTGTGCAAGATACAGCAAAACAATATTCTTTTTGTCTAGAACTGTAAGTAGACACTGAGAAAAGCTTGGCTCAATTATAGATATGAGTTTCAGTTGGATCTTGAGGGAGAACAATTTCATCAACTATATTACAAATGCACCCCTAAAGCCAAGGGATTATTGGCAATATAAATTTAATATAAATATTTCAGTAATTCTGATGATTACTCTGAATAGCATAATAGGATGATATCAATTTTAATTTAATTCTCAAAATATTAATGCAGTACAATAATTCCTATATCCAGTTTCTGAGGTCAAAATGTAATTATTGTATTTAGGTAATTGATTATTTCTATACAGAGATATGCCGTTTAGAAATCAAAAGATAGCCAGCTCTTGTTTATTGTTATTTTATGGATATGAGTCGGTAATTTCAACTTAGTATATTATTGTATAAACAGTATTAGTTAATGAATAGGCAAAGTAATTATTTCATATTGACTATGACAGTTTGTAAAATCCTTTTGGAGGACTCTAAACATTCTCAATATAAAATGAGATCACTTCAAGGATCATACAATGTATCACTTATATAGAAAGTACTAATCAACTTTCACTTTTGATTCATGAACATCTAAGTAGTAGAATGATAAATCTGTGATGGGAAGTTTGGTAGAATCTTTTTCTATTTTCAGAAGGAGTTATTCATTGATTCTTAAATAATACACTTTCTTTTTACTTTCATGAGTGCCTACAACGACTATGATGTTGATTATGTATTCTGTGTCTGGTTAGATGCCTTGCAATTGTTGAGTTAAATTTGAGGGACCAATAATTTAGAACTAATTGTATATTCGTTAATAAAGAATATTCATTAAATATATTTTATTTGTTGCGTTGTTAAAATAATAGTGATATGCTTGATATGAGCCTTAATTAAACAAACTAATAACAAAAGTCATTCTAATTGTCGCAGTTCTTCCACTAGTTATATATCTAAACTATCTACACTAGCGAGTGATTCGAATCTCTTCCTGGTGAATTAAGTCAAGGTTTCAGTCTTATTGATTGATTGATGTTCTGTCTTTAAAATAGACAATCTCTCTCTTAATTTCATAATTTGTGTTCTTCTACATTTTTTCAAGGACGCTTGGAGTTCAGCATTATTTCTCTCCTTCTTAAATTTACGCTAGGGGGATAATTAATAAAATAAGTACTTTTAATTGGGTTCTGGTTCTGTCATTGAACAAATAATTGATCATGTAAAAATCAGTTCCAAATAATTAGAGACTCCTGAAAAATTTTTTGGTGTCTTCCTGACTCCAATTCTTGAATTTATTGATCTTACCCTTCTTGACAACCTTTTGAGTCTGCCGCTGTTTTTGTTTGGTTAATTGAGACAATTGCTATTAGATAATAAGGTCGGTTGTGACTTGTGATCTTAAAACGTTGTGTGTGACAAAGAATCACTTTTTGTTTCTTTCATTTTTAAGATTTAATTATTAAAAAAATGATTTTGAATATAAATATATATTATCATTCGACCAACATTCCTTTATTGTCTTAGACCTAAAACTTTTCATCTACAACGTTCTCTTAAATGACATTGATATTTTCAATTTCGAATTCATCATAATCCCTATTACTGATCAAGACATTCTGAGTCAGATTCTCAAACTAGGCTAGTCCCTACTTGCTGGGACTCCACAAGTATTACTGATAATAGATGTATAAGTTCAAAATACTTATAGAGATGAGCACCTCTGTTCCAGTGAGATTATAAATTTCAAAGGATCCAGACAAGATGAACAAGCCCAAACACATCATGAAAAATATGTTAAACAATCCAATCAACTTGTATCTCCACAATCTAGTCTCATAGCATTTGCAAAATTGAATCAAGTACTTGAGCAAATACAAAAATGTAGCAAAGGAAAATAAAAATGAAAGCACTTTAAATGCCATGTAAGGTTTATGATGGAAGTCATCAAAATTTGTAGTAGGGTCCCTAAAATATTAAATGACTAGGATCGAGTAGGAGACCACAAAAAGGAGCCATAACAGGAAGCAAACCAGGATCTTGGGTTTAGTGACTGCAGTGCTTTCCTTGTTTCCGTTATCGACCACAATCCTATGGTACAGTACGAGCCAATAAAGGAAGAGACAACAAATGAAATTACTGAAAAATATCACTCCAATCACAGCAGTGACTCTGTTCGGAGCCATTAATGTAGCCGCATACAGTGGATCATTGAACCAAGGTAAAAGTAAGCTCAAGACTAAGACAAACTTTTATTCAATGACCCAATTTGATAAGGCTAATTTTTTCATTCTGAATGCAAACAGAGTCAAAGTAATCACTGAAAATGCAAAAAATGTGTATCTTATTGCTAATACTGAATTGGAATATCTGGGATCAACAGTTATTCCTTATAAATACAAATAAGTATTATTGTCAATTTCGGGTTTAGCGAAATTTATAATTAGGAGGTAATCGTGATACTCTAGAATTGGAATAAAGACCAAAAGTTTCCATTCACATAGCTTATGATCAAAATTTCCATAATCTTCTGTTCTTTAAGAGAGTCTGTGTAATTCATCTTCATCTTCGTCCTCATCTTCATCTTCATCTTCTTCTTCACCTTCATCTCCAATTATCTCATCATACTCATCATATTCATCATATTCGTCCTCGTAGTTCTGATTACAATTAGTTGTTATCGAATGATTCTTACTAGTAATAAAATGATCATATAGATTCCCAGTTTTCTATTATTCCATAGTCAACCCAAATAATGTGGCAGTATAATTTAAGTAGCTGATTTCATAACCCATGGGACTGAAGAAACTAAATTACCCATAAACAATTAAGAATTGATTTTTTTTATCTAATCTTCTAATCATTGTATAATTAGCTCCACTTTGATTGCAACTATTAGAATTATTTGTAAATTTTACAATTACTATTTATTCTTTTCAAACCATGATTCTTAATCAAAATTATATTCGCTATTTTCATAACAAGGATTGTCCAATTGAACCTATTAGGTTGATTCTGGCATAAACACAGAAGTCAATATAAAAATTGTAACCAGAACAAAAAATAAACACCAATGAATGCACACATGTTTTTTAGTTTCTATATCAGCATTAATTTTAGTCAAAATGAGCGGAGTATCTGTTTATACAGGTTGTCCAATAACTATTTCTTAATTTTAAAGATTTGGAATGCTATCTCCTTACCCTTCTATCATAATTAATATATTATAAATATATTAATAATCATCAAATAATCAACTAACCTTGTAAACTATTTGTATTGTTGATCTCCTCTCAATAAGATTTTCGATATTAGCCTATTAAATTTAAGTAGCATCATTTCTACAAATTAATTTATCCAAATTCAAATGTTCATCCCCTTAATCTAATATCTCAAGTAATAGTAAGATATTAATTAATTCATTTGTTTAAATCTTCTTTTTGGAATCTTAAGATTTTCAGTAAACTTAATATAAAGTTTAGCTTAAAGATTCGTAATTCCATTTAGAAACTTAAAAAAAATGATGGAAATTTAATAATTATTCTATTATTCATCTATCAATCTCTAAGAAAATTTGCCAACTTATATTGGGATACAAGTATTGAAACAAAAAGAAATTAAGAGTTTGTTCCTAGAAGGATTCTATTAAATAATTTGGTTTGAAGGTTTTGTTCAATAAAACATTAATTGAATGTTTAAATCATTCGATTAATTATATTTTATAATCATATTCATTGTTATACGCAGAATATTTTTCAGTGCCAGATATTACGACTCCACTATGATAGGCACCACAACCAATTGATTGTACTTTATATGCGAATAACTCTGTTGGTTTGGTCTGACTTTATTTGCATAATTCTCCAAATTTATTCAATCCCCAACCGTACACCTTCCCTTAAGATTAACATAGTGTATGATCCTACCCAATGGCTATGCTCTCAACCTTGTAATTAAGGATCTGCTGAATCCCTTTTTATTCTGCATTGGTATCTATTCCCAATTGGCCATCATCATTACAACCACATCCATACAGATTCCCATCCTTCAGAAAGTATGATTACAAAGATCCTGCATATATTTAATCAACATCCTCAATTAAGAGTGTAGGTTATACAACACTTGTGATATCTAAAGACAAACCCAACTATCCCTACTCATTATAACCCCATCCATAAACTTATTTCTGACTATTCAAAATTATAGTATGAGCATCACCACATGCAACTGCTTACACATTTTCTACCTCAACCTTGGTTGGAATGGCTATTTCCATTCCTAATTCAAGTGGCAATCCCAATTAGCCTCCGTCTCCTCTTCCCCAAACGTATAATCTATCCTCAACTATGGCAGCATTGTGTAATCCACCGCATTTCATCTGTTTACAAGGACCTGGAATCATAACCTATTGAGGAATGTGAGTTGATATCACAGTGTTGTTTCCTAACAAACCTCCCTCTCCACATCCCCAAGAATAAACTCCTCCTTTTGAATTAACATAAACAGAATGGTCATGTCCACACTCTATTGAAATGCAATCAAATGAACTCTCAATTAGATGAGGATAATCAACATACTTGATTACAGATTGCTTGCCACATTTGCCATCCTCATTGTTACCCCAACAATATACTTTACCCATATTGCTTATTGCCATTGTGTGTTTGTATCCACATGCCATTTTTACAAACATCACATCACTCTTTAAAGAAATAGGAATTCTGTATTTCAATTAATACATCTATCCTAATTAATAATTCTAATTAAATCCCCATAGTATGATTTGTCCTGGCTGATAACAAAATTACGGCTCAAATGATTGAATATTTTCACCTTAGAGTTCGTTGAATCTTTTAAATAACCAATCATACAACATGAACCCTTTTATTGAGGCTCTCAATACTTGAATTAAATCCTTGTTTTTGTAGTTATGGCATTGGATATTGTTGCAAGGCAATGGAATTTGGATGAATTGAGAAAAGAAATATTGAATCACACTCAGATAATCAACATCTCCATTTTGAGAGGTAAAAACTGATAATCGATGCCAACAAAAAGCTTCAATTGGATATAAAATACTTCCTCTATTTCTGAAGTCTCCAAAGCATTACCGAGATATTTTAATAGCAATTTCATAAAACCTTTGACTTTCTTAATTCCCCTGAAATTGACTCTCCAAATAATATCCTTTGAGTAGAGCATCAAACAATTGATATTAAATTAAATCATAGTTCTGTGTTTCCATCACGAAATCTGAATTTTAAATTTACATCAATAAATTTGCATCCTGTATAACACTCTGACAATCAATCTCCTTTAAATACTCAATCCATTATGATAAAACGAAAGAATTGGGGATGTAAAATTTAACATTCTTTAAGTTATAAAATATGCTCGGTAAATACAATTCATAAGATGTTTGTTGATTGTTCCTGGCCAACCAGTCATAGGCCTTTTCTCTCATTGACATTAGTGGTTCAGTCTTAGTTTAAAAGGATTCCACAAAATTATAGTTATTACAAAATGCTTTGGATGTGAAGTAATGAGAGTCGATGTTACCTATGAGTCGAATTTTATCTTTGATTTTAATTGAGAACTTTTCTTCTAAAAATTGCATCAAGATTCTGGCATTTGAGAGACTTACTTAGATGACATCTTTAACTATTTCAGATGAAAGCACATAATTTAATTCTTCCTATGATAATTGATATTTCAAATCCAAGCATTTTATTCTATCGAATGTAAAATACATGGTTCCACCTTTTGATATTCTTCTCAACTCCTCCTCTATATTTAAATCAGAATGCTACTTCTTCAAATAATTCACCAAAATAGCACATGCAAAGAAAGGTTTATTTCTATTATCGGAAAGACAAAAGCTTGACCATAAATGGTACTGTTTCATGAATCTTCTTTTCATATGCTCCTTTAGTGCCTAATAACTAAGTAAGTATAAACCATCATTTAAATCATTCTTCAATTACATCAAATTTGGTTTTCTCTTACTTTTTTAGATCAGCAATTCACATATGTAATTACCATGGAAATAATTAGGAAGATGGCTATTCTGAACTTAATTGTCCAGTATCTGATAAAAATTCATATTTCCCTATTAGATCTTGCTGTGTTTATTTAAATTGTAATCTTATAAGGAATCTATAAATCTTATGTTTTCATTCAATATTATCATGCAATAGATTGCAACGTATTTACTTTCCGATCTTACCATGTTGATTAAGGATTTGCCATTGTATTCGACTACCTTAAATTATAGATATGTTTATTTACTTGGCGTATAATACCATTGATATCCTCTTTAGTGTTATTATTATTTATAATTGGGCTCACCATATAATAATCATTCTTACTATATTCTATGCTGATATTTGGTAAGATATAATTTTAAAGCGAATAACATTAGCTTCTGAGTTCCTTAAAAACCCTTTTGAATTCTTTCGGATTTTCCAATTTCAATCTCTACACTTATTTCGAGTTATCGGAATGCAAGTTCAAATTTACATCTGATGCCAAATCACTTTAATAGACATCCCTTGTTAATGATGGATCAAATTGATGCAAAGTGAAAACTGGATGATCCAAATCAACCTCGATGTTAAAGAGATTTATTGGTTCTTCTTCCAAAGAAACTTACTACCTTTATTGATAGGTAAATTATTTTTAATTCTAATAATTCTTCATGTAATCTTCTGATGTTTTTACATTATTCGCTATACATGTTCCCATAACAAATAAATATTTTTAAATATGTTTTATATAAATTATATAATTTCTGTCTCTTTTTATAAAACCATAAATCAAAAAGAGCAAGCATTTATTTTCAAACTATTTCAATCTCAATGGTAATTACATAAATTAACTTGTATTCATCAGTAGTTAATCTTAATTATAATTAGTTTGCCCTACAAATAGAATAATAACTATATAATAACAATAATTTATTATATATAACCTCCAAGTATTTTACATATTTAACTGTTGAACCTATAAGAATATAATGAATCTAAGATTATGAAAACGAATATATCTTTAAAATTTTATTATTTATAATTTTATTTTAATTTGTTTGTCAGAAAATGAAACCATTCGATTTCAGATAAACTCTAAGAAAATTAAAATGCGATATACATCCTATTAAGTTATCAACCATGATATAATACGATTTTTATTTTCATAAATAGTTTAATATATGTAAATCTCATAAAACCTTTTTAAAAATCATATTTTGTCTATTAATACAACTTCTCTTATCTAAAATTCTGTATTCTTCTTAAATTAATAAGTTTAATGTATTTAAAAAATTTCTTTGTGTTAACAACTCCATATTGTAAATTCTAATATTTATAATATATTTTTTGAATTGAATTAATAAAAAATAATTAAATTTCGTCATTTATGTTCATTTATATCAAATATTCTACTCATTAATATGATTGTTCTTGATTATTGATTATTTTGAATAAACAAAGTTTATTTATTATTTAATACATGATAAAAAAGCTTTTGAGTATTCCAAAGTGGAAATTCTTTGCTGGGGCGTCATTTGCCTTACTTGGCTAACACATTTATGATTGTTTATATAATACAGAAATTGAAGTCTTTTATTAGAACACAACTTGTAATAAAGACCTTCTATCGAAATGTCCAAACATTAGAGTAATGAAAATTAACAACCATAGGGACATTTTAACCCAAGCATTTGGAGTATGAATAATATCTTTGGATTGTTCTATGTTACATTAGTTGAACATTAAATGGTGCCCTTACAAAAAAGAGAAATGGTGACTCTTAAAGATGGAGGTCAAGTGGCATTGGATTGGAAAATCAATGATCCCAAAAATGTCGTGTTGGTTTTACATGGGTTGACAGGTGGCGGAGATTGCAATTATATCAAAGATACATTAGAGAGACTCTACAATGCTGGTTATACAGCGGTCTGCTTCAACAATCGAGGAGTAGGATTCACAAATTTATCTGTATTATTTAAACTATGAAGACACCTTAATATCATAATCACGGAGACCCATCTGACATGATGGAAATTATTGATTTGATAAAGCAGAGATATCCCGAAGCAACATTATAGTGTGTAGCAATATCAATTGGTGCTAATTTAGCAGCCAAATATGCTGGAATCACAAAAGAGAAATGTGCCTTCAAGTCCATTGTTTGCATTGCCAACCCATTTGATTTATTGGTGTATTCTAGTCCACTATATATTTAGGCCTGTTTTGAAAATTTGGACAGATGGTACAACTATTTATATATCTATTATCTCACTAAGCATTTCAAATGGGTTGCTCAATAAACATTTAGATGTGATGAATGCATGCTTTGATGAACACAATATTGACATTAAAAAAGTATTAGAAGCTAAAACTCCTTACGAATTTGATCATTATTTTACAAGACAATTGTAAAAATTTGAATCAGTCGAACAAATGTATCGGGTATTGCTCTATCTTAAACCAAGGCTAATTCTTCAATTAACTACATCAAAGACATTACAGTTCCCACTTTGTTTATTAATACTAAAAATGATCCTTTAATACCTTGGAAATTTGTACCAATTCAATTACACAGACACATGCCAAATTTGATATTTGCTTTAACTCAAAAGGGAGGCCACATAGAATGGTATAGTGAAACTAACTTAGTTACTGTTAAAAGAGTAAGAAGAATTATTAATAATATAATAGTGGATTATGGATCCCACTTTAGACTACTTAAATTATTTCAGAGACCTACCAATTGATAAATGGTAGTAGTATTTACAACAACCGAAAATTTGATGATGTGAATAAATTTATAAGTTATATATAATTAATTATACAATCAATTTAACTAATCATTGAATTTTTATTGAATTTAGCATCTCCTTCCCTTTTGTTGCTCTACATATTAGTTGAAATCCAAAGTATTGTTGAACTCAATCTAAGTTGTATTGAATCTTGATGCCTTATGAGACTCTGTTCTAATATCAACAAGCTAGGCATTCCTTTTTTTTCTTAGTTAATTAAGCTCTAATGATTCGTGAACATTCATTGAAAATATACGATGATGAGCTACAAATTCAATTATAATAATCATACTTTTTGGTTTCCTTCTCCATTTTGGTTAGATTGACTAACTCTTCTCCTCAGAAGACAGTATTCTACCACCAACTATTTTCAATAACTAATCTTCAAATGTTAATTAAGAATCAACTTTAGAATGTTATATGGAATGATAATTGGCTACATTCAAAGGATCTTGTTTCTACTAAAAGTTAACTGATCGATTTTATCTAGCCCTCATTAATTTTTATTCTAATTTGATTCTCTCCCTTGGTTTTGCATATGCTGATAATTGTGGACTTGCAAGTGGTATATAAGTATTTTTTGCTGATGGCACTATTTTATTAACAGATACATATCTAAACTATTGCTTTGGCTCCCTTTTTTATCTTGATTCATCATCAATGTTTGAACTTACTTTAGGAATGAAATAGTGAAAACTTTTATCAAACATAATAATAAATTATTTATATCAAATCTCTTTAAAGTTTCAAAGAGGAGTTCATAAATCCTGAGATACAATACTTGTTCTTCGTCATTATTTATAATTTATAATATTTAATAATTTGAAAATATATTTTAGAAAACTACTTAATTTATGTATCAATATCTTTTTTTGTAATAGAATGAATAAGTTATCATAGCCATTATTGCTAGGTTCCAATAGAATTAGTTTAGGAGTACAAAATGAGAATCATAGTTTAATCACATAAAATAAAAATAAAAAAGTTGCGTCTATCGGGACTCGAACCCGACCTAAATGCTTGGAAGGCATTCGTACGAACCTCTATACTATAGACGCTAGCTTATACAAATATTTATCCTTTTGTATTTAAACTAGAGGAAAGAAACTAATAATATGGAGGACAGGTTTATAATATAAATAAATGATCGATTGTTGACCTAGGTCTATATATCTTAATATAAAAACGAAAAATATTCTAACCTTATGTTATAAATGTTTATCTAAAATTCATAAGTCCTTTGCTATAAGTATGAATAGATAACAAAAAATACGGTTATCCAGATCTCAAAAATAGGCCTTTTATTGATTCTAGTTAACAGCAGTAAGTTTGACTGAGGCTTTATCTTGATATGAAACTATCTCTTTGATTTCATTTTAACAATCAAATATCTTTACAGTTATCATTAGGGAAGAAGTAATCATGATAGAAATTCACAAGGATAATAAAATTTCTACTTAAATGATGGTATGTTATCAGATCATAGAATAAAATATGATTGAAATAGGTGTGTAGAAAAAGGATAGGGATTACTCGTAGTTATAGGGTATATTTGGATTGGTACGAGCATTCATATTTAAACTTTGCGATAAATTTTGAATAGATATTGAGTATCATCATTTTTGATTTATGGGAATTGGGTTGAGAATTATTTTGGTTTTTAATTTTTCCTATGATAAACAAATTAATTAGCCTTAAGGTAGTTTTCTTTGATGGGAAGTGAAACCTAAAAATATTATTGCATTTGTTAATGACAACTTATTATTGAAATAGTTATATTATAATTTAAATTAAAATAGATAGCTTTTTATAATTGCTCAATAGTTCATAGGGTGTATCTCTTGTTAAGATAATCTATTAAGAAGGATTCCACTTTTTAATTACTAAATGTCTCCGATATGCTTGAATAAGTTTCTTCAAATGACTCTTTCTATACTTTGAGTCTTTCAAAAAAGTATAAAGATCTAAAGTTCAATTAATATTATTACTATAAATATTCCAAATAATATTGTTTGTCAGGTGAATATTGGAACAAACCTTCAGTCTATAAAATTTGCTTCAATTTTTGTAGGTAACTATTAAAATCTGGATTTATTGGCAAAACAGGATAAATTAAATGTAATTAGTATCGCTCCAATTCCTGAGATATTACTTAATGATATCTTTCTTGTTTCTCTATTTCCTATTGAACATTGGCAAGTGTGTAAAGCATTTGTTAATTAGGATTAAATTAATTTTAACTTTTTAATTTCAAAGCCTTTGCATGTTCAAAGAAACATTGTGAATAGTAATGAAGGTACAATTTCAATCCAAGCCATTCTTATTTAAACTATATTTATATGTTTCTAAGATATTCTATTATTATTACACAAATCTTCCTAAAGAATGTAATGCTTAGTCAATAACAACTCCTATTTGATATAGTTAATCAGATTGAGCTTGCACCTATTAAAATAGAAATGGTTAGCCGATGTCGGGGACTGATGCATTTGCTATATTGAAAGTTAAAGGCTAAGGTGGCGCTGCTGTTTAAAATCTTGAGGGAGTAGTAAACTTCCCTTATTAGATTTATGGAGGGATTACGTAATTTGGATTCATGGGTTGCTGAGCCATTTATGGAAATTAAACAGGAGCTTTAAATGTCTGTATTTGTTTGAGAGTTTCTGGAGGAACTTATTATTATTCGTTGGCTGGACTCTAAGCTGGTTTCTATAACTCTTAAACTGATTCATCATCATCCAAATTTGGAGGAATTTCTAGTATTATTCTGTATCTTAATTTAATATTGATACTTTGATTAATCTACTACAGCATTTCCGTCTGATATGAGGGGATGATTAAGTAGTTCTTACCAACTGATTCTGTCTTCCTCTTTATATTTGAGCATGCTTTCAATTAAAGTAGCAAAATCTTAAGTCATCTTAGAATATTAATTATTATTACTCCTGGATGATCTCTATTAACTACAACTGGGACCTATTGTAGATTTCTCAAAGCCCTTCTAAGTTAACTTTAACTCTGAGCAACATAAGGTAATCCACCAAAAATTAATTCATAAATAATGATGCCTATCTGATTAATTATAGATTTTAAATGTTACTGAGAAAATATCGGCTGAATTTGTGAAGAAATTCTCCAGATACACTTAAGGAGCACTATATTTTGGTGATCCCACTCTTGTCATTTATGTGTTTGCTTCAATGACTCTAGCCAATCCTAAGTCGGCGATCTACAGTGTAATGGTCTAATTTTACTTTATAAACCCCGTCTAAGACTAATATATTTGCAGGTTTAAGATCTCTATGTATAATGTTATGGGAATAGAGCCCTTTATAACCAGTTAAAATTTGTTTTAGTATGTTGAGAGCTTCTGTAGGACGAAAATTCTGTTCCACTTGACTCTTCTTCCTATTAATTATTGATTGGAGATCGCATTCACATTTTTCCAGTATGAGTACCGTCCTCTCATCATTGAAATCAACATGCTCCACTCTGACAATGTTTTTGTTTCCCCTTGCCGATAACATAATCATTTTCATCAATTCAATTTCCCTTATGGCTTTTGGATTATTACAACCTTCATTTACAATCTTTAATTTTAATTTGTATTACCTTTGCGCACAATTTCAGTTCTGGTTAATGTACATCTTAGCATGAGTAAACAACCCCAAACTAACCTCTCCCGATTTCAGAGTTTGTATTTATAACATAAGATTTTATTCTTATCATATTGTCTTCTGGCATTATTGCTTGTGTTGTATTTATTTTGTTAATAGAAATAGAATGTTTGACATTTTTGGTTTATATAATGCGATATTCTATTAAAATCCATATTTTACAAGACTTTTATGTAATAGATTTTTGCTAATATTGAACATTCTCTCTGTTTATTGCAATTATGGGAGTGTTTGGATCAACTGGCTGCAAAAGACATCAATTTGAGACTTGTCCGATTGGAAATTAATAGGTCAGTATCATTTAAAAATTCTAATTATAAAAATTCTCCAGGTAGATCTTCACCCAAAAAAACACAATAGGCTTCATCAATCATTTCTTTGGACATTTCTCACATCTATTGATGTCCCCCTTTTTATGTGGCTCATGAAATCCTTAATTAAGACTTCCACTTTGCGCTTAATGCATCGAGTAGTCCTCATAAGATCGTATGTTTAGATGACTTTGTATAGTGAGACTCTTGCATCTAAGTCTAAGTAAAACATTTGAGTAATTGTCCTCTTGAATCCAAAAACTTTCAGAATTTATCTATATAGTTGGCTTAGCATCAAAAAGTAGGAAGAATTCTTTTCCTACACAATAGAAAGTCTCAGAATTGTTTTTAAATATTTGAATTCCAAGCAGGCTGTCTGGACTAGGGAAGTTATATTTTTATATTTATGAATATAATCCTGATCCAGGAGTTCTGAAATCTGGGATTCCAGCAGCTAACTCATTCCAACTCCAGCCAATACACAGATTTTCAAAATATCCTATTTTTAATCCATCAACTCATTTAGCATAGTTGAACTCATCCTCATTCTTAACCTTAAGATTAGAAAGCTGCTCAAATAATTGCTTAATTATAATCAAAATATAGTGTAGAATAATAATAAAATATTAAGTAAATAATACTAAACTAAAGATTTTATAAATTGAATATACACTCGATCATTTCGTTTCAATTATTTCTTCTTCTTCAAATTCTTCCCCATCCTCTGTTCGGTTGTTTACATAATTCATTAATTTCTTTTGATCGCTTGAATTCAATGAAACTAAGAATAGGAATATGAGTCTTTACCTATGCGATTACGATCTTCAATGTATAAATAGATGGCTATGATTAAGGAAACACAAGCAAGTATTAAAAAGAATAGGACTACTGATACTTGTGAGGAGGCTTCAGCTGAAATAAAGGCGATGAATAATGGCATCACAAAGAAAGCAAAGTTTTGAACAGAGTTCATTACACCGAATGCTGTGCCCCTTTGTATAATCAAATTTTACTAGTTATTTCTATTTCACAACGAATGCAATGCTTGTCCATATTGTACTAGCAAAGAGAGCATAGGCTAATCCCAAAGTGAGCATGCAAAATATGGGATAAAACAAGAGCATCAACAACAAACCCAAGAAAACTAAGGCACATCCAATTGCAAGAAACTTAATTCTTTGACCGACCTTGTCTATCATCAACCCAACAAAAGGACTTAGGAAAGTACAACACAAATAGGGAATGCCCATTAATTCACCAGCCACTTCTTGATTCTATTCTATAGGTGCATCTGCAGACAACCATAAATTAATTATGATGCCACTTGAAAAGGATATAAAAATTAAGACTGAAGTATAAAAAGTGGTCATAATCAAAGTCAGGATCCAAAAGATCTAAAAATATGTTGATTTTGTATTTTACTTTAGGAAAGGTTCCAATATCTTCCATTATCTATTTTACAAGTTCTCCAAAGTCCAACACTTACATACTATTATCCAATAAGCCTTCTGTTTTCTGCAGATTTCGTTTCTATAGGATTTCCGAATAAGAATCAATGAAATTCATAACCAAAAGAGCAGCTCCAGAAATCAGAGTAATTCCAAATCCCACTCCGAATGCTGTAGTCATACCTGATTTTTCAGCGATCCTTGGAGAGATATATGTACCCAAGACTGTGGCACTTCTTATCAGACTCAAATTAAGTGCCTATCCTTAAGTCGATTACTTACATTAGCAAAGGACAGCTCTTTGCCCACAAACCATTTATTAATAATAATAGAACTTGCCACACAAAGGGATTCTCCACCCAATCCGAACATAAATCTACCCAAAATCATATATTTAAGGTTTGCTACCGAACTTCCAAAATACAAAAATCCCTGACCCAGAATAACAAAGAACATGAATATTAGTGACATCTTTCTATAGCCTAAATTTGCATAGATCCTAAGTTTACCAAAGACATCGCTCATGAACCCTCCTACTAATGGCAATATTATGTTGGGGATGGAATAGAACGAATACATGAAACTGAAATAGAAATTTGTCAAGTGTTCGCCGTATATTGGGCTGTAGGTTTGCACTATTTGTTCCTTCAACAACGCAGGTTAGTCAAATATAAACATATTTCCATACTATGGTATTCACATGTTATTTACTAGAGCTATGCAGGCTAGCAATAGGATGATGTATCTGAGAAAGCCTGGACTTTGTTGGTCTTATCCTTTTTTCATTTTAATAATAAAAACGAATAAATCAGAATCGATCAAAATACAATTTGCAAATAAATAAATTCTCAATAACAATGCAAAACAATTAGAGCGAAATAAAAAACTATTAGCAAGAGAAGGAAGAAAGGTTTCAATAAAGTTTATTCAAAGATCAAATCTAAAATATTGATTCCACTATTTAAGAGGCATCAAACAATCCTGATTTTGTTAAAGTTATTGTTATTTGCACTTTCACCAATGAAGTAACTATCAACCTTCAATTTAATAATAGACAATAGCAACCAAGGAGAAAATAATATGTTCTGACAATGATGTTTAGAATGTTGAGAAGGATGACGTAGTTGGTAAAGAATCAAAATAACAAAAATAGAGTAATAGGACCTTTCTGATTGTGTGAAAATAGAAATTGTGATCTACATAGAAAGGACATTTATTGAATGTTCTAAATTATTGAAGTCCAATTACATTGAAAAACTAGACGTGATTAAAGTAAAATGGAATCCCTAAATAATTTAGTTGCCCATCTGCTCAGCCAATGGAATACGCATTCCAAATGAATACGATATCAAATAGTTTTTCAAGTTGTCCAAAATCAAAAATAACAATGAGGAATTCACCAAGTAAATCCATTCTATGGACACTAAACATTTATTTGGTTTGCTCATAAGCAGTCTTGTATTCTAAGTATTTTGACTTCTATTATCTTGAGGATGCGCAAATAGAAGAAGCCATTTTTGAATTGTTCTTTTAAAACATCAACTTGGAAAATGCAATCAAATTGTTGCTCATCACAGTGTAATATGAATCCAAAAAATAACATTACTTCTATAAGTATCATCACTCTTCAATATATAGACTCATTAAGCATTTGTATTATTTTAGCAAAGGCTTGTTGAAAGAAACTTATGATAATCATTTGCAGAAGATTGTTTAAAATGGAATGAAACCAAAGCAATTGTAAATTGAGAAACCCAATTTTATCAAATTAATAACTCAACTGCACATATTTAAAATTAACTCAACAATCCTATACCCCCTTTTCAAATAACAGGAATCACATCTATTCTAATACTACAAGCCAGTTAGAGAGAGGAAATCTTTCACTGTGTATAGAAATTTGGATTGTCCAGAAGGCAGAGAACAATCAGATTTTCCCCATCTTTATTATCTGAAAAATAAGGAGAACCAAACAGTCTTAGTAGCAGTACAGTATGAGATACAAGGAGATATCCTTATTTTCTAAGAATATTAAGAGAAATTCATAAAATACAATGATAATTATTTAGGACTGATTGAGTTTAAGAATCAAGGCAGAGAATTCATTGTTTATGATGACGGCTATCCTGAATATATGGAAAACAACTTTCCTTAATGGATTGGAAGGAAGAAGAGAAGAATGCTTGTGTTGGATTACTTTTCAGAAAAAAGATATGACAAACCCAGACTGTTTGATGTGAAGTGTTTCAATGTAAATACTAATCAATATGATGGTAATACTATTAGTTTATTTAGAAATCATTACTAAAGAACCTCATTATGATGAATCCAAAGGTTCCTATTCTTTGTAATTGGGTGAGATCGCTTTGATTCCATCAACCAGAAATTTTATATTGCAAAAGAAGGGAGAAAACAATGCAGAATAATAAGTCTATCTTTGTCATGGCAAACAAAATAGACACACCTTTCACTTGGAGTTGCATGAAGGAATTAGTGTGTTCTAGGGTTTCTGCATTTCTGTTGTATCAATTTGTTCTAAAGGTTCTTGTGAATGAATGCATAATATTTTATATTTAATCATATGCAACAGCACTCTGAATCGGATGATCAATCTCCTGTTCATGTAATCTAGTTTTAAGATAAGAATAATGAGATTGAGTCGGAAGCCTTATGGGATTAGGAAGAAGGATAGCAAGAATATCATATTCAAATTAACACTGATCGAATTCTGGACATATTTCAATCCATAGAAACTTAAATTGATCCATTTACTTGTGTCTTCAAAACGAATCAATAGATGATTGTAATGTACAAACAGAAATTGCCATTGCTGAGAAGATTAGGATATTTGTTATGCAAGAGTGAAGCTAAATATTGCATAATACTAGTAAAACTAGAGAATCAGAATTCCTTATTGATTAAGTCTCTTAAAGGAGTATTAAATTATAATTAAAAAGGACTCTGAGATAAATGATGGCATCATGAAAAAAATAGGAAATGCAATATATCAATTTTCAGACAAAAATTAACATCTGTCACATATAGATGAGATTATGTAAGTGTAAATTTATATAAGACATGAAGATTCGAGATTCAATCCTTTTCATTTAGATAGTTTGAGTGTTGCAATGATTTACAAACATCTTCAAGACAAAATTGTGATACCAGAAAAAATAAATATGAAATAACTCTACAATTTAGTTGAAAAAGAGCATGACAAAATAAAAGAAGAACCATTGTTAATTAAATCAATTTAGGTTAGTCAATTCCATATCTTTACAATTGAGCGTTACATTTTCAATAAGATATTTGATTAGATGATGAATCAGTATATTGAAAAGTATTAAGAAAGACAGGAGTAGGTTGACTAGAAGAAAATGCAATTGAGATAGAAGTATTCTAAAGCGGATTTAATCCATTCTTTGGAAATCAAAGATCAATATCTACCTCAATCAGAGATACCATACCATGAGGCCATAAATGAATTAAAGTTGATTAATCTCTACAAAACTCCAACTGAAATGTTGAAGCAATTTCAATATGTTCTAGTTTTGATTAGGGGAGTGGCTTTTTAATGCAATCAGAAGGAAGAAATCATTGCAATGGATGACGAATTGCCCATCTTAATTTGGGTGGCATTGATGAGTGATGTTCCTAATCTCTATGCAAAAATATTCTTTGTGGATGATTATATACAGGAAATCGAAAATGAGAAGCGCATCTTAACTAATCTGAGGGTCTCTTTAGATTACATATCTAAAGAATGGAAATTATGATATTATTTATGTTCCAATTTATAAATTATGGCTTCATTTTACCTAATTTTATTAAGTTACTTCTCATCAGAGTTCTAACTATGAATTAATAATATATTTGTTATATTAAAAATTTGAATTATCTAATGAACATCTATTAACCAAATCAATCAGCACTCACCAGTGCATTTAAATCATAGGCTACTCTGACTGAATAGAAGGTCATCTTTTTGGAGTAGTCTCTAAATAAGGCCCAAAGAGATGTAAATTGTATCGTATAAAATGTAGCTAAATGATGTAAGATTTCAATAAAACCATTTAAAGTCTAAAAGGGAAGACTTAATCTAGAATTATCACAAAACCAACAGAAAGCTCTTGAAATAAGTGGATGAATTACAATAATTAATCAATAATACACAAACCTACATCAGATTAGATTAATTAATTACTGCTTTCAAAAATAATAACTGGAATGATCATATAGCTAGATATCTTCATGAGAATAACAAGTTAACATCTTAAAAAATAAAAATAATTTAAAAAATTATATTAACTGATTAATAACTAAGTGATTGGAGGGAATAAATAAACATGATAGAGGAAGATATTAATGGATTGCATCATTAGAATAGTGCTTTGATTATTGAATTCGAAGAATTAGATGAAGTGATTCATTAATGGAATGGTTCAGCCATAGAACCAATTAGCAAAATCTATCAGATTAAGAAACAGTTAAATGAGCTCAGGGTCAATTACTTAGATTTGTCAAGTGAAAGATAACGGAAAGAGACAAGTCTAACAGAATTGACAACCTAAGTTGACTCAATCCAGGAGAATCTCAATTAATTAAGAAAAGAATAAATACCAGTTTTTTAAGAAATTGACTTTCAACTCAAACAAAGCATTCAATTTTGGTTTTCGCCAGATTTGGTCTACAAGGTCTTTCTAGATATTTTCAATGACTTTGTTGATTTCAATAAGGATAAAATAGATGAGGTATTCAGCATATTGATGCAAATTCATGACAAAATTGTTGGATGTTGTTTCAGTCTGTTGCAAAAGCACATCAAGTTTGAAGAGAGATAACAACTGTTTGATACGAACTTTCAAGAAGCCACCAGCTTAATTAATTAATATTAGTAATGGTTCAAGGAGATAGATGTTTAAGACTTCGAGTGTTTGCTAGGTATTTATTGATTAATTAGAAGTTTAAAAAATAAACAATCATTAATTTATGAGCATCATTGAATAGAAGAGTTAGCGGTTCCAGGCTGTTTTACAGAAATAAATTCGAATTTTTAGTTGTACCCAAGAACACACAAGTCTTAAGTATGGTTATCATAGATTCTGCTTAGAGCTCAATAAATTGAGCTAGAAAGATAAGTTCATAAGTTATTGTATGAATAATCGATGATACAGTGCAACTATCAGCGTTTAGAATCCTAGTTGCAACAACTGAAGATTGCTGGGCCTATCCTTATTATGAACACCTAAAGTTATCAGTTAGAACAAGTGTTAGATAGAATCAATACTATTGAAATCATTCAGAAGAAAAACAAATAGTAAATAGAATTGAATTATCCTTAACAAATTTCAGTTATTGAATCTTAAATAATTCAATACCAAAATCAGTTTTAATAGTTGATTGAATAATTATTAAGCATTAAATCGGACATAAAATTAGTGTATAATTAAGATGTCGATCAAGACGAGGCATTTTTATAAATGGAACTTCAATAACTCAATTAGGAATTGCATACTCAAGAATTGTTGTTTTCTAAATCCAAAAACGAATGCGAAATTAAGTTATAATAGTTTGACTATGAAGAAAGTAATAATATTCATTCTAATCAAGATGCTATTTTAAATAGAATTGAAACAATATCACAAGCTATGAATGATTATCGTAATCAAAAGCCAATCAAGGAAAATATTCCTCCCACAGATTTACATTCTAAACGCCAATCATTAGACAATAGTATTTTTGACAACAACAACAAATCCAATTTGAAATATTCTTGTCATGAAAATACAACTGACAGAAGTCATTCCAGATCTAGATCAGCATTGGGAGCAAATTCATCGTCTAATTCGTTAAGAAACTTTTTGAATTTCCAAAGTCCTTCCCAATTAAAACGAACTAAACTTACTCTGATTCATAATCATTCCAACAGGAACTCATAAAAATAATCAATCAACTCTTCTGTTCAAAAGATAGATGATACCACACTCTTGTCACCAAATAAAAGTTTTATTTCAAATAAAAATCAATAAATCTAACCTGTTAAGACTTTCAAAGTATACAAAAGAACAGTGTAAAATACTCTCATTTAGAAACTGTAAGAAGTCAACAATTACATACCAAAGTAAAATCAATTATCATATTTGTAGGTTTGTTAAATATAATGAAAAAATGAAATGCATAGAGTTTTACAATGCTAATAGAATTGGAAGTGATTTGGGCGTGAAAGACTCAGCTTTGAATATCAAATAAATAGTTGGAATAACACAATAACTAGTTAAAGGTGTTATTAAACAAAGTAATCAATACCTCCTACATTTTAGATTTCACTTTCTATGGACTATTTTTATTACTCCAAAAAAATCAGAAAGTAGAAATTCTATTTGCTAAATAAGAAGAATTAATTTAATTCTTGAACATCTTAAAGTGAATTCAACCATTATATAATTTTTTCTTAATAATAATGTTATTTTCTTAAAGATAATCAAACCTGTTTGAGGAGATGGAATCGATACCAATCAATAAGATGCCTTAAGGGTCCTCACGTTCTAGAAATTTATCTAATGATAGACCATAAACTAACGAGCGATCTATTAAGCTATCAATAGAGAATAGTAGACAAAGGCATAAGGCGGAATCCTATTCTGTTGAAAAATCAGTAGACACTTTAACATTAATATTGATAGTTAAATTTGAGCTCTTAGAATTAAAAGGTTGAAAATCTAGTGGCTTCATGGATACTACAAAAGAATTCATCATCTCTCAATTCAAGTTCAAATAATGTTCAACCAAGTATACTCTTCCAAAGTATTCTAGCTTCTTAATTTGAAAGCCAAGGAAGACAATCGAATCGACCCCACATTATCATAGAAGAAGAGCTCCTATTCACAGAAGAAGGAGATTAATAGAATGGTAATCAATCCAATAAAGTGAACTAAAATAAACATAAAACACCAAGCACCACACGTCCTCATGCTAAGAGCATAAAAGAATAATGTATTCTACTTATATATGAAGAAAGTTTTGATGTCAAAAAAAATTGTATGGAAAGAAATGTTCCTAAAAAACCCTTAAACTCATATGCTCAACGACCTCAAACTACAAAAATGCAAACTTCTACTTAAGTTAAATCTACGCCTTTGGTTTACAAGGATAATTCTCTTCACAACCCAATGAAATCATCATAGATAGAACAAGCTAAATTTAGTAATCTTTATAGTGGATCAAATAGTTATAGCAACAACATCAAGAATAGAAACAGACAAAATAATTACCAAAAAATTGTTAAGAAAGATAATATAACTTCAAATTCAGAATTCTAATTGGATAATCAATGCATTCCTGATTTGATCAGATTAAAGGATCTTATCCTATCAACATACCTAAAATAGAATAGACCTCTCATTAATTCCTAAAATCAAATAGTTAAGTAATATTTGAGATTTTTAATTTAGAAATTTTGATGAAATCGTAGCAATCTTAAAATAAGACTTTCCCAATCATATTTGAACAATGTATTTTAGTTTTTTCATAATATTATATAATTGTGAATCTAACATTGCTATTTTCATCAACTTCTTTAATATTATAAATTTGCTTTTGGATTTAGGAATATTTTTATATATAATATTAAAACGAATGCAAATTTAAAGTGATCAAGTAAGTTATAAATTTCAAGTAAAACCGAGTAAATCTGTTGTTCATCCTATAAGGGAAATATAAAGAGACATTTAACTATTTTTGAGAAGGTTGTAAAGATAAGAGTATAATATATTGATATATATCATTAAAATGCCTTCAATTGATCCAAGAACCCTTAATTAGGTTCTGCTCTGGCATGCTTTTATTTAACGTAATTCAAAGCTCTTTACGAATTGAGCCTTAGTTTTCTGATGATGTAGGCTGTTATAATAGTCACTGATCTACTCTAACCTCCATAACAGTGAACTAGAATGTTTTTATCTTGAGCAATAATTGAATCAATGTAGTCGATGCACTCTTCGAAATAATGGCTTATGTTAGTTTCTGGTTTGTCTTCGATCGAAATGCATTTGTAGGTGAATTTGGAAGGGAAGTACTCAGGCAAATCCCCAACTATTAAAATATTCGATATTTGGTTCTTGTTGAGCCAATTCTGGTCTTTGGCGTAGACAACCGATGACAAATACACATGAGGGATTATTTCTGACATTAGTAAAAATAAAATAATAATAAATTAGGCAGAAGTGTGTTAATAAATCTGTAAATAAATATTGATTTCGAAGCAATTCTGATATGGGGAGGAATAATGTATTTTTATGGACGAGAATCCTTACTGTTACTTGATAATTGTTCAGTCTATTTAGTGCATCGTAATACTTGAAGGTGGAGGGAGTAAGGAGAGAGAAGTGAATAAAATGAGATATATAATTAATAAATATTTATTTTATGCAGGCAGCTTCGATATTTAATGGAAAATATGTAGTTTAAAAGAAGTTATCATCTGGATCTTTCGGAGTGGTTCTATTGGGACATGATAAGGATAAGAATGTGGACGTGGCAATAAAAATAGAGAAGGAGGAAAATGAGGATGTGCGTTCTTTGGAAAGGGAAGTTCTGGTGCTGGAAAGATTAAATGGAATTGAGGGGGTTCCCAAGATGTTTTGGCATGGTGAGTAGGATGAATACAATGTTATTGTAATGCAGATTTTGGGGAAGGACTTAGCACATTATATGAAAAGCAAAAAGAAGTTTTCGTTTAAAACAGCAATCCAATTGGGAATTTAAATAGTTAAGGTTTTGGAGCGGATCCACAATCAGGGAGTGGTGCATAGAGATTTGAAGCCAGAGAATGTGCTGTTTGGCATTGATGATGAATCTTCTAAAATTTATGTGATTGATTTTGGAATTAGTAAAATATTCAGAGATAAAAATGGAAAGATCCAGTAATAATCATTAATATAAGATAGTCCTTTTCGTGACAACACATCCTTCATTGGGACCACTAGATATGCTTCAATAGCAGCACATAAGGGGTATGAGTTGAGTAGGAAAGATGACATCGAATCCTTGATTTATGTTTTGTTGTACTTCATGAAAGGGTAATGGAATTGTGAATTATAAAAAGTCTAGGCAGTTGCCATGGCAAAATATGTAGAATGTCAGCGATGAAGAAAGAACAGTGAAAGTGGGGGAAATGAAGATGTCAATAGATCCCAGGGAACTATGCAAGGACGTACCAATCGAATTCGCTATCATTCTTGAGTACTGCTTTTATTCATGAATTAGGTATCTCAAATCACTGGAGTATCAGAGCGATCCTAATTATAATTTTGTGTATTAATAGTTTGAAAAGGCTGCAGCTAATTTGGGGGTTCAATTGGACTTCACTTTTGATTGGGATTAGTAATAGCCCATGAAGATATCGCAAAATACTAATTAGGAAGGCATATAGCGATAGACTACTTTGAATCAACAATTATAATTGCCATCGACAGGCGAAATGAAAAAATCATTAGATAAATAGGGAAGCAATTTGATCAGATAGTATAAATCCATATAAATCTGATTAGAATGAGTAATAGTCAATTCTTAGCTCCTCCTTTAGCAAATTAGTTACAGCCTCACACTCTAAAAAGACAAGATTCTTCTCAGTAACCGAGCATAGTGTCAGGCAGTGTTATGTTGAGTACATACAATTCAATAAGGCCGAAATATTAGCCTTCTTAGTTGGGTTTCGATGTCAAGTTGAGTGTGGATAGCATGCCTAAGGAACTGATTCAGGAGCAGAGGAAAACAGCTGGGTCGGCATAATAGAAGAATGTCCAAAATCTGTATACTGAAACAGTTGGCTGGAGAGATTCGATCTTTGAGGAGAACTTTGAAGAAATCCCGTTATCTAAAAAGTATGGGATGCTTTAATAGAAAGGAGTGGATATGTAGAAAAATTGATTATTTGCAATTAGGTATAGGAAACCCATGCATTCCAGTGCTAGTCCGAATAGACAAAAGAAAAAAAATTGAATTTTTATTTTAAATCAGCTTTGATTTCTAAATTTGGTTATTTTTAAATAATTTTAACTGTAGGTCAACAATTCATTCAACAATAAATGGAAAATCATCCCTTTAGTCTACATGAATATTATTTTTTATACATTTGAAATAGAGTTAGTAAATGGTTGGAGAGTAATTTCATTTTGATTGGAGAATCTTAATGAATTAGTTTGAGTTCATTAATTAATGCTCACTTTTTTTGTTAAATAAATTTGTTAAAAATATGAATCAAAATACACCTTTCAATGAACGGTTCTTCAAGATTTAGGAGAAATTGAATTCGATTCCTCTTCATCATGATACATCCAAAGCTCACAGAATTGATACGATTAATTCTAGAGTCACAGCAGTAGAAGAGAGAATTCAGGATACAATAACATCTTATAACAGAAAACTAGTAATAGTCTAATAAAGATTAAAAGCATACTTTGAAAGATGAGATAGTGAGAGTTCAGAAGCAGATCGAAGAAGAAAACAATACTTTTGAAACATAATTTGAGTAAAGAGTTCGTGAGATTGCTGCATTTGAAAGCAGAATCACAACCAAATTAGAATAGGAAATAGCTTTAAGAAGAGATGGAAACTTAAAATTGCAAGGGTATTTGGACGAGAAAGTAAAATGAAGAATTTATTAGAACTTAGGTTGTCTACTTGAAATCCGATATTCAGACAGAGAGTAAAATCAGGTAGGAATAGATCGAGAATATTACTACCTCTTTGGAAAATGATTTGCCCAAATTGTATGATATGGTGAAATCTGAAGGACAAGATAGGGAAGATAGTGACAATGGAACATTGAGGAGATCTGGGGATGAAATCAGAAGATTGAATGAAGGGTTAACCAATTAAAAGAATTTAAGGTAATTTTGATTTACATATTCACTAGAGAAGAATCGGAGACAGCAATCTTTGAAATGTTGAAGGATTTAGTTTCTAGAGTAAAGAGTGAAATAGAGGAGGAAAGGAAACTAAGGGAAGAATCATAAGAATCACTTCTGGGTTTGTTGGAAGATGCTGCAAATAAAATTTATAGAGCAGCAAAAGATTGATAATTTATACAAAATCATATTAAAATAAATTTTATTTAATATCATATTCAATTGGTTTATTTATGTTTTCTTTGAATTTTATTCACTTTTTATAATCGAGCTATTTCATTTGCATTGTTATGCTTCAAAAATTATTCAAAATTCCTCACTTTCTCAAACCCTTCAAAAATGTCCAAATATTGACCAAGCCTTTTTTCTGGATCTTCATCCAAATTACGATTAGCATATAACTGTCCTATTGAGAAATCATTGACCTTTATTGCCACTTGTTTAGTCGTCTTCTTTTGATCACCCCTTTAGTATTCCCCCGTCCTCTTATCAAGATCCTAGATACTCTTATTGCTCAGAAGACTATTTTGATGATTCTAGATTCTAAGATACGGTTACACTTGCTGAGACCCTTAATTAAACCTACTCTAATATTTATTGGATCTCTCTGCTTTCTAAATCTAATTAATTATTTCTAGGATTCTATTTCTCTATAAATTATTTAAGATAGATAATACAATTTCATCATCCTGTAACGCATCTGTGCAAGCTTAGAATGACAATTTCCTCTACAGTTGATATTTTGTCATCTATGTTCTTAATGGAGCTAATAGTGCATTACTTTTTAACTCCTTATCTGCTTTCTCCGTGTGTTCAAGGATTTCATCATTTCCATCCTCCACAACGCTAGCACCTATAGTTAGTTTAATCATATCGATTATTACCTTCATCATAGCTTTCCGCTGAATAATGCTACTGATCTATCTGTTCCTTCAACATTTATGTTTTGCACATATACAAATAGATACTATTTTAGATATCTGATTATTCTCTTCTAGTTTGAATTTTGCGTTCCAATTTTCTCGCATATTTAACTCTATCAGAGGGGACATTTCTTCTGTAATTCAGCAATACTTTGGATCTATTTGGGTAACCACACACCATACTAATAAATTATAAATCAAAATAACTACGGGCATTCAAGTATGATATGTGTTGATTTATTGCAAGCTCTGCATGTCACATCTACTAATTCTTATTAGTTCATAAATGAGATCTATTGAACTAATTCACAGTATTTATACTAATATGAGATAGATGATTTATGTTACATAATCATTTTTATGTTAAGATATAATTTCCATAAATTGAGACTTATCAATTTTTAAGACATATGAAAATTAGTTTGATTTACAAGACACCTGATAGGCCTATGACTAAAAGAATTCTAAAACACCAAAAGCTTATCCTTCATTTTTGATTGTTTCCAGCACTTTGATTGTTTATTGCTTGTTATTCAATGTGATGTAAAAGGAGAGACTTCCATTAGATAAAATATAGAGATAATTACTCGGATCATTTTACTAAAGAATATTAATCAATTTTACAAGATATATCGTAGATTCTGGCACATATTTCTCTTCTATCAGCACTTTAGATAAGGATATTAGGAATTACTCACTAAAATTGTTTACAAGGAAGCTATTCTTTTAAATTAACTTCATGTTTGTATCAATTTTCATCTCTTCAGCCAATTATTTTGGAATCATTTCACTAAATTTGTAAACTTCTCTATCATTATCTTCCATCTGATCACTCCAAACGTATTCGAAGTATTTTCTGATCTTCTCAGCTAAATGTTTATTAATCCCTTTAATCCTAATGAATTTTTTAAGGTTGTTCATATCAGTTCTTATCTAAAAGCTTTGCCTACTCCACTCAGCGTAGATTGAATTTATATTACCAATAGAATAGCCAAACACTCCTACTGCAGATAAAGCCATTCCAACAGCAAACACTCTTTCCCTCAAATTCTGAGGTGTAATGTCTCCATACCCAATAGTAGTCATTGTTATGATGCTCCAATATAAAGAATGCAGGTATTAATTAAACCATTATTCATTTTCAATATTCTGAGCTTTGATCCAAGATGTATCATTTGGATTTCCAGTAGATCCCACTAAAAACCAAATGCATGCTGAAAAATGGGCAGCTGCCAAAATTGTATATCCTAGTTTAACTAAATCTACTATAACAATTTAAATGGCTGTCAATTCTAATCTATCGAAAAGGTTTCTGGAAAATTTAGTGATTTAAAACACTTTCAATATGATCACCAAGTCCAAATACTACAAATCAAATCTTAAACTTATAAAGTAAGGGATCACTACAAATATGTCAAAGAAGAATGCTATCATAATACATTTATTTAATTACATGAGCGCAAGTAATTTTTAGCAATTTGATATCGGTTTTCAATTACTGCTCCCTTATAATAATAGCATGTATTGAATTTCAAAAGAATTTCAAGCATAAATGAATACGATGGCAAGACATCAAAGATAATTTATCTTGCCTAATAGAAGTCATCTTAGGATTGCTCATCGAATTTGAATGCTATTTTGATGGATACATAAAGGACGTTAATATTCAAGATGGTAAGAATGTATATATTCCACCAAATTGAAGCCAATGACTCAGGTCTCATTATTAATTTCTGATTTCCACAATATATCTTAAGCAGTTTCGTTTTCCGTAATGGAATTAAGAGGGTCTAATTTAAAAAGTGTTATCCTTTTTAAAATCCTGTTGGTTTCTATAATATGTATAATTCATCAATATTACTTCGTATTTAAAGAAGTTTTTTAACAGGTAATATGTAAAATCAGCTGATACATCGCCTATTATTTCAAAGACATTTTTATTGATTAATTTAAAACTGGTAGCAAAGTTTGATTTTGTAATAAAACTTATGAATCTCAGAGTAATCATCAGGATTTCTAACGCCTTTGTTCTCCAAATTTTATTGCTAAATCCAACATGATCAGTATGACTATCTATAAACACTGGGCTGTCCTCTTTGAGATTCATCATTGGCTTGTTACTTTGAAAACTTATAGCCCTTATTTTAGGCCCCATATTACAAGTCTGACTAGGCCTAGGAAATATGATGCTTATAAAGCGTACCTGTTTTTAGAGTCCAGGAGAAGACTCATTATACTTCTCTGATCAATTTGTTTAGATTGTTTATTTTCTTAAACATCGCGTAGGATGACCTCTTGATCCTAATCAAAACTTTTTAAAAGAGATCTAACAGAATGAGCCTGATTTTCAGTATCTAATTTCTCTTCTATTCTAAATAATTTGAGCATTACATATATCAGGATTGAGAGGATTACTTTTTTTCATTAAAATTATTAATAATAATAGTTTGCAAATTAATATATTTAATTAACAATAGTGAATATTTCTCATTTGTTGAGATTACACTGGGATATATTATCGTAATTGATGAATGCATTTGATTTGATCATAGGCAAGTGCAAATGAGGGCTCTGAATAAGGTTATAGTTTTTCATTTTCTGTTGCTGAAATAACAAAATGGAGTGTCTCTGATTCGTAAGATCTTACAACAATTTAGATTGTCTTGGGGATTATTAAATTTTAGGAATTTTAATGTGAGTTTAAAAATCTATATTTTTATTTAAATATAAATTCTGAATGAAGCATAATTAACAACTTCCTAATGCTCACATGCGTAAACACTGGACACGATTCGTGAAGACATTTTACAACCAACCAGCTGCCAAAAGAAGAAGACAACAAAGAAGATAGGCAAATGCATTAAGTAAGGATTTGGATGACCATTTTAGAGGCTTCACCAAGACCTGTTGAATTACTCAGACCAGTAGTGAGAGGACAAACAATCAAATATAACGGAGTGTAAAAGTTAGGAAGAGGATTCTCTTTGATTGAGCTTAAAGAGGCAGGACTCAATGCTTAATTTGCTAGAACAGTTGGAATTGCTGTTGATCATAGACGTAGAAACAATAACTAAGAGGAATTGGCTGCTAATGTTAAAAGAATCAAAGCTTATTTGTCTAAATTAGTCCTCTTCCCAAGAGTAGCAGGCAAACCTAAGAATGGTGTCGTAAAGGATTCAGGAAATGATGTCGTTGCTTAACCAGTTGTTTAGAATACTAATCCAGAAGTATTGCTTTTTTTGATAATCACTAGGTTATTACCTTCTAAAGAACACCCAGAAGAGAGAAGGCAACAGTAATATCTAAAGAACTCAGAGCTAAGAATGTTTATCGTAGACTTAGATAAGAATGGTATAATGCTAAATTCGTTGGAGTCAAAGAGAAAAGAAAGAATGCTAAAGAATAAAAGAAATGATTAGTGTACAATTGGATATATTAAACATTTTTAATTATTGAATTTCTTGTAAATCTAATAAATCTAATTTTGGCAATATTTAACATTTGCATCATTCCAAGAAATACATTACTGTGTGATATGTTTCTACATTTGTAATGATACAAAAAGAAAATGATAATCTATTAGTGATAAATAGTTATTGCTATTATTGAAGCACAAGATGGAATATCAGGAAGGAGTTTTATTTCCCAAGGAGGATAAATAAGAGAATTTAAATTCTCCTATAGTATGCAATTTTATTTTTAATGATATATGATTTCCAATTATTTTGGAATCTATTGCCAGATTAATTGAAACATAAAATTTTATAAATGCATTTGGTGCAAGATGAATTAAAGAACTATAAATTTTATTATTTGTTTAGATAAACTTTTGATATAAGATAATCAAAATCTCTAATGATTATTTAAGAAGACACTTAAACATTAAGATGATTAATTATTACATCATACTTAGCTGCAAAAAAAGGAAGGGAACTCTATAATTATAAGTGATTAATTTACAGATAATTAGTTTTACTTGATTGTTAATTAATTTAAGTAATCACAATTAGAATCCAAAGAAGATTAAATTACAAAGACAAAAGAACCATTTCCTTTATTACAATTGTTTCTATATTCTGAATATACTTATGAGATATATATATTTTAATAAATGCTATTAATTAATATTATCTAATGGAATAATTTCATAATTAAATAGATGATACTCAGTCTTAGCAATATTTTTAAGAGTAAACTAAGTCAAATGTGTCACTCCGTCTAATTATCAACTATATTTTTGCAGATATAGCAAAAAGACCTAGGTCTTTCAAAATAGGATTATTTACAACATACATAGTCATCACCTTCTTGGGGCTTCTTTAATGTGTGGTTTAATTGAGTCCACTCATTTTTCTTTAACTAGATGAGTCGGCAACTGGCGATACAGATCTTTTATACCTGCCTATGGCTGCTGAAAACACAAGCAACTACAGATTAATTAACATGACAGATCTACACCAAGTATCACTATTTACTATTAAAGCACACAAGCCAAGTCTCAGAGTTTCTAGATGTATCTCCAAGGTGGATGTTTATGTGTAATCTAGGGAAGATAGGTGTTGAATAGCAATTTAGAGCATATTTTCTGATTCTCGATTCTTAACTTGAATAGAGCATTGGAATTGGAAGACGAACAGATGTTGACATAATAAATAACAATGAAGTGTATGTATCTGAAACTGGCCTAAGAGGGTTAAATGCGAGTAAGGGAGATCAGATTTATTTGAATTTTAATATCGTATAATTACTGAAAAACTTTGGAGTTGAGAGTGAAAGCAATGAAGTTACTCAATAATTGCGATAGCCTTTTAAGAATGCTGTGAATAAATAATTGGCCATGTTTATTAAGGAAGATAACTTTCAGGATAAGCAATACAATATTGCAGAGCTTGCAAAATACTCTTAATCTTATCTGAATTATGTGAAGGGAATTGAAGCCACAAGCCTAACCAAGACCTTAGCAAAAGAATACTTCAGATAGAATGTTCGCTCATCGGAGAATTATACGGATGAATAGAGGGAATTTGCATACCAAGTCATTGACGTAATGTTTGAAAGAAACATGACAAGGGATGCTCAGGCGATTAACAACTTTGTAAATAGGGTTTCTAAGTTCACAACTTTTATCACTATTTCTTAATTCGAAGATGGATTGTTTGATTTGCTTATACAAATTAACGAATTCAATATCAATGCTTAAGTCCATGGGGGTGTTGAATCTCCAAAAGGCAAATGGACAGATGCTTTGGGGATGATGGTTTTTATGGATTATAAAAATGCAACAGAGATTTTCTTAGAATCATTTTTTAACAAATTGGATCAAGTGATCACTGATAATAAAAAAAATAACTAAGGAATGCCTGGAGCCATATCTGAATTAATTCCAGTTAATGACACTTAAAAATGGGCCAAAGATGCAACTACGGATTTTAAATTGCAAGAATATTCGCTAATGGCTAATCTATTATTTAAGAACAGAGGGGAGAAATATGAAACTCCAAGGATAGCCAAGGATATTATCATATAAACAACAAATGAGTTCTTTACTGAGGCAGGATACAATTATCCAGTTTAAATCACAGCACCTTTAGGATTTACTATTGGATTGTATCATTTAATGAAGAACTTTATTGAAAATTTATTGGGAGTTGCAACCATGATTCTCTTAATGTTATCAGTCCTATTGATTTATTCTTTGATGATTGGAGATATAGAGGAGAAAACCTATGAGTTCGGTATGCTTAGAGCACTAGGATTTAAAAAGTCATGGTTAATAGTCCTGTTGATGTTATAGGCATTAACATTTGCAAGTTAGTATAATTATCATTTATAATAGTACCTGGATTGTTTCTGGGGTTGGTCTCTTGTTATTTGATGAATTGTTTAATCAGTATGTATGTCTTCGATATGTCACTTCTACTTACGACTTATTCCATCCCTTCTTCAGCTTTGGCTTTTTAGATAAGTTTAGGGATAACAATGCCAATCATTAGTAATATCTTGCCAATCAAAAAGGCATTATCGAAAGCTCTTAGGGATAGTTTAGACCTGTTCCATAGAGTGGTGAATGATATTTTAGTTACTGTGGTTAAGCTCGAGATGATGGGGATATCTACCAATTAAACAGTGTGTTCAATAATATTGATCGGCATGGGATTTATTAGTTATTATGTGATTCCCATGAATATAATATTTCAAAATATCAGAGGAGCCATAGTAGTAATTAATGTCATCTTCATTACAATGGTGATAGGAGTGACTGTATTAATGAATTTGAGTGAGCAATGGTTGGAAAGATAAGTATTGAAGATAATTTTGTTTATCAAATAGTCGGATAAGAATTTATAGATGATCATTCTGAATAATCTTAAGGGTCACGGAAGTAGAAACTTTAAGACTACATTAATGTATTCATTGGGATTGGCATTTATCATATTCACCGGAGCTCAATTCACCTTATAAGCAGAGTTCCTGGATGACTTCATAAAAACAAGTCTCACCTCCGATATCATAGTTTTTGATGCCTCCATCTAGAGATTAGGTTTAGATGAATACAAATTCAGAAAACATCTGGAATGGGAGAAAACCAATGATCCTACATTCATCCAGGATTACACATTTAGCGCATTGCCCTTAAATGAGATTCCAGGGATACCTAGGTTTTTTTAGATATCTCCCTTGGCTCACTTTCCCAGAAGAAGAATTCGATTGCTTGCTATCGAAGAAAACTACTTGGAGGTTATCAATTATAAGTATTATTATCCAACAGAATATGATTCTACACAAAAATCAGTGTAATATCTACCAAATGGTGTTAGGGATGGTGTTAAGGATCTCTATAATGATGAAGGTAAATTGAACATTGCAAAGACCTCTGATGTCTATGGAATAGCCACCAACAATCATGCGTAAAGTAATTATAAGGCAATGCTGAAGAAGTTTAACAATGTTACAAAGGAGGAAGAAGAGGTTGACAAGGAAATTAATGTGATAATACCAGAGGGGTATAGATATGAAGATGGTGTGGATGTTGATACACCTGCTCTGTTAAGAATTTCATTCAGAGATAGAGGCAGGGCTATAGAAAGGAGACTAAAAATTAAGCATATGGCTATTAAAATACCCAATAATAATTTCAGTGGTTACAGGACAGTGGCCTTGTTTGGTGAGGGATTAATTACTATGAAGGATGCCTAAATGCTAATTAATGAAATTTTGAATAGCAGAATAGAAGAGAATAAGTTCAACTACTAAAGAGCACATCAATATTTTTAGAAATTGCCTAAAAATCTTACCTACGGGCTACCAAAAGATAGTCTGTTAATCAAGTTTAAGAGAGATACTACCAAAGAAGAACGAATTGACTTTAGTAACAGATTAAGAAATTACTTCACTAATGATCAGATCTATTTGTTTGATTCCATCACCATGACAGAGACTTCATAAGATTTCTTTAAATATTTGGAATTGTTCAATATTGTCGTAGCTGCCATAGCCCTCATTCTATCCTTCTTCTTGTTATTGGTATCCTTCATTGGCAATGTTAGAAATACTTCATGGGAAATTGGAATCCTAAGAGCAGTAGGCTTAAATGAGGTAATTCTCTGTGTAATTTTGTAGGTTTAAATCTCCAAAGTCTTTGTTTATGAATCCATCACACTGATTACGGCATCTGGACTAATAGGAACTATCATTGGATTAGTAATAGCTACTACCTTTACACTCCAAATAGTTGCATTCTCAGAGTTTAAATTCAAATTTTCATTTCCCATCTTAACTTTTTTAACCACTTTTCTAGGAGGAATCTTTATTTCAATTTATGCCAGCTACTTAGCAGTTAGAAGTTTCAAATTCAAATCAATAGCTTCAACTTTAAAGGGACAATCATGAAATTATATATTTTAGTCTTCATTCAAATTCATTCTGAATCCATGTCATCCAATATATTTAATTATAATTAATCTTATGTTATCTCTCCACATTTTATCCTTATTCTATTTCTATTATTACGATATTATCAATCAACTGTAAATTCAAATTTGGAAGGATGACTACTATTCAATGATGCAAAAATATTAAATATTTAACACAAATTAATGTATAATGTTTAATGTACAATTTCTTTTATCAATCAAATAGGCCACCCATATCGACATCCTCTTCTGGTTCTGGAGCCTTTTCAACTGGCTTCTCTTCAGCCTTTTTAACTGCTTATGCTTATGCAGCAACTGGTGCTGATGCTTTGGATGCTAAACACTATTAATATCTCTTCATTACATCCTCCGCCCAATGAAAGGGTACCTACTTTCTTCAATCCTTCTGTTATCACTTCTTGTAATGACTTTCCTTTCAAACTTTCCACTAATGACTTGATTTCTGCATCTGATCCTGTAACACCAACTTCAGCCAATAATCCTTTTACGTCAGCCTCGCCTAAGAGTTTTACTAATTATTATACTAGGATTTGCTTTTCCACCTAAAGTCAATAAAGCATATGCAGCAACGTATTACATTGAATTTTATTTAAAAATTTAATTTAAATCACAGAAAATTTAATAAACTCTAACTTTTTAATTAAAAAAAACATTGAATTAATATCCTTTATTATCCAAATCAAAATTGAGTGAATCCAATAAACGAGTAATTCCCTTTTGATTCCTTCATGCATCAAAAATTAAATAATTATTCCATTATATTGTTATTATTATAAATATATCCTTTTAATAACTGCTTATAGAGGCATGAAAAAAGATAATTTTCTAACTCATTTAGATGAATTACATGCATCCTATAAATTTTGATATTATAATTATTAATAATTATATAACATAAGTTTATTTTTATAGGTAATTTGTTAAAATATTGGAACAAAAATTTTATTTCAATATGTAATGAAATTTAATGATGTTTTTGTTAAATCTTTTTTTTATCCTAATTGATTTTAAATATCTTAAAGCATTATTTTTAATATGGACCAGTATTTTGAACATTTATATTAACTTTAAGAATTCTTCTAGTATAGCAAAGAGCACTCCAAAAACAGCATTTTATGACAGAATTCGAAAGGTAGACTATAGAACTAGGTTTAGATTTATTAGATAAATTAACAAAAATTATATAATTTATGGGAATTTTGAATAATAGATGTGTGGACGTGTGTAGGAGCAAGGAATATAATACTAATTCTGAATTGCAAGTGATTTAAAATAAATAGATTCCCTAAAGAAACTTTCAATTAACAAATGAATAATGTACTTAAAGGACAACCCAAAAAGGAACAATCCTCCAATAAGATCCAGATTAATCGATGGAAATAAAGGAGGAAGATTAATCTAGTAATCTTTAAAACAATCCAGTACCAGCATTTGTTTCTAACAAATAATTGCATTAATTCATTGTTCCAAGGAGGGAAAACCGATTTATTTCAGATATAGAAAATGAAGTCAAAGAAAAAATAAAGAAAATGTACATATTCCTATAGAAGTTTTAGATAATATTAGGAAAAATTTGAGGCTCTATAAATGCACTATTCCAAATTAAATCTTTAATAATATCCATAAAAATTCCATCAGTGTTCCTCCAATGTTCCAAATTAAAATGAATAAATTAGTAATTTGAATTGTTTCTAAAGTTCAAGTTTAGTGATTGAAAAACTATAAAGCACACAAGTAGAATGTATAAGTGGGCCAAAAAATGAGAGAAGAGGAATATTGAAAAGTAATTCACCAAAAAAATAATCAAAGTCTTTTGATACAAATTCTGTAAATTCTAACAAAAGAGTTCGTTTCTCTGGGGATACAAAATTCACCTCAGAAGATGCTATATAACAATTTTAATGGAGAAAATTAAGAATTGAATAGTGAGTTATTAAATTTATTCTCAATAGTATAATCATATTCATATTATTCGAGTGACAAACTCTTTTAGGATAAAATAGAAACCTAATCCTTGTTTTTAGGTAATTAGATTAAGGTTTAGATGTATATTTACGAAATAGTCATTTTGGATTGATGAAGGATCTAGAGTGATTAAGAAAACACAAATGATTTTAATTAGAATTTATCAGTAATATAGAAAGAATTGATTAATATTGCTTTCAAGGATTTCTAGAAATAAATATCTTTAACTTTTATTTAAATGCAATAATCGGATACAAAGTTTGACGAAAATTTATACTCAAGACAAGTGGCGGTATTGGGAGCTGAAACTTAATCAAAATTGATCTAAATGAGATGTTTCATTTATGGTTTGAGAGGGGTATGTAGATATTTTATGGCAAGTTGGGATTGGAGATTGCAAAGAATTTGATATTGGCTGGACCAAAGTCTGTAACGTTATACGATCCAACAGTGTTGTCCATTTCAGATTTGGGCTCAAATTTTTATGCTACACATGACTAAGTTGGAAAGGTCACAAGATAGGATGCAGCAATCAAATCTTTGAAAGAATTAAACCCATACGTGAGTGTAGAAATATACAATGGATAATTCAATGGGGCCAGTTTGAGTGAATTTTCAGTTGTGGTTCTGACTGATGTTTGGGATTAGAAATTCATCACAGAAGTAAATGAGGCAGTCAGACAAAAAGGACACGGATTCATCTTGGCCCATTCCTCAGGATTGTTTGGATCTGCTTTCGTTGATTTCTCAGATGTAAATATTTGTATGGATTATTATAGAAATTTTAAATTTTTGATCCCAATGGTGAAGAACCAAGATAGGCAATTGTGGCTGGAATAACAAATGAAGTGGATGGAATAGTGAGTACAATTGAAGATAAGAGACATGGATTTCAGGATGGAGACAGTGTCACATTCAGAGAAGTGGTTGGAATGAGTGAGGTGAATGAGAAGATATTTAAGATAAAGGTATGATTTTTATGTTAATTTGAAAAGGTGAAATCACCATATATGTTCAGTATTGGAGACACAACAAAGTTCTCATAATATTTGAGAGAAGGAATTGCAGTGCAAGTGAAGGTTCCTGAAGATTTCGAATTCAAGTCATTCAATGCTTCATTGACTCACCCATTCGCACCAGGCAAGAATGAATTGGATTTGATGGATTGGGAAAAGATTGGAAGACCAGAACAATTACATATTTCATACAATGCATTATTACAATTCACACAAAAGAATGGCAGATTGCCAGGATTATTGAACCAAGAGGATGCCTAGTAAGTGTGGGAATTAGCATAATAAATAAATAACTCAGACAGAGGAGAAGGAGCATTGAAAGCAGAATTGGATGAAAAATTGGTAAAGAATACAGCATTGTTCTTCTCAGCCTAAATAACTCCATTGACTTCATTTTGGGGTGGCATTGTGGCTCAAGAAGTAGTCAAATACACAGGTAAATTCACCCCAATCAGATAATGGTTGCACAGTGAATTCTTTGAAGCCCTACCAGAGACAGAAGTTAACAGAACTTTGTAGAATAGTCAATATGATGATTACATTGCAATCTTCGGAAGAGAAGCATTATAACAATTATAGAACTCAAAGATATTCATGGTGGGAGCAGGTGCTTTAGGTTGTGAATACATCAAGATGTTTGCACTTATGGGATGTGGAAGCAGTGGTTAAGGTTTGGTGACTGTTACTGATGATGACAACATTGAGGTTTCCAATTTGAATAGACAATTCTTATTCAGAAAGAATAATGTTGGATCCAACAAAGCAGCTACTGCATGCAAAGTAGGTGAACAAATGAATAAGACTTCTAAATTCAAATCTTATGCTCTAAGAGTAGGTAAATAAAATGAACCAATCTTCAATGATCAATTCTGGGATGGATTAGACATGGCTATCAATGCTGTTGATAATGTTCATGCTAGAAGATATATTGATTCCCAATGTTGTTATTATGGTAAGCCATTATTCGAAAGTGGAACCCTTGGTACTAAATGCAATTCCTAATTGATCCTTCCAAATCAAACACAATCTTACAGTGAATCATAGGATCCTCCTGAGGAATCTATTCCTTTATGCACTTTGAAGAACTTCCCCTATTAAATCGAGCATACTATTTAATGGGCCAGAGATTACTTTGCAGGATTCTTTGAAGATGGATCTCAAGATTGTATCAAATATCTTGAGAACCCAGGAAACTACATCAAGAGAATTTTGACTGAACTTAAATCTCAACCAGGTGTGTTAAGACCAAAATTAGAATCAGTCAAGAAGTTTGCTGAAGTTGCTGCAAAACCTTCTTTACATGCAATCGTTTCTTTAGCTAAAAATATGTTCTAAGACATCTTCTGCAATTAAATCAAACAATTACTCTACTGTTTCCCCCCTGATCACAGAACCTCAGAAGGATAATTGTTTTGGACCAATCCCAAAAGACCACCCACTCCTATTGAATTCGATCAAAACGACCCTCTTCATCAACTTTTCATCCATAGTGCTGTCAACATATTCTCATAAATATATGGTCTACCCAAATAAGACAAATTCGATGAGATAGCCAAACTCTTACCAACAATCCAAGTCGAGAAGTATGTTCCAAAGTAAGTGCAAATCAAGGAAAATGAGAAAGACACAAAGGAAGAGAAATCTGAGGATGATGAGACTTAAATTTAACTCTTGGCTCAAGAATTAGAAAAGTTGACTCTTGGAAATAAGGAAGCCTCTAAGTAATTGCAAGAATGTGCTTTTGAAAAGGATGATCCAACTAATTGGCATATTGAATTCTTATCAGCTGTTTCCAACCTCAGAGCTAGAAACTATAAGATCCCAGAAGTGCAACCATTCCAAGTTAAGTTAATTGCAGGCAAGATCATTCCTGCCTTAGCTACAACAACAGCTATGATCGTGGGAGCAGTGGGACTTGAAATCTTCAAGTATATCCTTAAGAAGGATGTTGCCAAAATGAGAAATGCCTTCATCAATTTGGCCTTACCTCTCTTCCTATTCTCAGAGCCTTTGCCACCTGGAGAACATCTTGACTAAGAATACAACGTCCTCTTATTGGGTCCAACCAAGGCAATCCCAGCAAGTAATTATTTAAATAGATTTGTTTTTAGAATGGACAGCTTGGGACAGAATCAGTATCACTTAATAGATGACTCTCGGATAATTCATAGAGTACTTCAATCAAAAGTATGGTGTGAGAGTTTCCTCCATAACCGTCGATTAATATATGGTCTATAGCAACTACCCCTTGCCATCACAAGAGACGTAAGTTCACTCATTAATTCTTTTAGTTTGGATAAGGATTTGGGAAAGTTGTATGCTGAAAGGACAAACCAACTTCTTCCTGCTCACAAGATTTACCTAGATTTAACCGTTGGTGGAGAGTTGGATGTAAATGGGGTTGAAGTTAATGCCGATGTTGCCCCTGTTAAATATCAATATAAAAAATGAGTTATTCAATAAATAATAAAATTAATATTTAACAGACATTTATGAAAACTACCTCCGCATCCAAACAAGCTAACAAAACCAATGCACTCAGGAAGTCTGCTGAGAATCTACCTCCCTTTGCACCCTCAACCGAAAAAGATAAGGAAACCTCCAAGTTGGCTCATCTTGAAAGTAAAGGCACACAATAATAGTAGTTAACTTAAACAGAGTATGTCTATAATAAGACGCCTTGATGCCGTTATTATAAATGATTGAGTACATCCCAGCCATCCAAAGAACTGACAGTGTAGTTAAAGGCTTGATGAGAAAAATTGAAGAAAATGAATCAAAGATTTTGAAATCAGAAAAGCTACTTGAATCAAAAATTAAAAATCCAGATGGAAATCAAGACAAAGACTCCAAAAAATAACAAAAGTAACTTTAGGAACTCTAAGGCAAAGTCAAGGATATGGAATAACAAATGAATAATTTATAGAGGTATTATGATGTTTACTATTGTTAGGTGGTACGAAGCCAAATTAAAAGAAGAAAATCAAGCATTGTAAAGAAATCTTGAACACAAAATAGAGAAATCTAAAACTGAAACTCAAAAATCTGTTGGATCAGAAAAGAGAGTCAGCACTGAACAATCCAAAACTCACAGTAAACAGGCCTCTTAAGTTCAATCCCAACAACCCTAAGAATCCCAATAATAATATCAATATAATGTACTACAAGCTGTTGAATAAATGGTGACTGCATCCCTCAATCAAGTTAGAAATTAAATCCAGTAAGAAATAGATGAGTTAAGAGAACATGTTATAGCTTCTAAATAATGATACTTATTATCAGATATATATATATATTTATATCATTATGGCTCTTATTTTATTATTCCTGAACCCTCTCCAGGCTTCTTCATGTTTTGTTGCTATCCTTAGTAAAGTCCCATCAATGGATTAAAATTTGGAAAACTGCCTAAGCCCATTTATTATTACAATTGCTACTACAAGTACTATTATTACAAGCTCATTCCAGCTCCTAATTATTAAGGCAAGGCAGATTAAAGTCCCAATTAGGAATTCAATTATTAGGCTAATAATTGTTGTTGTAGTTATTAAAAGTTCTAATTTTATCCCATCAAGGATTGAGGATTCAATTATCCTTAAGGCATTCCCATTCCACTCAAGCCCTACATATAATTTAATGGTTAAGATGGCATTGGATTGCCCATCATTCCTGCTTGAGGTGGGAAGGATTGTTAATTGAGTTATTATTACTATTACAACAGTAGTAATTGTTGGAGCTGATAATATTGCATGACTTATTGCAAGGCATTTGAATCAGGTTATTAGAATTAGTAAGGGAATGCGGGATTCATGTGTTAAGGAGCTCCTTATAGTCCTTAGGCAGGTATGTTGATGGGTTGGATTCCAGGGAGATGACTAGGTTTTTGATAAGGTTGATGTTATATAGGTGGTGGTTATTGGGGTTATTGTGGTTGTGGGTGTTGTTGAAGTGGTTGAGGGGCAGTAAATGAAGAAGAAGGTTGCCCTACTTATTTTTTGTTCTATAATTATGGATTCTATTGGATCTGATTGGGTGCTTAAGTAGTGATTGGTTTATTAATGACATCTGCTGGTTTGTTTTTAGGTGGTTATGGTTATTGTTAAATGGGTTTCTACTATTATTGATTGAGTGCTTGTTGGACACCAATTTCAATTGGTTATTAAGGTTGCAATTACACAGGTATCTATTCAGAGGGGATAATAGGTTTCTTGACTTCTTGAGTGGGTTTGTTCTGCTCTTCGTTTAGCTTGACCTTCTTCTATGGGAATTGAGACTCTGAGTCAGAGTAGTTGTCATCTGATTCATTTGAGTCACTCTCACAAAACTTCTATGTTAATTGTTTGAAAATCTTTAATAGCTGATCAAAGCATTATTTATAATTTTCTAAGATTTCTGCAGAGTCTCCCAATTTAACAAATTTGGATGGGATTTAATCTTCTTTCCTGACGATTTCCAAACAGCCAGTATTGAGAAAATCAATGGCTTCAGTCACCTTTTTGTTTTTATTTTGATCATTATTTTCTTCTATCAACAAATAAAATTGTTTCTCACCAGCTGTACTCAACTATTTAGTAATAATATCTTTGGTCAACTGGCTTTAGAGTTTCTCCATTATGGTTTTAACATTCCCCTCAACAGTCATAGGGTTATAGTAGAGAGACACACAAGTAGAAAATTTGATGATTAAAAATAGAGGATGTTTCACCTTGTGACGAATGTTGGGAGCAGTCAAGTAATTAAACAAACTCTCGAAGTCATTTTCTATTTCTACGTCTTGTTCGGTCTTCCTTTTGTTCTCTCTCTTGAAGTACTTTTTATCTAGCAAGTCAAAAGTGAAGGGTTCTGCATGTAAATATAGTTTCTTTTGTTCAGAATTGCCTGCACTCTTTCGACTGTCTACGAAGATAGGAGGAGAAATGGTGGAATTCAATATTTGAGGCTTTTCAGTATCAGAATTTTGAATGTACACACTCATTAATAAATGAAATTTCACGCCTTCATTGTTATATGAGGTTGATGCAAATCTCAATGCCTACAATAAGATTTGCAAATTAATTTACTGAAAAATATGCTTGACCATCAATTAGTTCCAATTTACTTGTTCCTCTTAATCCGACATCTTGAAGTATGACTCGGGTACCTTCTTGCACTTTTTTAACAGCATACAATTGGGCATACAAATTTTTGGGAGAAAGCAAAAGTTCCTATGTTTGCGAATCTTTAATCTATTAATGTGAGAAGGTCATTACTTCTAATCTAACCACAATATTGGGCAAATTCCAGCTCTTATGCCAATTCCAGCCTAATTCTTCGGAATATTTAAGTTGTTTCTCAGTGTCAATAACCAAAGTAACATATGGTTCAGGATAGGCCTAAAACAGTCTATTCATATATTTACATCTCCCTCGGGGTGAGTCAAAACAATTGAAGGAGTTGTTTCTATTTATACTTTATTCGAATTGATTGTAATCTCTAGTGTTTGAGTAGCAGGTACCCAGTCCCATTTTGACGATTCTAGAACGATTTAAATTTACATGTACCTGTGTTTTGGTTAATCATAGTAGGTGATTTAAAAACGATGTTATATTTAGAAAAAGATTTTATATAATGATTAAAAATGATTTATCGATTCTTAGATTTGTAATCCAATATAGTGTAATCTGAGCATAGTATACAAAGCTTAAATGACGTAAAATCAAAATTTCATATGAATTAACATAAATGCTTTATCCACCAAACCAATTCGCAATCTAATCCTCAAATTCTATTAACCAACAAAAATCCTCCACCCTTCTGGATTTAAGCTTACCAGTTGAAAATACGACCTTTTAAAATTATACACATTCGAACAAAAAAGGCAAGTAACAATGAGAGACCAGATAATCAACTAAAATTCGATGTTTATGGTGAAAATAATTTTGTATTTCCTCGATTTTCTGGTATCAAAGAGATAGTGAAAATGGAGGAAGATCATTTTTAAATATAAAGAGATGTAAATAAAAAGTATTGTTAATTATTATTATAATAAATTGATGCATATATATTTATTCACATTAATTAATTAATATTCTAAGTATAATTATATATATTAATATTTTTTAATGATTCCTCCACCACCTCCACCTCCTCCCAAATAAGTTGAAAAAGAAGATGCTTTCAGGAAGAAACTGCTAGAAAAATTCGGAAACTTCGAAGGGTCAACCACTGATGAAATCGAAAAAAAACTTAAAAAGTCAGAGGACATCGATGAAACCTGTTTTAGTGAAGCTGATGGAACTGGAGTTTTGGAAAATTAACCTCTGGATACTTCAAATTGTACACAATGCGAAAGATGTTAAAAATGGATAAAAAATGAGTCATATCAACATCATCTCATATGCCATTCTACAAGAGTAACACTTTAATATCAATTCACTTAAGATTTTAGATTGGTTGTACTTGGGAGCAGCAATCAATTCAGAGAATGAAGTTGAACTCGATAAGAGGACTAATGTCACCTACATTTTGAATGCTGCTGCAGAATGCTAAAATTATTATCCCCAAAAATATCAATATCTAAAATTACATCTCATGGATACTATTGGCGAAACTATCCTAAATCACTTTGATGAAGCCTATGAGTTCTTAGGTAAACATTTAAAAATAATACCCCAGAAAAATGCAGAAAAGAAGGGAAATGCGCCTTAGTGCATTGTCAGTTGGGTAAATCGAGGAGTGCTACCATCGTGATTATGTATTTGATGAAACATCTCGGCATGAACCTAAGGGAAGCATTTAAATACACGAAAGAAAAACGCTACATTGTCAATCCCAACATCGGATTTATCAGGCAAATGATCTAGTTCGATGAGCAACTATATGGAAAGAGGTCAATCACAGCTCACGAGATCAACCCGTTATGTAGTGTGGAGTTTGATTGATGACAAATACAATCCTCTGTATTCTATAAAGAATAAGAAATATAAATCAATTTGCATATAACTAATCTTATGAATATTAAAACAATTATTAACTCACAACTATTCTATCGGCAACCTTGCATACTCCAAAGCCTCAATTACCCATTACGGTATTTTGCCTTCCCTTTAATACCAGTTTTTAAGAAATCCATTCACAAATCCTGTTAATTTGCCATCTATAATCGATTGATGTAAATTGAGCATCAATTATATCAAATAATTCAGATTATGAATAGAGATGAGATGACAAGCAACCTCTTCCTTTGCAATCAAATAATGCAAATACGATTAGGTATAATTCTTGCAAGCTTAACATTAACACCCTTTCTAAATTGGCTCAAAAACATTTGCTATTTCATTATTTTTCAGTTTTAGAAATCCATGCTCTGTAAAAGCAGTACCAAATCTAGCGGTTCTTGTTGAGAAAACACAATCAAACATGTCAACACCCAAACAAGAACAGACGACAATATCTACTGGATATCCAACACCCATTAAATATCGAGGTTTATTTTTAGGTAATTTAGTTGTGCATTACACTACTGTTTTCCAGAAGTCAGCCTTGAATATTCAAGAATTTATATACTTTATCTTCTCCTCCAGCCAATCCCCCAATTGCATATCCATTGGCTTCTCTCTATATCAGATCATTCAAAGATTGCTCTCGTAATTTAGAATCAACTCCTCCTTGTACAATAGGAAATAGGTTTTAGTCATGTTTCCTTTTATGGGCAGCAATATCTCTATCCAACCACCTGGTTGTTCTCTCACTTGCCTCTTGCATGCGAAGACCAGCTGTTGCTGTCTTAACAACATCATCCAAGGCCATAATTATATCAGCTCCTATTTAATTTTAAGTATGGATTGAATCTTCTGGTCTAAGATGCATTTTTGATCTATCATAAGGAGACTCAAATGTGACTCCTTCCTCTGTGACTTCACTGAGTTAAGACATTGAAACCATTTGAAATCCGCCACTGTCTGTGAGAATGTTGTTTTTCCAATTCACAAAATTATGTAAACCACCAACTTTTTCTAATAAATCACCTCCTGGTTTGTATGCCAAATGATAAGTGTTTGCTAGCAGTAATTTACATCCCAAATCATCCATTTCTTGATAGGTCACTCCCTTCATTGCTCCTTTTGTTCCTACTGGCATATAAACTGGAGTTTTCACTTCTCCATGAGGAAGTCTCATTATTGAAGCCCTTTAGGTTTTGAATTTAGTAGGTACCTTGCTAAATTGTGAGTTGCTTAAATTGTGAATTCGAGTGGTCTTGGCATTTTTAGGTTTGATTTTTTAGGAGGTATTATTTCGAATTCTTTTAATTCTTATATAATTTATTAAATAAGTAATACAATACAATAGAATTCTGAGGTATACCTCATAAGTGAATATTGGAAAAGTAACAATAAGAAGAAGGAGATGTCAGACTGATAATTAAAATCAAATAGAAATGATTAAAATTCCATAATAAAAATACGTATCTTAAGTGATTCAATTTTTCATTGTAATTTTGTCAAGGCATCCTTATCTTTCTCACCTAAGAATCCAATATAAAGAGTTATGATTCCATTTCCATTTCCTCCTAAAACAAAATCATTTTTTATTGCCCAAGTATTTGGAGCTGTGAAAATAGCAGATATATCCTATATCGTCACTTCCCCAATTGGTACACATCGACTAAACGTGCCTGGATCATGGAATAGATTGATTTGCAACGGTTTCAGAGCATCAAGCTTAAAGGGATCTAATATCTTCTTCCACTCCGGAGCAGCTCCCTTCACAGCAGCAGTTGATTTCTCTTCCCCGTTGAATATCACAGTGACCTTCACATTCGAAGCCTTATTGTTATCCATCAACTTAATCTTTTCTGCCTTAATAACAGCAACTTTCAATTTGCCTTTTAAGGGTTGAATCATCTGTGACTAACTGACAGGCATTTTGATTTCTGGATCTGGAAGGAGAGGTGGATCTTAAACATTCTAATCATTTATCTTAAATATCGCTTGGAGATAGAATTATTGCAAGTTTGGCTGAATATTGCTGTGTTGGAATCCCTAGAAGGAATTCATCCAAGTTCCTGGCTATTAGATAATGCTTTACAGACTGACAACAGTGTCAGCTATCTACTGCTATTTCTCATCTAACAAATTGATTGTAATTTGAGGTTCTGGATTCTCAAATTAACATTTTAAGTTATAATTAACATCTGCCTACACAAGATTGCTATTGAATGCTTTTTGGCCTTGAGATACTTTAATTTATGATTTTTTGTCATAGCCAACAATTTTGATTAGGTTGACATGCAGAATACCTTATGAAGGCTTCTAAGTCTGAGGTTCTGGCCCAGGCTGAGCAACTTATTATTAAATCTAATTGGGTTAAGCCAAAGAGACATTGTTCTTAATGGAATTGGGCACCCACTACAGTTACAAGTAAATAAATCCATTCTTGCCAGCATTTCCATGTTCATCTTTGAGTTAGAATAGACCATTGATCCAGGTTCCAGGCTTAGCAAAGACGTCATTCAATGATAGTTCTAAGAAGCCAAGAAAGTCACTGGAAACTATGGTATCGTAATCATAGACAGTGCACATAATTGCAATGTCATTGTATTCATGTGATTGCATATCCAAGGTAAATTCTCCAGTGAAGTTCCAAGTAGGATTAGGATCATCGTCAATAGTTTTACTTTTAATGATTTGTTTACTACCTTTAGAAATTTTGAATTCTACATATGGATCACTATTCCCCATTATATCGGCTTTAATCAATTATTTGGCAAAGGGAGCAAAGACCCTCAACGCTCCAGGCAATTTAGGTATGGCTGCCTAGGCTTCCTTTTCTTTTTTTATTCTCTCCTGCTCTTCTTACTACTACCTGGCGATGTCTTCATATAAATTCTTAGGCTATTATTAGATGGCAGATCCATCTCCATCAATAGTGAACAGAGCTTGTAGATAAATTTCACTTTTCTATGGAAAATCCTTCTCATTCAGAAGTGGAATGCGGTAATTGACCCATTGGCCTGACTTTAATTTACTTAGATCGAGTTCACATTTGCCAAGTAGATCATTAGAGTTGTAATCATAATCAAACACATTAATGTAAAGTCTTAATAATGATAGATCCTCTTAAGTGACTTCTTTAAACAAATACTCTCCGCAGTCTATCCAAAAGCAATCTAATTTGTCATCCTAAGTAGTGGTCTTAAAGGCAGTCGTGGATCCTTTTGAAATCTTTATTTCCACAAAAGGATCACTCAACCCAGTGATATCTTTGTTTTCTAAATTTTTGAGTCCGATGTAAGTGAATTTCAATTTCCCATTGAAAGTAGGAGGTTTACCTTAATTAATGAACTATTTAAAGTCAGCAAGGGCAGGTGGATTCTTATCCTGTACTTCTTCCGTTCTGAACTAGGCTTAGAAATACACATAGGACTCAATTAATTTGCCATCGCCATCATAAAGTTAATAATACTAATTAATCCACATACCTGGCTTTCGGAATAAGTCAGTTAACAATACAGTAATGCCTCCAAATACAGTGTCACTCCAAGCTGAATTGTAATTTTTAACAGTAGCCTTTATCCTCTCAGTCAGGATTTACCTTTCACTAATGGAAAGCTTAATAATCTCTTCGTAATTCCAATCCGGATTTTAATTGCTGTCTATATGTTTACATTTGTAATTCTTCTCCATATCTTCAGTTAAAAAGAAAGTGACATAGGGATCGCCTTTGGGTAATTACCTAGCATTTGGGAATCGTATGCATAGATCACCTTCATACATCTTTGGTGGTATTCTTAATCCCACCACGCCTTCGTTGTAAGGATCTGGAATCCAAACGAATTGCACCTTCAGAGATCCCAAATTTGGATTTCCTTTCTTACTCGGATCCTTCAATGGCAGATCTTGAAGCATCACTGATCCTGGATTCTTTTCCAGAATATCAATCAGATCCACTTCGCATTACCCAAGGAAATCTTTGCCAACTTCATCATCATCATAGACATTGAAATTAATGGTGTTCATTTGGACTTGGCATCTCAGCAATTCAACCACAAGACTCCCTTAGAAATCCCAAATTGGATCCAATGTATTCTCTTTAATCGGAGTCTGCATCTTCTTAGTTTCACTGCTTAACCCACATTCTACAAAAGGGTCACTTTTGCCTGTGATGTCTGCATTATACAATTGGGAAGCTGATATAATCTTCACATCTATTTTGCCAAGGACTCTGCCATAATCATGCTTTAATTCTTGAACAGTATCACATGCTCTGATGCCTTCAGGAGTTGTCTCCTACCCTGGAAGTAAGAACTTGCATTGAACATACACTTTGCCCTCTGACAATTGATACTGCTTGTTAATCATCCATTAAGAGGGGTTATTGAAGCACTCCATCCATTCGATTTCGACTTCTCCCAGCAAATCATCACTCATAGCATCAGAGTCATAGATTTACAAAAATATTGGTTTGTATTGTTCTTTGATTAGATTGCAATTCCATTGATATTGAAAATTGAATATTGGATTGATGGTCTTATCAATTTATTTGCTCTTCACATTGTGACTATCTGGAAATGTCAACTTGCAATAGGGATCTGCAGTGACTCCATCATCTGGTCTCAATCCCAAAGCCACAGGGATGTTAATAAACAATTTCCCCTTCATGGGCCTTTTGTTTTCCTATTGTTGTTCTCTCAATATGAAATCCAAATCCTCTGTTAATGGCAAGGGAGGATCATTATTTTGAATCCCCTACAAACAATACATAATTTATAAATAGATCTTGCCGAATTCTTTGGTCTTGTATTTCTTTTGCATCTTCTAATCTCCTTGTAAGTCCACTACTTCATTGAACTTCCACACTTGAGGATTGTTAAAAGTATCCAACAAATCAATAGTGCAATATCCCATCAATTCGTCATTTACCAAATCATCATCAAACACTTCCACTCTTAAAGGTTAAATCGTGTCTTTGGGCATCGACACATTAATATTAAATATAGTTTTCCAAGAAGGGTTGATGGTATCAGGTTTAGACAGTGTTTCTACTTTCTTGCCTCCTGGTACTTTGAACACTACATATGGATCACTTGCTTTGCTATCAGCCACAACCAGTCCTCTAGCATGTACTAAGAATATTCTTAATTAACCGGAATAAATTCCTTATTTCGAATTTATTATCTCAAATAGGTTCTCAGTCAATGGAGCCTCTGCTTAATCATCAATCATTCCTCTTTCAATAAATTTGGCTTGAATATACAAAAAACCAATCGACCCAAAATTCTTACTGTTTGCAGCAGCACTTAGATTGTACACTTAATTGATAGCCCATTCTCCAGGATGAGACACGCACTCCTCCCATTACATGTCTACATATCCAATCAAATCATCACTCAAGATGTTGGAATCTTTGACTAATACTTTTAAAGGTGTCTTCCCTGTCTCCTTCTTTACTTTGAATTGATTTCTCAAGATCTAATTGAAAATAGGATTTATAGAAGACGAGATCGTTTCTGTTTTCAATTCCTTGCCGCCTGGAAAATTAACAATAACATATGGATCTGGCGAATCTGCTTTCAATTCTCTGGCATGCACCACTTTAATGACTAGTTCACCATCAATGAAATTGGGATCTGGATCAGCACAACCACTGGAATCAAACTTATCCTTTGCTTTTAAATTGGGATCCTTCATGCCTTTTGGAACCCAATAGCATTAGATGTAAATTTAAGCTGGCTGTTTAGCCTTGGGATCAATGACGTCAAAATAATCATTTATAGACCATTTACATGGCTATTCAATACATGGAGCCAGATCCACTTTACATATACCTAACTCATCATCACCCAAAACATCTTCATCAAATAATTGGAATTCAAGTGGAGGATATGGTGCCTCCTTTGGCATCAATACCTTTATCTATTACAAATCTCTCCATTCTGGATTCAAACTGCACTTCACTGTCTTCGATTGTATCTTGATCTCTTTGTCAAATGATTTAATTTTGGCAATACAATAAGGATCGGAAGTATCTCCATCATCCGCTCTCAGGTTCTTACCTCTTACAAAGAGAATCTTTAGAGTCCCTTCAATCATATCATCTAAAGTCAACTATTTCTTCTTCTCCTCCTTAGATACTCCCTCTCTGAATCCTATAATCTGTTAAAACATCGATTATGGGATGTATCTAATCTTTAAATAGACCTTCGTGTTCTCCTGAAGTGAGTAACTCTTCTCCGATAGGAATTCTCCTGGATTGAGTAGACATTCACTCCAATCTATGTAAAACTCACCTATGATTTGAGTATTTGTTTATAACAAATTTTTAGGAGTCTCCACGTAAACCTTCACATAAACCGAATCAATAGGTGCATTTGCGATGCATTTCAAATCTTGCAAGTATTTACCTTCCCAATACAGATCGTTTGATGCTGTCAATTAAGCCTAAGGCTTCTTGTCAATCGACATGAATTTTAGATGCATGAAGAATTTTGGTTCCTTCAATTACTTAAAATCCTACTTCAAAATACACTAGATTGGTATCACTTCTAAAACACCCTCCTCCACTATCGTTGCATTTATTTTATTTCCAACTACTGGTCTTTTGATTTCCACTTCTTCGCCAGGGATAAACTTAATCGCAATATTAACAAATCCTTAAGGCTTAAACATTTTGCTTTGCTCCTTGATGTAAGTAGTATTTTGGAGTTAGAATTTGTTATTGATCACCCATTGATTTGGTTTATCAATGGTCTATTTCCACATGATCTTAACATCTCCCACAAAATTGTCCTCCTCAACAGCATTTCGGTATAACCTAATCCAAACATATTCGCATAGATTCTCTTTCAAGGCTTACCCAATTGGAAAGATGAAAGCCTGCTTAAATTCACTCTGATCGAAAAGAATCACTGATTTTTCCATAACATTACCTCCCTTTAAAATAATGTGACAACACAATGATTTTGAATTGATTTAAGACCCATTAATCAACTAAACCTTTAAGAATCCTGTAATCTTTGTAAAATCTTTAGTATCAATGTTCCACTCTTTAATTTCTTATTGCAATTCTGTTTACGTAGCCGCTATATCCTCATAAGGATTATCCTCATCCTAAACTTAGATTCTATCCTGCTCATCAACCACAATTTCTTCGTCTCCTTATTCCTCTCTTAACTTCTGGTAGTTATTCAGAGTTTCTCTCATTTCTTCCAATGAAACTGAACCACTCTTATCTGAGTCGAATATAGCAAACATGTTATTTAAATCTTTCTAATTCAATATGATTTTCAAAGACTTGAGTCCTTGCTTAAGTTCTGCTGGACTCAAAGATCCTGATCCATCAGTATCTATCAGTTCAAACATCTTCTCAACTGTGAGATTTCTAGCTTTAATGGCGTCCAGTAATTTACAAAACAATGCCTATTCAAATTATTCCCTTTATTTTGGTCGATCCTACAATATTTAAGCCCACTCCTCAATTCCTATTAATTTCTTCTGTCCCAAAAAGCCTCCAATTCTACATAAAGAATGGATGTCTTATTAACTGAGTTTTAGGGACGCTAGAAATTGCCTAAACTCCTCTTAGGTTAATGACCCATCCAAATCACCATCGAATGTTTTCATTCGTTGTTTCATGGGTGGTGGATTACCTTTCAATGCTTTCAATAACACAATAATGGCATCATCATCCTATAGATTATCCATCCCACCTGCAGCATTTGTAGGTAATACCTCAGCTTAAATCTTCTATTTCTCCTTCATTAAAATATTCTTCTCCTCCAACAGTTAATTTTTCTCAAACTCGAATTACTTATTTGCATTTAATCTCTCTTATTGCATCTTTTCTTTCTCCAATTGAATTTAGGCCAAAGTCTAAGCCTTCACTTATGACAATTTCTCATCATTAGATGCCTTAATGGTTTAAAGGCTCTTCAAAAACAACTAACCTGCCTTAGCCCTAAGAGTTTTCTCTTGATCCTTGCTGGCCTATAATTATTCCTTTAACTCCGATATTTGAGTCATATACTCTTAAACCTCCTCCTCTGATATGCCCTGAGGCTAATTTCTTAACTCCTCATTTTCCTACTCCAATCTCTTAATTGTCTAATTCAGTTGCTACTTGTCCTTATCCAACTTACTTATGGTTTCATCCTTACTTTTTAATTGCTTATTGAGGGTATCAATTTGTGCTTGCAATTTCTCACTATTTGTTTTGTTCTACCTCTAAGTTACTTCCAATTAGGCTCTTGTTTATGCTAAGTCTTAATCAGTTTCGAATAGATGTTTAGCTTTAATTTAAATCTCAGTTTCCAAATCAGTGATCCTAGCCAGGTACTCTTGTTGCATCTTTCTTCTCATCTCTTCAATTTACTCGGTCCTTTTCACTGCTCCACTGCCATCAAACCACATTTCCCCATAAAATCCATCTATGACATCCTCATTGCCACTACCTGAAGGGAGTTGCCTATCGAATGGACACAAAATGTTAAACGTCCTCACACATGCCTCTCCTGGAGGAACATCCTTAACAGCCCCATACAATTCTTCCATTGTGTTTATCCCCTCCATCCAAGACCCTGTATAAACATATGGCCGTTTTAGATGATGATTGGCTCGAATCCCCGATTCCTATACTTTTTTCATTATGGTAAAGAACTTCTCCCTAATCCATTAATTTATGGATGCCGGAGCCCACTTCACTTGTAGAGGAGGAGGCTCAGCAGATACTATCTCCTTCTCCACAATTGGAAATTAAGGAGATTGTTATGGCTGTTTATTTGCGACTACTATGGATGATGTAGGTGCTTATTCTTTCTTTTAATTTGTTAGTTTCTAGCCTTAAACAGCTTAATCTAAGAATTTCAAATCTTGATCCTAATTATTCATTGGTGAAGAACTGTAAACAATCAACACCTCTCTCGTTCTGTCATTGGCAGCCAACTCCAATGGAGTCTTTTAACTCCTGTCTCTCAATTACATGCTTTCCTATCCACCTCTCTATAATAAAACTGGGATGGCTCTTGTTTTTCCACCCTCCGAAGCATGATGAATCGGAGTTTTCAAATCCTCATCCAAAGCCATGGAATTGGCCTTGAAGTCCAGGAGAGTCCTTAATAAACTCACCTAGTGTTGCGAGGAATTCCACACACAATAATGCAATGGGGTTCTCTTCTTCTGATCCACATCATTTGACAATTCTGGCTTTGTTGCCAATACCAACTACAATGTCTGTGCACTTGGACATGAGGCAGCAAAATGAATACAGGATCGGCCCAAGGAATCTCTGGCAGTTATATCCGCTCCCGCCTTCAACAATGTATCAACTATTGTTTCATGGCCGTGCAAACACCCATAATGCAAAGGCGTCTTCAAAGTCCGATCTCTACAATTCGGATTGAAACCACTCATCAATAGTATTTCCACTATGCTCAAATGACCCTCGATTGTTGCCACGTGCAAAGGGCTTTTTTTAGTTTAGTCTACACACTGCTTGATTTGAGGATCCTTTGACTCTTTCAAGTACTATCTCACTTTTACGAGATCACCGCGCGAACAATTGATAAACAAAGCTGAATGTTCTGAATTGTCTTTCCTTGCCATCCAATTTATATCGAACTTCGATCTATTCAACCTTTCCAAAGCCTTCACTTCGAATTTCCCTTGCCAATCCAGTCCTGTGTGCTACTGAAAGACTTTCCCAAAATTTGGAATTATGAGTGCAGTCGCAACCTCCTCCAAAGCCAGCCCCTCGAATCCCTTCCTTTGGAACTTCTATATCAACCCCTTTATTTGCTGATCCGATATTTCGTCAGGCCCTCCAGATCCATTATCAAGAGCTTTATTATAATTCATATTATAAATTAATTATTTTTAATTATACTCTCATTACTTTTCAATCAGTGTAAATTAATCATTTCGCATTCCATTATATGTTAAATTACTTGATTAAGTGCATTTTTCATAACTGAAACCATCCTATTAAAAACATTATTAATTTAATTTTGTTATTATTAATAAGTATTATTTAAATGAACCAAATTTTTAATAATATACTCATGATATTATCAATGCTCACAGTAATTTAATTAGTTTTAAATAAATATATCCTTCTATGAGTGTCTTCTTAATTTTGCCTCACCCTATAATCGATTTATAAGTAGTCAGATCAAGGGAGCATTTCAGGATTTCAAATACTATTTTGTAATGACTATTAATCTCATTTGAGTTGTCAGCACTTCGACAATGAGTAAATGGTGAAAACTGTGTTTATGCAAAATAAAAGTTAATATTAGTGTTCAAATCAAAGGGATTTGACATAAAATAAATTGTAAAGCAGATAGATTAATATCATAAGAAATTATGCTCATAAAATCAAAAGATTGAAAAGATAATTTGAATAATATAACCTGAGTATGAAACGAATTATTTGGTTATTTAAAGAAAATATATTTGCTAAATTTGGCTTTATAATCAATGACTTCATAAAAGCCTCTACGTGAGAAGATCTGCAGTTTTGCAATCAGAATTTGATTAAATAAGGATAGTATACCTATAGAGTTAATGGAAACATAATTGACATAAATTCTTAATATGGATGAATTGGAGTAAATTGCAATCTGCCTACGTGTGTATTGCTTCCAGGATGAGTGTAAGAAGAGTTGTTGCTCTAATGTTAATATGGTGATAAAATTCGATAATGTCAATTACTTGAGATTAGTGATTATTCAATAAAAAAGACAGAAATTATGGTTGTTCAAAAGTTGATTCAGATGTAGAGAGAAGATGTCAAAGTTTCGGAATATAAGTTTGTAATTGATATCGAAAATTGAATATTCAAATCGGCAAATATAAACTATAAAAATAATGAAGAGCAAAAACAAGAAGTTATCAGCTTAAGATGGAAAATTTATTTATGAGGGTGATATAGTTACAGATGATAAGTCAAAATAGATGTTATATGATGGATAAGGATATCTATTTAATACTGAGACCAAGTGTTTTTTCAAAGGGACATGGAAAAGGGGGGAGAAAGTTTGCGGAATTGAAACTTTCCCCAATGGCGATGTTTACGAAGGTTAATACAAAGATGGAGTGTTTCATGGGCGAGGATTGATTTATAATAATGTGCAACTCTACCCTGATAAAAAAGGTTAATACCTCTATGATGGGTAATTTGAGCAGGGGTAAAAACATGGCTTTGGTAAAGAACAATACTTCACAGGGGGACGTTACGAAGGCTAATTCAAGTGCAATTAGAAGCATGGCCCTGGTAAATTAGTGTTTTCTGATGGATCCTATTTTGTTGGTGATTTTCAAAGAGGTAACTATTGTTGTTATAAAACTTAGGATTACCTAATGGGTTCGGAGTCCATGTCGCTTATTCTAAGGATAGAATAGTGTCCACATTCCCTCCACCTTCCAATATATAAGAGAGACTGGAATCAGAGGCGAGGGAGGAGATCTAGGAGCAGGAATAAGAGAAAGAGAAATCAGAATATTTATACGAAGGGGAGTTTGTTGATGGATACAAACATGGGTTAGGGAGATTGTATTATCCAAGTGGGTCCTATTTCTATGCCTATTGGGAGTATAATAAACCCGCTCGTGATTTTATTGAGTATATTGCTGAAGGGCATAAATGGAGGATTCTTAATGTCAAATAGTTGCAGACTGACTAGAGCATTAACTTCTTCAAGATCATCAGAGATAACAAATCCTCCTGGATTGAGAAGTATCCCATTAAGGGCAACAGTTACCCTCCTGCTGAATTGGATGGATATAAAGTTCTTATTGATGAGAAAGGATTGAAGCGAGAAGATTTCGAAGATCCAGAATTCGACTACTCTGAGCAATCGTTTAGCATCAAGGATGAAAACGACTAGCCAGTTGTTGCACCTATTGAGTTTGAGAGAATATTTGCATCAAAATACTTCAAGAAGAAGGAATTCAAACTCTTCACTAAAGATATACAGCCTGGATATCTGCAATACTCAGAATAATATTGTTGTTAACAATTGACAGTTGTCTTAAATGCACTTACATTCCATTCCTACCTTTTAAATAAAGTATTTACTAGGAAATATGAAGCAGAGTAAGATTAATAATCTATATTTATAGAATTGGATTTTATTTCATTAAACTATTTTTGAAGAATGAATGGAAGGAATATATCATAGATGATAAAATACCTGTATTTAAGTATGATAAAATGCCCATCTTCTCCAATTCCTAGGAACCAGAATTGGCATGGGTGATCTTATTCAAAGCATTTGCAAAGTACAATTAATCCTTCCAATATTTTACGAATGATAAACTAACTAGAGCTGTTGAATATTTAACACTGCTGACAGGTATGCCAACTGTGTAATTCTCAATCCCCAATAATTTTGGGGAAAATCAAGAATATTCAGATTAAGTATTGCATACTCAATATTCTAGCAAAAAAAAATATGGAAAACCATGTCATAGAAATATTAAAGCACCAAAGTCAGGATTTGTTATTTATACAAGGAGATGGAAGAAAGATTAAAATTACCCAGAAATACAGCCTATCAAATTGTGGATATGCAAGAGTCTTCTTTGGGGAAGAGAGATGAATCATATTTTCTGCTGATTCTGGCATCACATTAGAAGCTCTCTTTGAAATAAGATATAACCAATTAAACTTCATAGGCTAGATACAAATTATAGGAAAGAAATCCTTAAGCTAGAGGCAACGAAGCCTACTTCTTAATGGAATACAAAGATTTTATCAAGCATTTTCAGTATGTCATCATGCTTTGCGCCACAAGATACCCAATATAGAATTAATAACTGATAGAGCCTGAAGAAAAAGATAAACATAATCAAGAACTAAGATTTTTTTGCAGATTTAGAACAAATTTGACCCAAGATTGTTTAATATGTGTCACTTAAGATCACTAAGACAAACAGGAAGAATATGTTGTTTAGGAAAGTAAGACTTAGATTATTATGTTTTAGAAACATTTCCTGTAAGAATTGTGCTTGCAAAAGAAAAGGACTTATTCACAAATAAGAATTAAGTTAAGAAAAAGATTGTATCAAGATGGACAGAGTAAGTAAGTCTTTCAAAACAAGAAAGAGATAAAGATAAAAAGGAAGATACTACCAAAGCTGAAATGAAATACACTTCCTTATTTGACTAAAACGCTGATAAAAAGTAGATTAACCCATACAAATACTGTTTTGGAAAAGGTTAGTCTTCAGGTAAGATGCTATTTAAGGATGCCTCTCTAGAAAGCGGAGCTTATGTATTGTTTGTCTAGGTTGAAACAGGGGATAGCAAAGAATAGTTCGATTTAAAAAAAATGAAGTTTTGGATCACTATCCATAGTCAGAAACTCATCCAAATACAAAGGCTTGATTAACAGATTCTAGATTTCTAAAAATTAGTGTATGAGAGTGCTATTGCAATTGCTGATAAGCATTCCTAAGACACTAATAAATTTAAATACTTTCACAAAGGAGATCTGAGTGAGTAGGAAAATGGAAGTAGTGATCTTGTAATTACCCAATACTTTATTAAGAAAGAAGGAACGTATTTACAGCATTTGCATAATAAGAGTTCGAATAAGATTTGGAGATAGAAGTTGTATTTCAAGTTGGATAACATGTAGATTATTGATCACAGAGAATCTTAGAAGTTGGACATCTGTTTATCCAAAAAATAGACAGCTTTAATCATAATTTAATAAGTGGGAGCAAAGAAATACAATTTAGAAGGAGGAGAAGGAATTTGTATTGTGGATTTATTGCATGATGAGTTGGCAGAGGAGGAATAGGAAGTCAAAAATAACGAGACTGCAACATTTCAAGAGGATAATTAGCAGATCTTCCAATAGACTACATCGAAACCTAAATTTGGGAGTTTATTTTTTAAAAGCTGATAGAGAATATTAATTACATATATTTATTCAATTTTAACCAAAATTTCAAATAAAATTTAAGAATTATTTTAGCGGTAATTAGAAATTAATTTAAATTTCGAAATTTAGACATTAGAACCCCTTGGAAATGAATCTATTTCCCTCTAGAAATCTTTTTTCAAACCCCAGTTCACCTTAAACTTTTGAGCCCAATCCATATAAGAAGTTATTTGTAAATCCTCCCTTTACACCTGAGTTTGGCAATTCAATTAAATAACCAATAAAACTATAAGTAACAGATGGAATTGGAATGATCTAAAAAAAATAATTAGCCTTGAAAATTTGCTAATAGAAGGAGCAAAATTATTAATTCGATTAAATTAATTCGCCACACACTCCCACTCAAAGTGAGAGAAAAGTGTAACAATCAACAGGAGAGAAAACTAAGCAAAATCAACTTAATAAGATAAATAAGGGGAAAGTATTTCGAAATTTGAATAAGCAATTTGATGGGGAATAAGGGGTTCCAAAAAGCAGATATTAGGAAGAATATATCCAAGTGGATGTCTTAGGAAGTGGTTATTTTGGATAAGTTTATAAATGCAAAAATAGATTTACAAATTAAATTTGTGCAATAAAGTGCACAAAAATTAAAAATAACAAGTTAAACATAGATTTAGCCAACGAATCTCAAGCTTTGGCATATTTAAATTAAAAAGGAGCATGCAAGAATCTCGTCAGGTATTTTACTTCATGGCAAGAAGGGAACATGTTGTACCTGTTGATGGAATATTGTGATTATAGTGTCAGTTCAAGACAGGACTATGAGGAATTTGAAATTAAAAAAATACTCAAGGATATAACCAATGGATTGATATTCTTGCATGAATAACAAATAACACATCTTGATATCAAACCAGAAAATATTCTATACAGTAAGAAAGATGGTTAATTCAAATTGGCTGATTTGGGTTTATCAAAGAAAATACAGCAACGATAGGAAGACGTGAGTGTTGGGGACTTCAGATACATAGCCAAAGAATTACTTAATCAGACAGAGATGCTTGATCTTTGCAAAACAGATATCTTCTCTTTGGGTGCCACTCTTTATTAATTGATGACTCGAAAGGAATTGCCATCAAATGGAGAGGAATGGCATCGTATTAGGGATGGTATTCAAATTACTGATTTCCCTGAGAACAGATATTCCCTTAGGCTGAGGAAATTGATTTGCAGAATGATGGAACCTGATCCTCTTTCAAGGATTAGTGCTAAAGAAATCTTGGATGATACATATATTTATGTCAACAAAGAGAATTACATCAAATGGGAAAAGATACGTGGTTTGATTCTAAGAAGACAATTAGATTAATGCTTAATTAAATAACGAAAACTCAGTTTTTGATGGGATCTTCAATTAATTGAGATTTACTAATAAAATTTTGTTATATAAATTTTGTTATTTAATGCAAGCCTAAATTCAATCAGAACAGGAAGAAAACAAACCAATCAGAGGTTCCGAGGAGAACTAAAATGAATAATTGAACAAACAACAAGATCGAGTACAATCGTCATCAATACCAGTTAATGAAAAAACTAGACTGCCTCCTGAATCTAACATCAACTTGAAATAGGCTGCTTTCTAGGAAGTATCAAATGTTTGGCCACAATAAGCTCCTTTTGCATTCCCAAATATTGTAGCATAATAGATATAATCTGAAGTTAATTAAGGACAATAATCTTCTGCTTAGCAATCAGACAATTAATAAATTATGTCTCATTAGAGCATGCAATTTGCAGAAGGTTCAAAAATTCCAAATCATCTCAACTTGACTTAAACTCCAAAAATGAGACACTCTTAACAATTATAATGTAGATGGTGCAATCAAGCAGTATTCTCATAAATTGAAAATAAAATCGGACTGGCCTAATTGATACTTTGTCTAATATTCTTGCCTGCCTTTGGAATTGGTTTAATGTTTGTATGTTGTAATGTAGATATATATCTTAATCGCATAGACTTATAAAGATTGTTATCATTATTGTTCTCAATGTTCTGGTGAAATGGGAGTAGTAAAATTGATTGATTTTGAATGTTGATATCAACCTATAATATTAATTATATTTTACTATGTTAGCTCCTCAATACATTTTAACGAAATTTCAGGAATTTTTAGAAACATAACTAGAGAATAAACCGAATAAAAATGAAGTAATAAAGAAATTAAGAGACTTTAATAGATATTTTGCAGCAAACAATTACAATATCGGCAAAGGGTTTGAATATTTTTAGAATAATCAAAACAGCATGCAATAATTGGCACCTATTCCAAAAATAATTATTGACAAACTTCAAATACCAGAAACCACTATGCAGCTTACTGGACAAGGCTTGCAGGGCTTGTATTATGCAATTATGATTGGATTATAAAATAAGAAAGGGTAATTTATTGCCGAAGGGACAGCTTATTAACAATTAAATTAACTGATTAAAACAAACTAAATTCATTAGAGTATAGGATTGTGGTACTTTACAGAGATAGCGTCAATTCTTTTGAAAAATAGTATAAATCTTAATTTGAGTAACCATCTACTAGAAAACGGCATAAAAATTAGCGATTAAATTGACATCAAGAATTTGTCAATTGGATAGAGTGCACTTTTAGTTGATAATCTTAAATATGTTATTAATGTTGATATACAATAAATACTTTATTACAAGCCAAATAAAACATTGCACAGATTGGTATTATTGAATTCCAGCCTTCCAAATTGTGTTAAGATAATGATAGAAAATGACATTTATTAAGATGTGCTGTTGTTTTCTTTATTCCAAGAGGATTAGAATAATCAAAGAAATCAATAATAAAAATATCCACAACAACAACAACAACAATATTAATCTCAATAATAATAAATATAATACAGTGGGTAATCAAGTAATAAATCAATATCAATTCAGTAATAAGTGAAGATGCTTTTGGAAGAGATGAATCAATAGACTGATTTATTAATAGAGCAAAATCAGTTGAAAACATTACCTGAATTTAAAGCCTAACAATATGTTAAGTAAATGAAGAATCAAATATTGTCAGAAGAGAAGAAGAAAAAGTGTCTCAAATGTTAACAGGAATTTAGTAGCGATATTGGAAGCATCGCAGGGTAAATTACAAATTTTTGTATGAAATGTTATAAAGAATTTTCAATTTGAAACAATTATCATTGTTAATAATAACAAGCAGTATGTATTATATATATATATATTTTATGGTAATTTTTTGTAATTTCTTTAATAAATACAATTAACTTATTGTAATTAATTGGGAAATTTAGTGAATGGACATCGATTAAGAGAAAGAATTTAACGAAGAAAATAATTAAATAATAGAGGAAGACATCAATTAAATCTAGAATGAAGTGCAAGATATCCAATTCCAATAAGTGACTGATAATTAAGAGAATGTATTAGATTAAATTAACAATTAGAATAAAAAGGGTGAAATAAGAAGAGTACCAGTTCCTCCTCATAGAGTGACTCCTTTGAAAAATAATTGGGACAAAATATTGACAACCATAGTGGTATTCATTTATATGAAGATTACAAGGAAAACATGAAGTTGTAAATAAGAATGAATACCAAAAAGAAGTGCGTAGAAATCAAAACATCTTAATTTACAGAAGACAAGACTTCATTGCAAAGAGGTGTAGACTTTTTGAAGGCATTCATGATGGGTAATAAATTTGACTGAACAATTCTTAGGATTTGACATCGATGATTCAGTGGCTCTGCTCAGATTAGATGATTTGTATGTAGAATCATTTGAAGTTAAAGATGGTACGACATCATATAATTATTAAAGTTAAAACCTTACATGGTGATCATTTGTCAAGATGTATTGGTCGTATTTCAGGTGAAAAAGGAAAAACTAAATTTGCAATTGAGAATGCAACAAGAACTAGAATAGTTCTAGCGGATTAAAGAATACACATTCTTGGAAGCTATTCAAATATCAAAGCTGCCAGAGATGCAATCTGTGCTTTGATTTTGGGAAGTCCTCCTGGAAAAGTCTATTCATAATTGAAGTCTCTCTGTAGAAAATATGTGGAGAAAAGTTGAAATTATATTCGTCTATCATATTCATTATTAATTCAATTTTAATAAATAAACATAGGACTCTATTCTAGTGTTTAATATTATCTCAAAAAGGAGAAAAAGATTAAATTTAATATGATTCATAAATTAAATTTATTGTTATTTCTCCTCTCTATTTCTTCTATCAATATTAAACTGACACCATATTTCTATTGCGTATATTCATTAGACTTATCTGCTAAGAAGTTTTAATTTAATTTCATTTTTTACTATTGTCTCCTTTTTTATATAGAATAATTAGTAATAATAGTTAGTATTTCATCCTGAAATAATGGAATCATTCATATATGTCCTAAATTGAGGGATAAATATTTTATATACATATAATTTTAATTAAATTTGTAATTAACAGTTAATTTTATGATTCGATTTGGAAAATCACCACAGCATATTTAAAAGAACCCAAAAAAACCAGACAATTTAGAAATTCTAACTCTATTAGACAACTGCACATGTAATGGATATATTAAAAATTAGTAATTTTCAAGGATGATAGGATAACATTGAGGAATATGGTAAAAGAAGGTAATCAAGATGTCATAGCAATACTGAATAATTATAAAAAGGGCAATAATTTTAAAGACTTATCAACCGATTTAAGAAAATATCTTAGAAGGAAGGGAGACAAAGAAAATGATAAAGTTCTTACTTGTTAATCTCCTACATCCAACAGAATATAAAAAGTCCAACAATTACAAATCTAACCTTAACAAAATAGTCAAAAGAAATCATGCCCTGATTTATGGAAGCCAGCCGAATAACAATCTCCAAAAGCAATCAACTTGTGCAAAAATAATTAGTTTGTCAATGACGTTCAATATTCAGAAATTGTACTTTCAGATAGAAATCATAATGAGTCGAAAGATATCGAGTAAATTTAATTTTAAACTAACGTCACCTAATAATACGCATTTCATCAGCCCACTACCAATTAACTGGATCATTCATAAACAATTCAATAGAGCAGTTAATTATAAAATAGTTAAGAACATTAATTATAAGAATAAGACATTGATATCGATGAAGAAGATGATATTCAATCGCGAATCCTCTAATGAAAGCATTTTAAATTAGATTTCTCAACCACCTCCTTAAACCCAAGATATTACTCCAAAAAACGATATCAAACCAACATAGCTATTTCAAAGTGGGCATTCAACATATCTACAAATAAACACTTGCTAATCATATCTTTAACCAATATTGACAATTTAAGAAAAATCACCGGTCTCACTTAAATCCCCAGATACAGAAAATAAAGTTGTTGTAAAGGATTCTCAAAAACACTATAGCTTTTACAATTATCAAGATTACCAAAAGGTAGCCCAACCATAATATAAGCATTTATTTACTCATTGGCCTTCCCTATTACACAAATTAGATAGACCTGAATATGTTCCTAACTACAGAGTTGTTCCTTATATTAATTCTACACCTGAACAAATATTTTCAATTCTGTTTCCAAATTCTAGCAAAGCCAAAATTAGTTACTTTGCATTTGAGAACTAATTAAAACATAATCTATTATAAATTGACCGAGACTCACTCTTCAAAGAATTAGATAAAGACTAGGATGATTGGATAAATTATAGAGAAACCGGAGTTATTCTGGAAGGCCTATGTTTATAAGTAGAATAGCCTAAGAATTGCGTAAAAGTCATTTTTGAGACTTTGAAAGGTCAACCAACTATCCCTAATACCTTAACTCTTTCAGATCTTGAACTATTTGAATAAAAAACAGATTTTCAATTTGCCAGATAGTATATATCATATTTTTATAACCTAGATTAATGTAAGAAGTAGATGGAATTTAATAAGGGCATCTCACTTATTGGGATTTATATATGCATCGTGACATTTATCTAATGGAAAGATTATGTTAAATAGTTTCATAAATTACAGGTGCTACTCATAATCATTAATGACTTTGAAATTATTATTAATACTTATAATGATATAAATTATTAGACTTTTATGACTTTTTTTTCATGAAAATACTATCATATAATACTAACAATTGAATCAATCTATTTTAAATATCATAAAAAATATAGGTTAAAATACTTGAGAAAGTTACTAAATAAAATAGATATATTAACTATTTAATAAATTATATGAGTTTAATACACATTCATTCATTTTAAATAACTTGGAATTTGCAAGTGTTTCCCTTCTATACTTGTATCAAGTTTTCTCTTATTAATATTCTATACCTGAATTCCCTAATTCTTAATTATAGTGTAATTCTTCATTTACAACTTTTACTTCTCTTTAAACAACTCCTAATAAAATTAAAATGGACTAGTAGGTAATAATCCAAGTCCTAAATTTACATTTTATTAAATTTGATATTATTCTGAGTAGATTGTCCTATTTTATGCTTTCTACTTAGAAGCTTAATACAAAGTTAGGTTTTGATTATTGATAAATTAATTTGGAATATTAAACTGCTATTTCCTATTATTTTGACTAACACTCCTGTGTTTTGTGACAGAAGAAGATCTTGAATCGGCATCCTCCCTCATAATTACTAAAACATCTTATTAAGGAGAACTCCGTTCAATATCTCTAAATTGTACTTATGGACTATTTTTAAACCGAGTTTATTGAAAATCCATATCAACTTAAACTCCTTAGTCCTAATAATTAATTTCCTATATCATTAGATGTTCTTTTATTCTAACCTTCTCAACCTATTTTTAGAATCCAGTCGAAGCAGCTTCTATTAATTACTTTTAACTCTTTTTATCTCTCTTTACTGATATATTTTCAATTTTTCTATCTTTTTGCGTAATCTTAGGCGTGTTGATTTAGGAGTAATTTTGAACTCGATTTGATTTAGGAGTTTAATTTGTATAGTTGGAAGTCTTTTGGGTTCCTTTTATGGGGAATTTATTTTCCATATTCGAAAAATTTAATTGATCTTTCGGACTGATTGCCAGGTCAGTGATTTGTAATTATATTAGGGGTACTTCTGGAGACTGGAATTGATGTTAATAGAAATTGCTATCCTCATTCAACTCCTAGGATATAGCATATCTAATCTATATTACCAAAATAATGATACATCAAAAAACTCTGTGATTGTTTCAGCCTCTCTTTTCAGTTTACTTTAATGAATAATCTACTAAGCAATAGCTAATTAAAAGAATGTAACTAAACTAGATTGTATTTCTGGATCATCATTTTGAAGAAGTCTAAATTTATTCCGCTTCTTAAAATAGCCAATAAATTTAATTTTGGATGGATAGCCTAATTTTTATAAAAATTGAGCAAAAGGGTTTTGTTATTAATTTAAACTGTGGATTCACTATTTTACAATTCCTGCTTTAAAGATTGAATACTTTAAATTTACATTTATATTGTATTTTTGCATTTTTAAATTTCTAATGATTAGGATTTGCACTTCTATTCAATCACATTTTTTGCTTACTCAATTTTTAATATATTGTATTGAGCTTACTAGTAATTCTAAATTAACTTTTCATAATCTTTAATGGTAAATTCATCATTTACTGATTTCAGATAATGATTAATTCTTTATTTCAATTCATACAAACTATCCTCATCTAATTCTTATTCAAAAAGCTGATAAAATTTAGAGTAATTACTCCATCTTGCAAAAGCACATTTCATCGTAATTTTTCTAATCAATTGAGGATCAGACAAATCTTTCCATTAACTTTTTAATTTCTTCTCATATTCTGATGATAGATTTAATTATTATTCTTTCAATTTCTACTCTATGAGATCCTGTTATTATTCAAAAACTTTATTTACATTTTCCTCACGAGATGCTTATAGTTCTTCAATAGTTTAATCTTTGATCTTTATTTCTTATTTGAGATTTTCTATTATTTGAATGTTCTCATCAATCATAATTTTTAGTTAATCCTCATATAATTATTTCTATCTTTAGAACATTCTGCCTCCAGCTGAGTTTTTTGAGATGAGTTCATCTATTTCCCTGTAATTAATTCCATATCCACCAATTTAATTCTCGAAGACTTGAAAAATTATTTTATTTCCAACCTACTCTTATATTTGCTTCCAAATCTTATATGGATCCTTTTCGATCAAAAATAGCATTTTAATGATGGATTAGAGTGTATTATTTTATAAAAGAACTGAAATAGTCCTCTTGTGAGATTCACATTCTGTACTTAGAGCAGTTAATTCAATTTTATATCTCTGCACAGTCTATTAACATTATTTCTATAACTGATTAAATTTATCTTGGATATAGTTCTACAATTCAGGTTCTAGTGTCTATTTGATATCAAAGTAATTAACTTCAAAAAATTCGGCATCTGGATTTTCCAGTTACCTTAGAAACTAAAATAAAAGAGGATGATTACCATTAATTTGAGATGCTGTATGTCTTTCAGGTAGTTGGTGGTCATCTGTAAAATTTATTCATCTCTTTTAGTTACTTTGAGGTTGGTTTCATATAATAACTGCTGGAGAGTATTTAGCTGGGATAGATCATTTTCCGAAACAGGAATATCAGTTGGTTTATGTTCTAATGAATAGATTTTGTGCGTTTTAGGCTTTTTTTGCACAATGGAATCAAATTCATCGCTTGAACTTTATTCTCCTGATTAAAAGCCTTCATTCTTAAATATGTTTTTAAAGTGGTTCTTTTTGAGGATAGAATTCAAATATTGTTGAATGTTGAGCATGGTTTTATCGATCTCTGAGATTGTAAAATATTATTCAATGTCTTGTTCTATTGGAATATGAAATATGTAAATTACACAATCTTTTAAAAACCTCACGACGTTGGTTTCTAAAATATCCTAATTTAAATTTCAAATCCATACATTTGTCAAAGAACATAGTTCTAATTGCAATTTGAGAGTGCTACATAGTTTATCAATCAATTTTAACATTTAATTGTTTTATATTAATAAAATTAAATGGAAACAGTACTTCAAGAGAGTATACTTGCATTGACCTTCAATCACGAGAGAAGTAGTATAATCTACTTGGCTCAACCAATTTTCTAAGGGGAGAACCCAATAAACGAATTGATTGAATTGGATTTGCACAATCAAACAGTATTGGAGAGGTAATTAATTACAATTGAAGTTTAGATACATCATATCAAAGCAATTGCCTAACCAACCACCGTTTATGCTTATCACTTCAAGAAGGAAAGGATATTTGATTTTGGCATTCCAACCATCCTTGATGGAGATATGGCAATTGGGAAGCAGTGCACAAGGATTCAATCAATCCATTTGGTCAGGTGAAACCAAGGGGAGGAGTGGATACGAAATTTAGCATGCTGATGTGAGCAATCTGGATGTAAGTTTTGCATTTTACTAATTAAAAAGGGCATTCTATTCTTTAGTGCTATAGATCAAAGAAATATTTATTGTGCCAATATTGATGACACAATTCAGTCGAATGGAAATGAATTGAATTTAAGTAAATTGAGATTGCCTGAAAGAGTAAGCGTCAACGATTTGAAATGTCATCCTACAGATTATAAAATTTGCAGTGCATGTTCAGATGGATTAGTCAGAGTGTGGAATCAAACCACTTACACTCAATTAAATAGTATATAAGATGAACACAACATAATTATCTCACTGGCATTCCAACAAGATGGACAAAAGTTGCTATGTGGATGCGATAATGGCAAGGTATAATTCCATAGTATAAATAATATAGATTCTGTGTTATGATGCTAAGACCTTAGGAGATAGAAACATATTGTTGGCCATTTATTAGTTGGAGTAGAATCATAACAATGGGATATTGTGTTTACATTGGGTAAATTACAACGGAGCCATCAATTGTAGTTAATTTTTGGCTTATCTCTATGATGGAAATATCAAATTATTAAATATTAAATTACTTGTACCCTAGGATATGATCAGAGATCAAAAGGTATCCAAATCAAAAAAATAAGAACTCTTTGGAAGCATCAAAGAAATTCAAAATCTATTAGCCATTAAAAATGATCTAAAATACAATGCTTAGAGACAATAACCAAATATTGGATTATCAAAATTCATATAGATTCATCCCTATGCCAATTTTATCAGTCTTAATTCCATCAAGACATTGCCAGATTAAACTCTCCAAAGCTAGATATTCTACCAATACAAAACGTAGATCATTCTACTCAATGATAACACCAATCTCTTGGCTGAATACCCTGTGTGTTCACAATAGTATTAGTATTCCTTTTAGGAACTTTTTCCAGATGAGAATAATCGAATCTTAACCTAAAGATACCTCTACTATATTGATCAACACACTATGGAAATCAAATAATATTGTCTAGCTAAAGGAATATTGAAATCAATTGCCAATCTAAGATAGATGATTTTGGTTGAAAATCCGATCTTCTACCAATTAAGTGTGAGACCAAACTCTCTCAAATTCGCTCAAAGAACGCAGTTCCTCCTAAGTTATAAGATAGAAACAACGTATAGATGTTGTACAGTGATGTCTAATGATGGAGTATTATCGGATAACTTAAAGGAATATCCTGCCAGATTTTCCATGTTCTTAGGTGAAGAATGTTGGGCGAATCCTCCATTGTTTTTGTTGTATGAGGATAGATCAAGCTATAGTATAATATTCGAGGATACTCTACCTTAAGAGGAAGATATGTTAAAACTATTGAATAAATAAGACAAGGACAAATTATAAAACTAAATGAAACAGTCATTAAATTTAAAGGTGTAGAGAATGTTTTGGACTCCTTTGAGATCAGGGTTCGTTGTAATTTACCAGCCAATGAATGAAAACATCTTAAAATTTAGTAGAAATAGAAATCCAGATAATAATCTCTTAGATCTATTGATGTAAAGTGGTTCCGAAATGATCTTCAAATTTGGGAGTGACGAGTAAGTGACAGATTTAGTCTGGCAGAAGGATCAATACATTGGAGCTGTTGTCACCATTCATAATGTGTATATAGTGGATGATAGTTTGAATACTCTTAAATTGATATCACTCCAACCATAAGTGAATAAAAAGTAATTGCAATTATGATAAACTAGGAATCGAATTCTATTGACATATTGGATGGCTCAGACCTTAATTCTATAAACTAAATTCCACATACTATATGTTTTGCTCAATGGCACTTGTGCTTCTATATAATCAATTGATAATTATGAGGAAAAGAATGTGCTTTCAGCTTTGTTGTGGGATAGGATGATTTTATTATGTTAGAGGTAACTGATTAGTTATATGATTTAGTCATTCCAAAAAGTAAAATAATATAGAAATCAAAACTAAATGGATCAATATTATCTAACCCATTTTGCAAGGATATATACACAATAAAAGATTCTTTAATTAAGATGTAGATGAACCTACTATCACAAAATTGCTATTGACCTTTGCTAATCCAAATATTGATTATTCTCTCATTAAAGACTTAGAATAGTAAAAATAACACATTATCATAAAGATTCGTCTCATGTGCCAAGTTTATTATTTAACTTGATGATTGCAATCAATTTACTAAGCATCAAAAAGCTAAATTTTTCATGAAAACCTTGGATCATGAGAACTTAAATGAGACATTGTTTGACGGTGTGGGGATCATTAATAATGATGACTTGTAATAGCAATTAATCAAAAAGATCAAGGATAGAAGATTCGAATACTTAAAAGTCCTCCTTGAATAAGCAAAATAATATTATCTTATGACATTTTAATATAGGATTGCTGCAGAAATAGATGCCATCCTAAACAAACAACCGAATTTCATTATTTAAATCTTAAAAAAGCAGAAATAAATAGATAATATCGATCAGTATTTGACCAAAGAGTATACCACAAATGATGAGGCAATTCAATTGGCACACAAGGTCCAAAATCAAGGTAATATGTTCTTCAGAGACAATATTAAACAATTAATAGAGTTTTTGACTCAACAATAGCAGTAAATTAAAAACAATTAAGATACTCAAAATATGCTGCCTTCTTATTACTTTACTGATTATCTTTTGGAAAAGTTACAACAATTATAAAATATGAAGTCCTTACAAAGTAAAGTTGAATTTGGAAAGGATAAATTCAATTTAATCTATGATGATATTAGGAATGAGGAGGATGAAGAAGAGACTGTTGTTGATAATAAAGTTATAAGAATTTTTGATAGACTGACCTATGATTCCATTGGTTTCTTTTTAGGTGTTGGTGGACAACCGTAATCTCAATAAGTTAACAATATGTTTGATGCAAAAAATGAAGATGAGGATGGCAAATAAAAATAAGATTAGCAATATGATTTCAATGACAATAGCACTAAAGAATTCTAAGAACTACTCATTTATTGGAGAATTGATGAAGGAAAGGGCAATAAAATAGGAGATTATGGCAATTATAATTGTGTTGGTGATATTTATGTAAATAAGGAGATTAGTTCGGAAACAGAGAATTTATGGGAAAAATTAGAAGAAAGTGATCCAATGGATTATTAAGATCTTTGGGGAAATGTTTGTAGCGCATAGCAAGGTTTTGAAATCGGTCCTCAGGCAGGAATTCAAACAAGGAAAAAGAATTATTGGAAGAAGAACAAACTGTCAGATTTTACAATTGAGATGTGGATCAAACCATTATAGTCTTCTGGACAGATATTATAAGTAGATCAATACTTTACACTCAACATAAATGAGTTAAGTATTGAAGTTATTATTGATGGATAAATTGTATAATTCAATATCGATGAAAACGATGAATATAATCCAATGAATTAACCGTAGGTTAAGGTAAATTTTTGGAATCACATTTGTTTATCCTATGAACAATCAGCAAGTGTGTTGTATTTATATATTTAAGCCAAATATTAATTTAGTTGTCAAGAACTTGAAATTTCTAATGAACTTTTTAAGAATAAAAATTTGATTTTGGGTCAAGCAACACAAGATCCCAATCCCAAATATCCAATCATTAAGTGTTTGATAACAGAATTCAGATTTTGGAAGTAGAAATTTTAACTCAAGGAAGTCAGAGATGGTTATAGATAGCCTCTTCCCATCGTTTATGAGAAATAAAAGGAAATTAAAATTGATATTAAATAAGAATCCAAACCAAAACCTACCACAGGATTGAATGCATTTCAGGGATTGAAATTAGATTTTGCCTTAGAACCAATTGAGGAAAAACCAACCAAAGAAGTATAGTAGGAAGATGATGGATAAAACGTATAACAAGTCGAACAACCAAACTCTGATTTCGGCTGGTTTGGAGGATCGTAACCAAATTAATAATTGAGCAATAATTTTGAATTCGATAGCAATTTTAATGCATTTGCTTAAGCTGCTGCCCCTCAAATCTAATAAGGAGGAGAATGGGGAAGTGACTTCAGTGAATTTGCAAATTTTGATCATTCAAAGCCTACTTAGAAGAATGATTTTTCTTCTTTTTCTAATGAGAACCCAAAACCTCAAAAAAGCTAACAATAATAAGAGTAAAAAATTAAAGAAGAAACGAAACCAGCATAATAATAAAAATAGAAATAAGATTAGCCAAAGGTCGAATAATAATCAGTCCCTAAATAAACAGATAAATAATAATAATAGTAGTAATCATAGTAATAACAATAACAGTAATAATAGCAAATGTAATAATAATAACAACATTAACCAATCCCATAAAAAAATTCAATATAAGAAATATAGCAAATAGTTGATCAAGCAGTTAAATCATTTGGTCTAAAACAAACAAAAGAAGGAGTAGATAATTTGACAAAGGCCTTTTAAAAACTTAATGAATATTTGCAGGGAAACAAAGATAAGCTTCAAAGGGTATAAATATTATTATATAATTTAGATATAAAAATTCATTGTCCATTGTGCTTAATATAGATTTGCCTTTTAGTTACTAATTGGAATAAATTAGATGCATGAGAAAGGTAACTTTAAAAAAGAAATCTATATGCATTTAATTTTGATTCATCAAAATATTATCCCAAGCCACAAACTTCATTGGATTATATAATCAATATTTATTTGTATTGAATCTGAAAACACAGCACTTGCAGAAACATTACTTAATTAATTGAAGTAGAGTTTGGATAAAGTTAAACTTACAGAAGAAGATGATAAATTGCTAAAGGAGTGTGAATCAAAGTTGGCCAAAATTGAAGATAAAAAAAATTCTGGATTATACAAATTGACATGTCCTAATTGTAAAAGTCACTTCCCATTCAAAGGGATAAAGAAATGCAATAAATGTAATAAAGACTTCTTAATTTGTTAATTTAAATTGCTTTGCATATCTAAGGTTGATTGCCTGAAGTGCAAGGCTTGTGAATCTGTTTTCAGCAAAGAATCAGGGTAAGTTGGTTAGAGATGTCCATATTGTCATATAGATGTTTTGAATATACCTGGTGCTTGATTTTGATTATTTTATTCATTACATAACAATGCCTCTAATCTATTAAATATTTGCTAAAGGGAAATCAAATATATTAAAATGTAAGGCTTAGTTCTCTCTACTCTCTCTATTCTCTTCATTCTTTAAAATAATTGGGTTTTGCTTAACAAATAGAATTTACCATTAATTTTTAAATTCAAATTGATTAGGCTATTAATTTAGTGACTTGCTATAATAACCTATAAAAGTTTATTAAGATCAGTTGTTTTATGTATGATGATAAGAAATCACCAAGTTACTATTAATGAATTATTATTAAATTAGTTGCAATTAGAAAATATATTAGAAAAGAAACATCAATAGATATATCAAGATTGTACTGATTTGACTTATAAAACATTTTTTTTTTTCTTAATTTGTCTTTTATTTGAAGATAAAATAAAAAATAGAATATGTAAAAGGAGACAACTAAGAATTGTAAATCTGGCCTTGATCGAATAATCAAGATATTAGCATTGAAATTACTTTATGGAGTAATATTATTATCTAATAATGCCTTTATATTAAATAATATTAGTATAAAGTAGTGAAATATGAATTCAAATGTGATGATAATAAATTGTCAAACTCAACACCAGATGAAAAAGTTAAGTATGTATGGTTAACGACTTTTCAGATTTTCGATTATTCCGTGCTTAAAGCTCATAATTAACAAAAAGTGTAGGTTTATTAATATGAAAGCTTAAGTACGAGTTATAAAAATAAACTGGAATTATTGAGATTTATGAAATATTAGTTTCGAATTTGATTTAAATTGCTGGAGAAAACAATATAATATAAAAGTTTTTTAGAAATGAGTATTAGATCGATTATAAGTCATAATCCCTTATAGTTTAGATGGGTTTTGCAATATATAATATATATAATAATAAAATATGAACGTTTAATAAACAAAGACATCATCACTTAAGGACTTTTAAATCATTTAAGAGTTAGGAAAGGGATCATTTAGTACAGTGTACAAGGTATATTTGGGTTTTAACGGTAGGTGAAAAGAATAGCGGATGGCTAAGAATATGCATTAAAGAAAGTGAAATTAGGATCTTTAAAATAGAAAGAAAAAGAGAACGCACTAAATGAAGTCAGACTATTGGCTTCGATTAATAACAAGTATATAGTAGCCTACAAAGTAACATAACGAGTGATAAATCTAGGAAGCCTTCTTTGATGATGAATCCAAATGTTTATGTACTGTAATGGAACTTTTATCTGGAGGTGACGTGTATCGTAGAATCACTCAGGCTCTAAAGGGAGGCCCTTAATTCTCAGAGTAAGATATATGGAAAGCCTTGATTCACATGATTTTGGGGTATGAGTTTGTAGTTAAATAGATTGAAAACACTTCATGATTAGAAGATAGTGCATAGAGATTTAAAATCAGCAAATGTTTTTCTTTCTCGAGATGGAACTTTCAAATTGGGAGATCTGAATGTGGCAAAGGTAGCTAAGCAAGGATTTGTTTATACTTAAACTGGAACACCATATTATGCTAGTCCTGAAGTGTGGAGAGATGAACCGTACGATTTGAAGAGTGATATTTGGTATTTAAATTTAATCATATATAAGGTCCTTGGGTTGTGTTCTTTATGAAATGTGTTGTTTGTAAACTCCATTCAGAGCAAAAGAAATGGATGTCCTTTTTCAAAAAGTCTAAAAAGGGTTGTATGATTAAATACCAGCCAAATATTCAAAAGATCTAGCTTATGTCATATCTTTGTTATTAAAAACGCAATCTTCTTCAAGACCGAATTGCGAAGAACTATTAAAAATACCCATAATCCAAGGCAGAATGAAGGACATTGAAACTTGCATCAATCATTAACCATAAAATTAAGAACTTTTGAAGACAATATAAATCCCAAGAACTATTGATTAATTGAATTCTCAATTTCCAAAATCTAAATACGAAAATGAGGTTATGAGTTTTGAGAGAAACATTGAAAATAAGTCAACAGAAAATTCCTCAAGTCCTTTCAGATCTCCACAATAAATAACTAAGACATAGTAGGATTCTCGAATAAGCTAAGGAAAAGATCGATAAGTCACTGATATCACAAAAAGTCTAGCTTACATAGAAAGACAGAACAAATATCCTTTGTTAGTTGAAGGACCTAGACCCTCGGCATCAAGAAAAATTGAAAAACCAAAATCTGCTTAACCTTAACTTCGCTATGAGAAAGAAGAAAAAGGATAACAATTAGGAAATTCAAGTATAAAGAATTCATAAGTGAATAATAAATACAAAGAGTCTGAAAACCTTAGGATGAAAAGGGAAAATGAACTTAAAGCTTTATAAGAACAATAAGATTTAAAATATCGAGAGTTAAGAAACTTGAAATAAGCACGGGAAGCTTCAAAAGGAATAAATGCTGAAAATAGACGAGTTTCTCCTATTTCCTAAGCAAAATAAAATGAATAATAGAGACCTTATCAATAGTAGCAAAGTGTATAAAGGCAATCTTATTCTCCTATTACTCGAAAAGTAGAAATACCTTAATATAATAAGTAAATATATCAAATGATTTTTAGTAATAGAATAGTATAAAGTCAAATATAAAGTAGACCTCAAATAAGTCAATCTATTAATATTAGTAATCCAAGTTTATAAATTCATTCATCAATATCTCATCAAGAGATTCCAACCAGCAAAAGACAATAAATCCCACAATCAGCAGCTCCAATTACTTAAAAATACTCAACAAACCAATAATAAAGGCCAATATCAGATAGATATTAACATCCGTAATCCGCATTACCATCAAGAGTAGATTAGCAAAAATTAGATAGATAATAAGTATTTCCAGTTCAAGCAAGAGTTGTTAAAACTAAATAAATTGAACAAAAAAGTTAATAAACAAAATAGACAAGGCCATTATCATCAAATTTAACACCTAATGAGAGATTAGTAAAATAAGAATATTAGCCTTAATATAATTAAATTCAAGTAAATTATAACCATTATTATCCAATTGAAACCTATTAACGTCATGCATCAGATTAAAACTTAATCAGATATTAGTAATTTGATTATCATATATTTTAGGTAACGATAATAAAATAAATAAATAAGGCAGAATGTAGAGGGTAGAAAAATATGATAATTTATTACTATATCAATAATTATCAGTAATATTAATTTTTATTTTTTACCTTGCATTTTCTATCAATTGTAAATCAAATTTGTTTGATCTACACACAAGACTACTTAATCAAATACTATTCTAATCATTTTGGAAATGGCTTAGAACCTTTTGATAAGTCAAAAAACCATTCTTAATTTTTAAATAGTTGATCATTGAAATCTTAAACTTTTACATTTAGAAATTTATTTTGAAGTAAAAAATACTTAAATATTTTAATATAATGATTCATTCTAATTTCATAACTGTTAATAGATTAACATCAGCCTTATTATATAATAAGATATATTCTCCATTTTAGCCGATTCCTAATTTATTATATTCCCCTGCAATAGACATTTGATGAACAAACTTCTTTTCATTTTAATTGAATCTCATAACATCAATTTCTTTACTTTCCTTCTTTTAAATAAGCAATATTTTAATATCTGTATCATAACAAATTGGTAATTGATATATCTGATTTTCAAGGAAGGTGCTAGCTTCTACTTTAACGTAAGCTTGTTCCTCATTTTTTTTAAAGAAGTATATTTAGTTTGAAGAAGTCACAAAGAAAATTTCATGATCGATGAAATAAACTTTATTATTTTTATCTGGTTCTAATCCTTCAATTATTTATTTAGATTGACCCTAGTTATCATCGGAAATATTCCATATCTATACTTTTGAAAAAGAACTAGAGATTAATTCACTGGATATTGGATTGAATGCTATTGAACTCATCTAACCGAATTCTTTGTTTTCTATAGTTGACACTTTTTCCAAATCATAATTCTATTTTTTTAAGTAAATTTCAATAGTTTTGTCATCTCCTGCACAGAATAATTTAGAATCATCATCACTAAGCGTCAAATCAACGATGCCCTTACCATTGTGCGTTTTAATTTATTTCTTGTTTTTTCCATCCTTCCTCTTTTAAAGCCCATATATTTAATTACCCATTATCAGTACCATAATATATATCATCACTTGTTTTAGCAAATTTCACACAAGTCATTAATTCCATATCATCATCCTCAATATTCTACTTCATCTTCTGCAGAGTGTGATCTTAAATTTTTAAGAAATGGATTTCAAAACTTTCTGAATAGGCTATAATGTTATTATCTTTATTAATCGTAATAAAGTCAACATTAGATTTATCCATTATTGATGCAAATATTTGATATTAAATTTTTTGCCTTACTTCCTACAATTGTATTTATTGTTAATTTTATTGTTGATTTTGTTGTAAATTTTATTGTTATAATCCTGTACTAAACTAGTAATCATTTATAGCTTTTTAAAGCATTGCTTGAAATGCTTTTTCTAATTCTAAAATATTTTTTTTTTCTTCCTAAATTTAGTGTAATGTAGTATCATCTTTTGTAAACGAATTACCATTCTATTTGAACTTAACGAAATTTTATTCTTGATCTTAATAATCCTCAACTTTTCTTTGTTATTCAGCAAAATAAGATAATAGTTATTCTCTTTTTTTTGTAACAGTTTCAATATGGGAATTCATACTAATTTGTAGATTCTCTTAGACTTCCAACATTTTTTTCTTTGCTTACCTCAATTTTTCTAATGTATCAACCTCATTTTTTTAAAGGAGAGATTTTTTTTTGCCTTAATATTCCTGCACTATTTCATTGACTTATTGATGGCATATTCTACACATAGGCTTTCCTTATTCATTAATGGATTCAATTTACTACTAATGATCTTTGCAAACTGAATTCATTCTTTGAATTATAAATACTTTTTTTAATTAATGTAAAATAAGATTTTTGGCAGCCCTATTTCTATTAAAATTTTTTAGTATAAATATAAATTAAATGTTTTTTAATTAATATGTCATCTAGAAATAGGTACTCAATCAAAATATTCAATTTTTATTTATTTACTTATCTCATCAGCAGAATGAAATTAGAATTGCTCGTATTCCTCTCCTCCATAATGTTTAGAAACAATAATATAAAATTAACTCAGCAATGATAAGGAATTCTAGATTATTTCTTTAATTTAAATCTAAAATCTCAATAAATTATTACTTATATCTAATCGAAAGTGCTTTTATCTAAAAAGTTGTTGAGTTTAAGATTAATCTCCTAAATAAAATCAATAATATTTTCATAAAAAAGGGAATAAGACCTCTTGATCTGCCCTTATGAGATCAGTAAATTGAAATCCTTTTGTGCCTACCCCAATTTCTATTCATCCTTTTCTATTAATTTTATTACAATTTTTACCTTCTACCAATTTGTGCTACAAATATTAATAGTTTCTAATATATTAAATTAATGTTTTGGCAACAATAAAAGTCATGTCTTTAACAAACTAAAACAGCATCAAATTCTTTTGATTCATAAGGTTATTCTTCCAATCAACTTCATATTAATTAATTTTAGGCATCCCCTTATATACAAATTGAAAGAAGTTTGTAATGTAAGTCCATAATTTCTCAGGAGATCTTAATTCTATCCATTAAATTTCAGGTCTCAATTATCCTGTGATTAATTATAGCAAAACTGCTTTTGTTTCACTAAAATCAAGTTCACTCTCTTTTACTATGTAGTCTCCACCTAATTATGCCAATCCATCACATAAATAGATGATATTCTTTAAATAAAATACGTAGCTATCAAATTTAACCTAAAATAAAACAGTTATTTACATCAAATTATTCTGCAACTAATTTCAACTGAGAATTGATTTCCCTTAGAGTTTCTCCAGCCAATTATCTGAAAATCACTTAATCCACTGATCTTTACATTTTAGTTATCAGATCTAATCCAAATATCACAGCTGGATAAAGATCACTTCTTTAGATCTCGTACCCTTTTGGAATAGGTTAGGTTTTTAAGAATTTATGAATCACTAATTTTTATTTTTATCTGATGTAATCTTTTGGGGAATACGAATATATTTTCTATTGAATTTAAACCTAAGATGATTAAATGGATTTGTGGATGATGTCTAAATTTATTTTTTCCAGAAACAAGTTCGTAAAGATGTTTAAGTAGTTCTAAAAACACTCCACTATTTAGTTTTAATCCTATGAATATAAATGGTTTCTATACTTTTCCTTAGGAGATGATTTGAAATATTGGAAATAAATAATCTTTTTCATCCAATGAATTCTCTTTTATTTTCTAAAATACTTTTGTAGCATGATTTTTCAATTACAACAACGATTCACTAATCATGACTAATTAATCTAAATTATAGATCTTCTATAAAAATATTCTCATTGTCTAATAGTAATTATCAAGAATTCTTGATAGATGTTATTTATCATTTTCTTTAACAATCCTTAAATTTAACCTGAAAAACATTCTTGAATAAAATGATTCAATTACTGTTGTCTCAAATATAATCCCGCATAAAGCTTCGAATATGAGTATTTCTTACTACTTCTATAAATGTTAATTACTAACCAATTTTTGCTATATTAAACTCTAATTTATTTTATGCAAAATCTAACCTGTTTAATTGAGATTGCTTGATTACTTATTAATCAATTCATTGATTTGTTAGTGTAAATTTAATCTATTGTAAAAATTGTATTATAAAAATACATCATTATACAATGAATATAGATCCTAATCACCTTAAATTTGGGATTCAATGTAAAGAAACAGATCCTTCATTTATTCTGTTATATTGAATTTTTAAAATTCCTCTTCGTATTAATAATTATTCTTGATTTAAGGATCCTTGAATTTCAATTGTGGAATCAATTATGGAAATATAATTTATAAAAATTATAACTTTAATGGATTGGGTTGAAGGATATTATTATCATCAGCATTAAAATCTTAATAGCCAAAAAAACGTGGAGGATAAAATACACAAATTAAGTCTTTTAATTGAGAAAACTTTTAATTGATAAATTAGGATTCTTTGTTTAAAAGCTTCATTAAAGAACTTTTGCAAGTGCCTAATAATCTTTTCTTCAATTATTAATATTAAAGAATGCATTTGTCACTTTGATAATAGTTGGGTTTTGAAGAAAAGAAAATCATGCCTTCTTGAATCTCGCTGATTAACACTTAATAATTGATTTCCTTTTTGTCATCATTCTCTAAATCCCTTGAAATCTTTTGGATGTTATAGTAATATTGGATGTTTTCTTAAATTTGAAATTGATATTCCAATAACTCTTTTTGTTCATTGATGTGAATATTAGCTTCTTGATGAAATTGACTAATCTTTTGGACAATCTTGTCTTTATCATCATTCAATTTTTTCAATTAATCACATATTGTTTCTAAATTTTGTGTTATGCTTTGTAACGATGATAATTTTTCCTAATATTATCCTTAGATCGTTTCCAAACGAAAGAAGTCATCATTTTTCTTATCGCGTTTCTTATAAAATTAAAAATTAGTTGTCTTCTCTTTTTCTTAATAAACTTTTTGTTGCTAACTTTCCATTTCATCTATCATTGCTTATTCCTAAGGAGTTAAGGCATTGCTCTATTCCCATTATACAATGTTGATTTACATAATTATTTAAGAATATTTATATATGTATTAACAAAATTAAAATGTTAATTTCATCAATCCTAGGATGGAGTTCCTTGTTTTTAATCACAAATTACTCTCTCTACAAATACTATTTCACTTAACCCCTCAAGGCCTTAACATTAGCTTAAATTATTAAAAGAGACCTTTGGAAATGGAGATTTTAAAAATGGAAATCCTCAATAAATCGCTCCCCTTATTAAATAGAATTGAAATTTGGCCTAAATCACAAACCGATAAGTGGTAATTACGTATAACAAAATATTTAAACAATCGGAGAAACACACGCATTATTCATCAACAATCAGAATAATTACTAACATTTAACAAATATGAATGTGAAATAAATTAATGATTTTCAAGTTGGAATGAACCAATTATTTTATTACAATTTCCATTCTGATTACATTTTATTGTCAATATGCCACAAACTTGATGATGAAAATAATACCTATAATATTTTAGTGCAGAGTAAGAAGTTTACAAGAAAGGAAGAGGAAGGTAATTTGAAAGAATTGGCAGGAGAATACGTGTATTTTATTTTAAAATAAGATTCAAAAGTAAGGATTTGCTAAAATTTTGGGAATAAAACCATGGATATTGACTTTATTGATAGGATCATATAGCATACAATTAAAAATGAGAAGGTCATTGAATACATAGATTTAGATGGAACATGGTTTAATGAAAACTCTTAATGTATTTAAATTATATATAATAGATTGTAAATGTGTACTTAAGTTGGATGAGCAATACAATTTAATTAACATAAATAAAATTAATAATTTCGAAATAATTGAAAGTTAGAAAATGTATGATAAAATAATTGATAATCTAAAGAATAAAACTATATTATATATAAATTGAATATGAATTTTTATTAGATATTTTAATATAATTGATTCACTTTTTTCATAATTATAACTTCTATTAGACAGATCTTGGGGTAGTAAGAGTTTTAAATGATATAGGTTTTTATGGTATTTTTGATTTGATGTTATTACTTATTTAATGACAAGTCTTTGCTCCAATATTCCTAGTTGATAAAAGGTTGTTGTTAGGTTTTCTGATAACATATACATAAGATATTACCTTGATGAAGTGTCGTGGAAGGTCTGAGTCTTGCCTACTTTGCTATTGGATTTAGGTGTCATTTTGGAAGTACATTAAGTCTTCATATTTCTGGGAGATTTGAAAAAGTTTTCCTTTTTATCTTCACCAAAATGCACACTCTTGATTTCTCTGGAGGGATCTTTATTTTTCACCGCAGTTCTTTTTTTTAATTAGATCTTTTCATTTACTCTTTTATGTACTTCATAAATATATAATTTACATTAATCTAAGATTTGTTGATGTTTGAGTTTTGGTTTTGGTGGATCCAATTCACCACATTAATCAGGATGAATGATTTTTAACTGTCTTTTTTAAGATGTTATCAATTATTTAATATTTTTCATTTTATCGGTTGTAAGAATTTGTTATAATTTGAATTCTTTGATGATGTTATTATTATCTTATTGTCTTTCAGTCTTTAATTTTTCAATTTTCAAGAGTTGTTGATGAATATCATTGTTATTGTTCACTTTACGATTTTGTTTATCTTAATTGTGTTTTGAATAAGAAGGAGTATTTTGTAATTCATCAAGTACATTTCCAACAATGATTCCACTTTCAATGGTGTGAGAAGGAGGTGTGCTTTCTGTTTAGATTGGCTAATCTCCTACTATGCCTTTGGGGGGTTTTTCTGGATTGTTTTTGTTCTCCTCATCGATTATTTTCTAAATTTTGTAATATTCGAGCTTTCTTTTTTAATTGTAATATTCATTCAAAATATTAACAATGGAACCTGATACGGCCCATCTAGGTAAATCATTGTGAAACTAAGAGGTTAAATAAATTATTACTTTGTAAAATTCTGTTAGAACTTCCATTTTATTATCTAAACAATGAGGTTGATATACTTTTTTCATATACTCAACATCTTCATCCAACAACACTAAGTCCTATTTAAATATTGTGAATATGTACTTTGAACACTATGTTCGGTTTGGTGGGTTGATCCAAAATGATTTCATTGATATCCTTTGTAAAATAGTAATTTTGTGATTCAGCATATTTATTATAAAGAGAATTAGTGATCCTCTCTGGTAAGGATACTTTCTTGATAATTAATTTAATTTCAGTCTACCTTTACACTGCATTTCTTCGAAGTTATTGCCATATAAAGTCATCCGAATCGGCTAACAGAAAAGACAATTCATTTAATTAAAAAAATTATTAACAATAATTAAAAGAAAAAACAATATATCTTCATTTTCTCAAAGCAATGCTATTGCTTTTTAACTACTTTTAATTAACAATCTTTCCTGGTTGTCTTAAAATCATAGTGATAGATCTCTCTCTAGTTTATTGCACAATTGGTATATCCCCTTAGGACCCTTGTTTATTAAATGATTATCTAACAATACATCCTTACTTTTGAGACATCTAGGGTCTAGCTAACTTATACTATCATAAAATTACTTGGGATTTGAATTGTAGAAAGTATTATTGTGATTATGAAAACTATTATTGTTATTGTTATTATTGACTCTTCTCTTATTTGTAATTTATGAAATAAGAGCAGGTAAATCCAATTCTAATAATTTCTATGCCATAGATTAATTCTAGAAATTATCAATTGATGAATAGTTGACATTGGAGACTCTCTTTGGCTAATAGGGTTATTTTTCTAGATTGTAATTAATACAAATAATTACATGTATTGGACTTAATTTGTTATTGTTAACTAGATTTCTGCTTTTGAAGATACTCAAAACTTTCATTTACATTTTTTTTTATATTCCCTCTATCTTTTTCTGTCACTTCCGTTGTGATTGTAAAAGAATTACGATTTCTATTTTCTTTTTCTGACAAATTCCATTTGTTTAACTGTCTTCTTTCACCTTCGTTGGTATTCAAAGTTTCGAAAGTGACTGTGTGTTGTTTTCTTAACGACTGTGTGGCTTCTGGGATTTATTAGAATTCCTGGGGAGTATCACTATCGAATAAATTAGGAGCTCTTATGCTTAAGATCTATTAGGCTTGTAAGCATAAGTTACTGAGCTGTTTTGCTAATCCATTTTTATGAACTCATCCTCATCTGATGATGAGCTATTCTCTGAGGAGATATCAAACACTATGTTTTGTTACATTTTAAATTAATTATTTATAAAATAGCAGTTAATTTGATCTTGTTATGGCCATCATTTAAATCAACTTGTTTCTATGATTTGAAAAGGATCCATATTATAATGCAAGTAAATTACAGGTTGTAGAACACTTTAATAAAATTAAAAATAGGTTCTCTCAGGTTTATATCCTAATAGTATTAGATCTATTATAATATATTAATGTAAAATATAATACATTTGAATTTTTGATGTTGTAATGAGAACTTAATAGTAGAAGTTACGACATAATTATTTTTTGATTCTTCTGTTATTGATTACTTTATTAATAATTATTTCATATGGAGATGTTTGATGATACAATAAGAGAATTATTGAGTAAAAACAAGGATATTGCAAAAATTGTAGATTTAGAAAAGCTCTCCTAGCAACCAGGGTTTAGGATTGAGCAAAATAACAGCTACGTTTATATAGGATAGGTGTAAAATGGAATGAAGCATGGAACAGGTAGTTTTGGGAATTTTATATATAGGTATTTTAAAACTTTTAGACTCCTTAAGAATTTATGTGGGAGAATGGCAAAACGATAAAAAATGTGGGCTTGCGTATGAGAAATTCTAAAGCGGAGCTGAGTATTTCGGGAATTACAATAACAATAAATAAAATGGTTATGGAGAATATGTTTGGGCTAATGGCGAGAGCTACAAAGGAAATTGGGTAGAGGGCAAGAAGTGTGGTTATGGAGAATGGTTTGGATAAAATACTTCGTATAAGGGTGAGTGGAATAATGGATTTGTTGAAGGAAAGGGAGTGTATTAATCTGAAAATGGTATTTTTGAGCTCATAAGTCAGGGGATTAATATACAGGAGACTTTTTGCAATCAATGAAGCATGGATTAGGGGAGGAATTATTTGCTAATGGAGACAAATATGCAGGCAGTTTTAAAAGTGGGAAGCCAGATGGCTATGGAGAATATTATTGGAAAAATGGAAGTTTATATTAAGGTACAGTTTGATTTCATTGAAGGTTTCTTCATGGATGGCATGAGACATGGGCATGGAGTTTGGCAATCTAATACTCAAGGTAAAATTGATAGGTACGAGGGAGCATATTCTAACGATAAAAAAAGTGGATACGGAGAGTTTGTGTGGTCCAACGGAACTGTCTATAAAGGAAATTATTTTGATGATTATAGGTAGGGGTATGGTGAGATGTATTAAAATGGAGTTATCTTTTATAAAAGGAGAGTGGGATCGAGGAGTCTAAGTGGAAAAATCAAATACAAGATTTAGATTTTAATAGAAAATGAAGACTCAAGAAACAACAACCAGGAAATGGAAGTTCAACAACATAGATGAAATTTAAGAATTAGAAGAAGAAACTGTAACATCCGGAGCTGAAGCAAAAAACGAGAATAATCTCAAAACTATCTAGAAGAGTTCTCAATAATGTCGTTTGAAGACCTTAAATGTTGAGAGTAAACCATAAAATAATGATTATACTCCCATGAAACGAAGTCTTTAGTTATAAAAAAAGGCTCCACCTGTAATTTAAACGAGAAGTCGAACGCAATCTATGGGCAGTTGTAAAATACCAATTCTATAATAAAAATAAAGATCAAATTCGAATTAGATTACTAACAACTAAAAAATTGAATAACTAGTTAAATTGTCTCCTTATAAGCAAACCCTTAGAAGTGGAAGATTTAAATTATAGAAAATATAACTATGAAATCAAATCTGATATCATCTTTGTGAATATAGTAATAAAGTTTTTAACTAATCATTATTATTATAATCTTTATCTACAAACAGGACATGTATCATTTATTTCAGCCCATGGCCGAATACAATCTGAATGAAATACATGATTTGGATTGCAGGATAATGTAACAATTAGATCATCGTTATCATAAGGTTATAAACAAATATAGCAAGGTTAGAAGGTTTGGCTATTCAAATCAGAATATTTGATTTAAGTTCCTATTAATCTAATTGCTTGTTCTTATCTTCTTCTTTCTTCTTCTCTTCTCTAACGATTAACTCTATATATAAAAAAGGGCATTATAAAACATATAGCAAGCAAACCAAAAGCAAATATTGCTAATACAATCCATCCAAAAAGTAATTGAACAACTAAAATCCATTTACTAAGCAAGAGCGTATTTTACAGCAACACGACATTCCCTAACCCAAACATTATGATATAGACAAATTCATTGCATTTGCTTAATGCTCCATGATTTCCCTTTACTGCAGCCCAAACATCTATTTAATCATTTAATTGTTCAATAAATTATCTTGAGCCTTCTGAGATTATGTCTACAGTTTTTCTTATTTTGATAACACTAAATAGATGAAACGAGTATTGTAACAATCTCCAAATCAAATAAAAAATCGATGCCTTTTAATATTCATACAACCAAGGTAATGAAATATAAATTATGACAATGATTAATTAGATATTTAAGTACAATTAAATTAAATTTAGTGAACTGCTGATCTTTTTACACTACTCTTAGATTTCTACTAGTCTTTCTGAAATGATTAATTCATCCATTTTAATAAAATATAAATAAATTATATAAACTATTCAGTCTCAATTCCAACACTCATTAAATGATAAGAGAATATTTTTTTTATATATCTTTATTAAATCAATCAATAGTATTAAATATATTTTCTAAATTCAAGTATACGGGATTAATTTAAGATCAATCTTAATAAATAACAAAACTTATGATATTCATATAAGAAACTACTTTTAAGCATTTTCTACTATTTGCTGAAATTTGAACACTTCATTGTATGGTACCAATACATTTAGAGATAGATTTGATGTGGTGCTATCAATCTCAAATTCTAATCATTGTTATTCAAAAAATCTTTTTGCAAGTTACTAATCTAACAATCTAATTTTATTATGAAAGTCACTAAAATTGATGTATTTATGATTTAAATGAGATTCAAGTTTCATTAAGAATTGCTTCAATAGAAGTTGAGATTCTGATTTTTGTAATTTAATAAGATTTGTTCTTATCATCCTGAAATATAGAATTTCTCAGGCTATATTAAACTGTGATTATTCTCGTGGTAAATCAAATAAATTAAAAAAATATCTATGTTAAGTAATTTTATGGATTTGGAACCGATATGAAATCATTCTTTAAAATTTGCATTTTTTATTCAAAATGGATTTATAAGCAATAGTTTTTAGTGATTATGTGGGAAGATTTGGGTAAGCTCAATAAAGCTAAGTTTATTAATATATTATCACCAAAGATTATCTTAGTCTTGAGGTATATCAGTTATTAGAAGGTGGATTCATAATGAAAAGGGAATATTTGAAAGTAATATAAATTAATAATATCTTAATTAAAATATAATTATTGAATTGTGAAAAATGCAAGAATCAAACCATCCAACCACTTTTAACGGCAACTTCAAATTCTCTATCATCAGTTACACAAAAACTCATTATGTGATAATATTATTCAAATTCTTATTACGATACATTATTAGAGTTAAATAACTGATGATGGCTATCAAAAGTATCTAGGAAATCTATCAAGACTTCATCATCAGACATTTTTTGTCGAGGTCTAGCAAGAAAGTTTTCTAGAGATATATTATTTGATACTTTTCATATCCTAAAAATTAGTTGACTATAATTTTCTGTAGGCCATTTGAACTAAATTCAACCTCCAATTTTAGAATTCCCCTAAAATCTTTTCTAAAAATGCTGCCATAGAAATTTCATTTTCTATAATATAATTTTGTATTTAATACTTTGATTTAAGATCTATTTAATGTATTATTGATTAACTTAAATTCTTATGGAGTTGAATCCACCATATACCCCTTATGCATCATATCTAGTAATATTTCTTAACATATAAATTATGCCTCTATATCCTTTAGATTTCAACTTCTCTAATACATTATCAATTTTTTATAATTATTATTAGGCATAGGTTAACCCTGCAGGATTGATATTTTATTATCTTTAACCCTATTAGCTGCTTAAAGGCCTTAATGCAGTGCTATAATCTGTTTTTTCAGCGCTGGTTCCAAATGGTGCATATTGAGCTACACTAGTAGTTTATTATTAAGGTGGCCTAACATATGTAAACACATTGATGAGATTGTTTTCAAATTAATCAGGTTGACAAGCATACAGAATATGGCAATATTCATAAAATTCTGCAAATGTAACACTCTTGCTTCCCATTTTATGATGAGCATCATACGAATCTAAGAACTCTGCAAGTTATTCAGTTTCACTCTTTATCTATTTTTTAACATCTGGATGATTTCTTGCTTGATAACATTATTTTAATAATTAATATGGTATTATTCCATCCATGTCGATGTCCATTTATTCAAATATCTATTTAACAAGATTAGGTTAATCAAATGCTCCTAGCAATTCAATGAAGAAATCTTAGATGTTCACGCCTCCAATTTATTAAGGAAATCTGTAATCTCTCAAGACCTTCTAGACTTACTTCTCAGTCAAATAACCATCTTAATCATCGTCTGCTTGAAGCAATAACTTTTTTAAATTGATAAAAGCCTTTGGTCCTTTTTTAACGAGTGCTGTTCTCAATTCCGTTAAATCCAATTCATTAAAATCTAACTTTCTAATTGGAGTATAAATTGTGCTTCTTTCTCCCAACCATTAAGCCTTGATATTGCCTAATTCAAGAATGTGATTGAATTCATCAAATTAACCTTGTGTTAAGAATTTGATATTCTTGAATTTCATAAAGCTTTGCAAATATTTTCTGATTTTTGTCTTGTCTCCTTTAAACATGTCTATTATTTAATCGATATTAAATGAATCCACTTTGAAACCACTAGGTTTAACAACACCTCTAAATGCTTCTACTACCTCTTCTATTCTTACAACATTGTTTTAATTGAAATATTGGAATAGAGCTCTAACTTTCTCTTCAGGATATTAATAAAATAAGTATTTAAATTATGCGAAGTTATATTCTTTGGAATGCAATTGCTCCAGCCAATCAAAAAACAAATCTAAACCATTTTCCCACATTTTTTTTTAAAAATAGAATACTGCTGATTCTGGTGATTAGTACACTCTCTAAATAAAACTTTTGTAATTCAATTGTCCGTTCTACTGATAATATTTGAATAGAGAAGTGATTTGCTATGTAATATTATAATTATATACATCTTTGGGAAGAGTGATACCAACTTTTTCTAATACAGCTTCAAATTGTTATTAATTGACAACATTCGATTATTTAAGGTCATAGTATTGAAATGATTTTAATAATGTTTGTTCTTCATGAGGGGATTTCAGACTCAACCTTTTTTTTAATTCGCTTTCAAATTATGCTCTAGATTCTGCCATGCTTAAACTATAACAGAAATAATAATAATAAAATTTTATTTTTATATCATTTGAAATAGTGGTTATTATATCTATTATTGATTTATATCTCTAAATTATTGCTATTTATCCAATGGATTTGTTAATATTTATACTTATGAGTTAATAAAATAATGTTCTATATATGATTATTTAATATAATTATTGTTTCATATATTAATAATTAAGGAAATCAATAGACTAGATACTTTCAATAGATTGAAAGAAAATAACTTCACTTTCTTAACTGATCATTATTTAAATAGTAAGGAAATATTAGGGCATATAGTAAATTGATTCCTAAATCCTGTCTTAGCCGTGTAAATTAAACAAATAATTGTTAGTTACTTCAAAAATAAATATTGGTATTGTCAAAACTTGAGAAATTATGATTAAATTAGATGGAAACGGAAAGTAGTTAAGTATATTAAAAGATTCTATGATAAATTGATCAGAAAAACTCTAGTTTTAATAGTTCTTAATTATAATATTATAAAGTTCTATTGAATATTTGAAAATATGGATCAACCTAGGAAAGTGTTGCCATAAATGAAAGATTTTATAAATTTAATAAAATATAAATACTAATTTGATTATAATTTAAATTTGCGAATATTTTTGTTGGTTGGATTATTGTGAATAAATTGAAAAGAATGCAATTGCTTAATCTATTCTACAATAAATTGACTTAAATCATGAAATTGTCGGTAGTAAATGAGATAAACACATTGCTTAGGAAAAAGCTCATAAATTTAAGAGTAGCTTATTTACAATTTGATTCATTTTTGTTTTATTCTATCATAAGATTCAATGCTGATGTTTATTAAAACTTGTAATAGAAATATATAGTACCCATTTGAGAAATACAAACTAATTCAAAGAGTGAACTTTAGCTAAATCGAGAAAGGATATCGTTAGACATAAATGTTGATGGAATCACTATGGTAAATTAAAACAATTTGAAAAATTTGAATTTTAAATTTCAACTTCATAGGTCCATTTAAGATTTATTGAGAAACAAATGAAATATGGATTAAGGACAATGAAATTAGTTTAGTACAATATATTCAAAACTGATTATAAAATTTCACAATCAATTCATGATATTTGACATTTTTTAACATAAATTTAATGTAATTAGAGAAATCAATTCGGAAACAATTAATCTTGCCCAAGGTTGAGGGTTGCATTAAATTAGAAATCGACACTCAATTGGATTCTCCAAAACAAAGTACGATTACATTTTAATGTAAGGGGATTGGGCCTATACAGCGAGATCAGGAGGATCTAATGGAATCGGTAGTAGTAATGCGATCACCACGATCACGATTTCTTCAGGCAGGAGAATACAATTGTATACTCCGATGTAAGAAAGCAAGAGAGCTTAGAGATTAAAGAATATTCCTTATGAGTTATAATATTTCCAAACTAGTTTACCAACAAAAAGCTTTAAATCTAGTCATCTTATGAATGAAGAATTGCTTAAAAAGCCAAAAGAATAAATTGAAAATAAATAGAGATGGCAGTTGCATTCTCACTTTAATAAGATGAATCTAGCTTTAACTGAGTATCAGATCAAAAGATTTGAAAGATGTTTAAAAAAAACTGAATCGACATACGATGTGAATACAATAAAGAAACTAAATGAGGAAAACATAGAGAAGGAAAAACAAAAAGTAATACTATAAATAGATTATTAGAGAAACACACAATATAAACAAGCTACTCAAGATCTAATAAACTCTTTTACAAAAAAATTCAACATCAAAGCATTATATAATGATCTTTAAACAAACTAATAATAATGATTTTACACTTTGATTAAATATTTATATTAATTGCTTTATTCTAATCCACTTTTCATAGAGTTTGAATAGAGAAATAATTTACTTCGGAATTGAATTTAAAATTGATGATATTTGATAACAGATAAAATTTTCTAATTGAAAAACCTTCATTTAAATTGATGAATAATAAATCCAATAATAATAACTTTTGAACAACAAATATCGTTATTTATTATGAAGATGGTTTGTTTACCATATTTCTTATTTTAACTACATAAAGTAGAGATTCTCTCCATCCACATTTTGAACAAAGTGATCTAAAATGAGTGCAATAAATAATTTTAAACTTTATTATTATAATTAATAATGAAAAACCTTTATGGTTATTTTATCATCTCCATTGCAATCTCTATTCTAAATATAATTGCATAAGTCGAAATAATTTAAATCGTAAGACTGGCTTGTTGTGTTCTAAATATAATTGCTATAAGGATCGATAAATTCGTGTTATATGGACTAACTTTAAATAAGATAATATTGTTTTTGGTTGGAGTGCTCACTTAATAAAATGAAAGCATCTTTTAAATTATCCTCGATGATCATTTCCTTCCCCCTTAATTAAATAATAGACTGCTTATACTCTTATGGAAAGTTGTCAGTGGCTTAGCCTCCACGCTACTAGTCTGTTTGAAATATCAAAATGAGGACCTTATTACTCTCCCAGCAACAGTACTAATACCATTAATGTATTTCCTGCCGTAATCTCAATAACTTTTTGAAGAATACTTCTCCTCTAAAAATGAAAAAGAATAATTATACTCAAGTCCTAGACCCCCAATTACTAAAGAGTACTTTCGTATTCGTTCCAGGGTTGAAGAAATTGAATTCAACCCCATGACTTTAGATTAAAATAATACTTTAGATATCAACTAATTAATGCGTCGCATAGCATCTAGTTAGGATAGGTAATTTGTACTATAAGAGATAAGCCTATTTAACGAATAAGTTTGGAAATTAAGAATGAACGCTATGCCCATAGGTATATGCATAATAAGCAACGAAATTAAGCCAAAATTTATGAACAACACATTAATAAATATGATAAAAAAGAACTTCATTGAGTAGGGCGATAATAGCCTTGAATAAATATACTCCCTGTTTATGAATCAACTTTAATTCAAAAGAATTGATTATGTAGGACCCTATGATTTACCTCATTCAGCTATATTTAAGAATGAAAGATTTCACATCAAAAATCAATAATAACAAGGTTCAAGTCTGTTTGAAGATGAATAGTATTGTTTGAAAGACCTAATATGTAAAATAGAAGAAGGGTAGCTAGATCGATGCTTGAATGATGAGGAGTAAATTATTGAGCTATTTTCTACTTTCGAAAGTCCAAATAATAAAAGGCAAGTGTTTTTCGATTGTAGAGTTTTATTTTAGGAGAAATAAAAAATCGACTATATGGTTATAATTTAGGATGTTACCAAATAAAATGAATTATCAAAATTGGAAGAAAAAAATAAATTCAAAACCAAAGTAGTGTAATCATTCTCGCATGAATTGCGAACTCCGTTAAATAGCGCAACTATATTTTTGCAAACAGCAATTGGAGATACGAAATTAGATAGATTAATTAAGGACTAGTATTTACAACCATGTTTGGCGGCTTTAAAATTATAAAATCATTTAATTAATGATATCATAGATTTTAGTCAAATAAATGCAAAATTATTAGATCTTAAATTCAGTTAATTTAATTTATAAAGGATAATTAATGAAATAACTGAATAATTTAAATTTCAATTCCAATTTAAGAAAATAGGTCTTGCCTTCGAAATTAGCAGACCTATGTCTCTCTTAACCTAAATAAAAACAGATTACTAAAGATTATTATAAGTCTTAACAAATATCATTTAAAACGCACTAACCTACTCAGAAACTGGGTATGTGTTGGTGAGGATAGACAGTTATGATCTAAATGAGATTGAATTCTCAATTTAGGATGAAGGAATAGGATTAACAATGAAATAACTTACTTCAATTAGATAGATAATAAATTAGGAACAATAGACTACTACAAGATCATAATAATGGCAAGGATTTGGACTGATAATTTGCTAGATGTTGTTACGATACTTATCTCCAATTAATCGAAATAGTGTTTAGATTGAATCAGATGGTTAGGATGCAGGAACTACTGTTAAGTTTATTATTTCAAATCATGTATCAGCTTAAACATAAGAATAAGCGTATGGTTAGTAATCAAAGAAATCGTTTTCAAGAATGAGAAGCATGCCTACTTTAAGAGCTGAATATGGATTGTTGATTAGCGTTAAATCAAAATCTCCAAGCAAAATTTTATTGTCAAAAACGAGGGAATAGGATGAATGTGACTTATCAAGTGCTTCAATTAGAGAGATATCTGGTAAAATACATAGGTATGAATTGAAACATTGTTCAATTGAACTATTAAACTAAAGAAAGTTTTCATGCGTTACTCCACAATAAAAAAGCAGCATCTAAAGAAATACTGCTAATAAATTAAGTATTAGATAATCTTCATAGTAACTGTCATTCAAAGAGACTGGATCAACTCTTCTGTGTTGTAATACTATTTTAAGTGTCGATGATGAGGTTTTTAACTAAAAATCCCTACAATTGCTTCTGGGCTAACAAGGAATGAATGTGGATATTGTATAAATATTTTTATGTCAAGTTAGGTATTTAATGGTAGGTAAGCATTAGAGAAAGTCTAAAATCCTACCAAATGCTGCTCTACTTGTCCTGGCTATAAGATGATTCTTATGGATTGTTAAATGCCTATAATGGATGGATGGAAAACAACCGGGATGCTAATATAAATGATGCAAAATCAACAAATACCTAAAATTCCAATCATTGGCCTAACTGCGTTCACAAGTAATGAAGATATGGAGAAATGCAAAAAAGCCGGAATGTTGCATATACTTCACAAACCACTAGACATTTAAAAGTTTTAATTCATTTTAACAGAACTTCGTATAATTTGATTTATAATTATTTATTAATTATGATTATAGCCAATTACTAATGGATACTATTACTATCAAGAATCTTTTGATTTATGAAGACAAATATAATTTGGATTGGTGTTGAATTTAAATTAGGATTTACAATTTGAGCCAATGCAAAATACCTTTAAGTGAGTCTATCCAACTGACTTTTGTTATAATATAATTGATTTTAAATATACAACATATCGAAATTTAATTATTTACTCTTTACAAAAACGTTATTTTGCTCATTCAGTATTCTGTCCTAAAATGTATTTCAATTCCTCTGAAATTAAGAGCAAAGACAGTGCCAACCTACAACTTGCTTTCAGGATAATTTACGGTGTTCTCTATTGTAAAATTTAGATGTTAAGTTATGTATTGGTTTCAATTATTTAAAAGCCTTATGAAAATATCGTTTTTATTTATTTCTTAATAAAAAAAAAATGAAATTGGTTATTGGTTTAGCTATTTTATTGACATTGAGCAGTTGTGCCTCATTCTTGGAAGAATAGCAGCCCCTTGAAAATAAAATATATAAGATAAAGCTCGATAGAACAGAGTCATAAGCTAAAAAGTCATTATTTGATTTCATCACAACAAGCTAATAATACAGGAATTCTCCTGATATATTAGATGGATCAGACATGGCTATGGCATAAACACAATAAAAGGAGTCTATAAAGTTGTATAATTTTAAGAATACATAATACACCGGAGAAATAGGACTAGGTGATTAAGGGAATAAATTTAAAGTAAACATTTTAGCTATTTAGGTTATCTTTGATACAGGATCTGCTAACATTTGGTTGAATTCAGCTAGATGTAATGACTATGGATGCAAAAATCATAAACAATATGATGGCTCAAAGAGTGCTACATATGAGCATTTGGGATATGATCTAGACGTTGAATTTGGTACTGGTGAATTGATGGGTGAAGTAAGAAATTTGCTAAATAATAGATCAATGCAGATACTGCTTTTGTGGGTGGTGTGAAGATAGCAAAATAAGAATTTGCTGAAATTGTAAGAGAGAATGGTGATGTGTTTGCTTAATCTGATTTTGATGGCATTGTTGGATTAGCATATCCTTCTATGGCCGCATATAACTTCAATCCATTGTTTGATAATATCATAAAATAGAAATTGTTGGACAGAAATGTGTTTTCTTTCTATTTTTCAAGACAGGAAGGTTCAAGATCATCTGAATTAACTTTTGGTGGATGGGATACTGATCACTTTTAGGGAGAGTTACATTTTCACAATGTTGTAAATAAATATTATTGGTTATTGGATGCTGATAATATTTTAGTAAATGGATAAGATCTTGGATTATGCAAACATGGCTGCAAAGTAGTTGCTGATACTGGTACTTCTTTATTGACTGGACCATCAGATGATTTATACGGCTTATTGGGTATATTTTAATAATATAAACAAAGACACTTTGAACATCGATGAAAATTGTAAAAATGTCAAGGAATTGCCAAAGTTAACATTTGTTTTAGATGGAATTAATTATGATTTGGATGCTAACGATTACGTGATGAAGATTGACTCCTAAGGAAATGAAGTTGCTTATGATACATTTGCAAGTAGCGACAGCTTTGTTGAAATGGGGGCTAATTGTCAATGTGTCGGATCATTCATGCCTTTGGATATTCCATCACCTAATGGTCCAGCCTGGATTTTGGGTGACACTTTCCTTAGCAAATTTTATTCAGTCTATGACAGAGACAATGATAGAGTTGGCTTCGCAAGAGCAAAATGATATACATATTCTATCAAGAATTTAAGAACAATTTATTATTATTTTGAATAATCTTGTATTAATATCATCATTAATATTTGGGACTCTATCCTGGTCTTTGGTTTGCTTACTAGGGTTATTATTGTTAGAATTATGGTTGTTGAACATTACCTGCAGCTGATGGGTATACTTATTGCCATCCAGTTGAATATTATTGAGTGGTTGTTGTCACTTGACCATATGCATTTGATGGTAATTACCCATATGCTGCTGTTGTAGTTGGTGGGAATTATCCATAGGGGGCAGTTGTTGTTGTGACTGGTAATTAACCATAATTAACCTGGGGTGGCAATTATCCGTAAGTAGTTGTTGTTGCTGGTAATTAACCATAAGCAGCTGTTGGTAATTGTCCATAAGAAATTTACTATGGGATATATTAGGATGTTGTCACAGGTACTGTGTTAAATTGGTTTTACGTTGCGGGAATGTATTAATTTGTTGTTGTGGTGGTTGCATATTGAATTTAAGCTGGCACTAAATAAAATAAATAAATTTTATTTACCTTAATATTATTAGGTTGTCTATATTTATTAATAATCAATTGGTTATTATATTACGCTCTATCTAGTCACTGCCTAATATTCTGTTCTCTCTTTTATTGTTTCAACGGGAACATACTCTGTCATAGTTTGCAAGAATTACCAATATATTTTTCTTAAATAACTTAAGGAATGTGTTCTGTCACGTATTCAACTGCATAATAGTCAGTAATCTTTCTTTCTCTAGGAACATATTCAACAACTTCCTAAGTTACATATTCTGTCACCTCCTTTGTATAAGGAATATACTCTATTCTTGATTCCCCTTTTATAACCTAAAGCTCTTAATAATTTGTTTTACATTTCCTTAAGTAACTACTGGGCCACTTGATTGAATTACGGGTTATTAGGCATATGGTTGTTGTTACAAATATTGTGGATTTGCAATTAATCCAGTTTGTTAAAATGGAAGAGCTTAATTCGCAGTTCCAGGTTGAATCTATGAAGAAGCTGGAACCCAACCCAATGGTGGTTAATATCCTTCAGGCACTTATTAGCCACCCTATGGTAATTATGATGGAGTGGATTTAGCAGCTGGAAGTTATGAGGGACGAGTATTATTCATTAGATCTTTAATTAAATTTATTTTTAATTATTCCTTCGCTCCACTTCAAGAAGATATAAATTATTTAATATATACACCCTTAGCATATCATTAATTAAATTAATATGTAATCATTGGTTAAATAACTCCTAACCCTATCCAACACATCTGCTGCTAACTAATGGCAACAAATCGAAACAAGTAAATTCTTTTCTTTATTTAGCTCTCCAACCAAAATAATTGACCCCAGCTGAAATAGCTGATGTTGCCCACCATTTTGCTGTTAATAATTAGGGATCTGAACTTTTCTGGGATACATTATAGAGAGCTACTGTCGACCAACTGAGCAATTTCAATAGAGAACAACTAGCCACAGTATTCGACGCTATGATGAAAACTCCTTACGAAGTATAAATCTTTTCTCACTAGGTTCCTGATGATGTAGGAGAGGCTGTGACCAAGGCAATTGATACATTTTTCAATGCTGAATTACAAGCTAACCAAAAATCTGACCCCTACTATCTTTCCAAATTTTTATTACAATTCTAATCTGGATTAGGATAATTTGCACTCAACTTTGGACCAGGATTCCTCACTGGTAGAGTAAATGATGAACATCCTGAATAAAAACTTGCTAAGGGTGACGAAGATCTGTCAGAATCAAGCAATTCTGAATTGAGATCAGCATTTATTAAAGGAGAGCTCAGTTAAGAATAAGTGAATGAAGAGAAAAAAAAATTCCTCAATAGCATTTCAGAATTACTCGGCAAGGTAACTATTATATTCATAATTCAAGAATTAAAATGCCCAGGATATAACCAATTTGAAATGATTGGATAGAGATGCATATAAAAATAAATATAATAAAACAAAACACATTTATCTTAGATATCCAGATCAAAACGAGTAGTATTTCTTTCTACTTTCCATTCTTCCTTTTGATTCAAATCCCTAATTAATTATTATTTAATTTAATTAATAAATGTAAAACGAAATGGCTCCTTTCTTTTCAAAATCAGCACCTTATACTTAAGGTCCTTAAAAACAACAATAATTTGGTAGAAAAGACTAACAAGGATGGAAAGATTAGCAAGGGTGGAGAGAAAAGCAGGGATATAAGGATTAGTAAGGCTGGAAACAAGAGTAAAGTAATTACAGAAAAAAAGATGGAAAATACAAAAATACAAATTAAGAAAATTATCAATCATAACAATAGTATTATCCAAAAAATGTTATCGATAACAAAGATCAATAATAACAGCACACCTAATATGAATATTAGTATACAGGTCAAGATAAAGAGTAAAAAATTGAAGAATATTAATAAAAAAAATTCGAAGATTAATAGCCCCAATAAAGGGAAGAATTTGTGACTCAACATAGGGAAGATCAAACTGTAAAATAAAATGTTGAGTATATAGAAAAATCCTAATTACAATAAAATCATAATTAAACCTAGAATAATGAATAAAAATAATCTTTATCATTATAACAACCATAATAAAGTCAATAATAATTTTAATAACAACAGGCACCTCCATAATAATACTATTAATTCAATTAAGAACCCTAAAATTTGTAAAATAATTAGCTTATTTAACAACAATAATAGGTATATTAACAATCATCATTAATGTAAACTCCTATCCCTTACCAGCTATCATAAAATATGTTTTAACCTATTGCACAATCGAACCCTTTTGCTCCCTAATAACAACCTTAAAATATAAATGAAATGTATTATTTATTATTTAAATAGAAATGGGTAAGGATAAAACACCTAAAATACTCCATATGTGATTTAGTATTTAATATACCCTAATAAAAAAGGAAAGCAGTATAATCATTAATTTTTATTGACTTAAGTATTTTATTTATATGAAATATAGGAAAATTTAGATGATAATTATTAATTTCTAAAGTCATAACTTGATTGCCCTAAAAAAATCAATAATTGAGAATTATATTTACATTTATATCATAGAATTTCAATTATAAAACAGATACCTTGATAATTTCATCTAATTTATTTTCAGATATATTAGTGTGGACGCTTTAAGATTAAAAAGAAAAGATTAATTATAATTCAAAGAATTGTATTAATAACATTCTCTTTTAATTAATAAAAATTCATTATTTGAATGTCAAACGTAACAAGATCCCAAAGAAACCAATTTCTTATTGATTTTTTATCAGGAGGATTATCTGGAGCGATTGCAAAAACATCATGTGCCCCAATAGAAAGAGTTAAATTATTAATGCAAACTGCAAGCATGAATACAAAACTCACCAAACCCTATGCAGGGATAACAGATTGTTTTTTAAGATGTGTAAGAGAAGATGGAACTCTTTCCCTATGGAGAGGCAATGGAGTAAACGTACTAAGATATTTTCCAACTTAAGCCTTGAATTTCTCATTTAAAGATTTCTTTGCAAAGTTTTTAAAGAAGAATAGTAATTGTATAGCAAAATATTTAATTAATTTAGCGGAGCATTCATCTCAGCTTTTCTATAATATTTTATCGGGAGGATTGGCTGGAACATGCAGCACTTCAATTGTTTACCCTTTGGATTTGGCTAGAACCAGGTTAGGAGTTGATTTAGGAAGAACAAAGAGTGAGAGGTAGTTTTAAGGTTTAGTTGATTGCCTAACAAAAGTAATAATTCGCTGTTATATTTAGATTTACAAATCAGATGGTATAAAGGGCTGGTATTAAGGAATTGGTATTTGCTTTGTTGGAATCTTTATTTATAGAGGCTTATATTTTGGAATTTATGACACTGGAAGAGATAGGTTTTTCTAAAGTAATATTTTGTCTTATTTCAGATGGAGATGCAAAGTCTTTGATTATGAAATTTTTTTATGCACAATGTGTTGTCATCTTTTCTGAAACAATTAGGTATTACATAACATGAATTTTAAGTTATCCAACAGACACTTTAAAAAGAAAATTGATGATGTAAACTGCAGGAGTTTAAAGAAAATATAAAAATGCTTTTGATTGTTTTAATTAGATTTTAAAAACAGAAGGATTCAGAGGTTTAATGAAAGGAAATGCTTCCAATATGGCAAGAGCAATTGGAAGCTCTCTCTGCTTAGTTTTATATGATGAAATGAAGCGAGTAACAACAACCAATTAATAGAGATAATGATGATGTGTATAATCAAAGAATCCATTAATTTTAACTATTTATTCTCATACAATTAATATTTAAAAAACATGTGCATTTTTGATATTGTAATAAATTTGATGAATTTCAATACTTTAAGTTCTACCTAGGCTTTAAAAAACATGAGATGAACTTTGAAAATGATTGCAAAAAGTCCTCCTTTAATGAAAAGAACAAGTTGAAGTTGCAATCACAGAATAAAGAAAATGCAAATGATTTTGATAAAGTAAAGTTAATTACAATAATGGTTCAAAGACCTAATTCTTAAGAAACATATTTTTATTTGAGAAGCTATCATGATTAGGTTAATTATAATTATAATGAGGATTTATACTTTGATATTATTTTTAATAAATTATTAACTTATGTATAGACAAACATATTAGTATCCATCTAGAGCCTATCCTTAACAAGTTTTTGGATACTTATAGCCATAATATTAACATCAAGTGCCATAATTATATCCATAAACCATATATTAACCTTATTACGGAATCTAGATACCCGCAGCTCCTAAATATCCTTAACCATCAATTGCTAATTAGAATTTATAATCACCTTAAAAAAATTTTTAAAGCCCTTCTAGAGGCTTTGTATCACCTTCAAGAACCAATTTAATGTAATCATAATAAAATTCTCAATCACAACAAAACCCTATCCTATAATCGCCATCTAGAACTGGCTATTATACATATGAATAAGTAATGGAAAAAATTAAAAATGCTCATTCATATCAATAACAGTAGCAGAATTAATAGTGCATACCTTAATCTAGATAATAACAAGAAAATAATTATGGTATTCATAATAAAATGTATTATAGTAGAATCTAATCAATAGAAACAAGTACCAAATTAATAACTCATGCCCAAACAAGGCTTAGTTGACAATAAATAAAATATTGGAAAAGAAATTAAAAAATTTGAACCGAAATAGACCTAAGAAGATAAAATAAAACCAGAATAAAAATAACAAAATGATGAAGAATTAGAAGGTATTTGTAATAACAAATATTAGAATTGGCATTATAGTATGAAGATGGCTATATTTATAGAGGTCAAGGTTATCCTCCATAAACTAGATAAGGATTTGGCATGCTTACAGATAATGAAGGTAGAGAAGTTTATGCTGGCTATTGGAAATAGAATGTTTATGATGGATAGGGGAGGCTATAGAATTTATAAGTTGAAGAAATTGATGGTGCTTTTGATTGCAATAACATGACAACTATTGGAAATGGATGGTCATCGTATGAGGGTAAGGCATAAAATTCTGATATTCTTAGGCTAATTCGTCGGAGGCAAAATGTAAGGTTAAGGAATGATTGTCTTGTCTAATGGAGAAAAATATGTAGGATAGTTTGATGATGGTATGATTCATGGGGATGGTGAATTTACAACTTATCAAAACGAAGTTATAAAAGGTAATTGGGATCAAGGATATTTGGTACAAATGACTGAAGAATGAATTATATAAAGTGTATTTTTAAAAAGTCAATTTTTTTTTTAACACATTTACAAGATTAAGAATTTATAACAAGCTACATATCTTAATTTTGTTATTAAATAAATTGAGACAATATTATTATTTGTGATACTGACTTAATTAAGACTTGCATTTATTTAAAATTACTTTAAGATGAATCTAGAATGAAATAAATTTTCCAATTGATGAAACTCTTATTTTAGGATAAATTCCAGTAGTATTCTTTGAATTTGATATTAATTATTTTAAAGACATTATTAATATTTTATGTAGCCTGTTTTATAAATATAAATTAATGATATTCTCAACTTTTCTTACTCCTTTTAGAGAAATGACTGGCTAAAAATTTATTGGAATAATTTTTTGTTAGACTTACCATTTGCCTAAATTAATTTAACTAAGTTTAAAGTAAATTTTTTGTAAGTTATCCATGAATAGATTGCTAAAGCATAGTGCATAATGTGAGAATTCTAAATGATATTGAATAGTTTCTACCTTGAATGAAAAATTTTTGAGTTGAAATACTTAAATTTTTAGTTTCTTGCTTTATCTCAGCCCAAGTATAAAATCTCCTGCACAGCCTCAGAATTTAAACTCTTTTTAGCATTATCCTCTTTCAAAATAATCTATTAATATCAGAGTTTTTTATGTATTATTGAACCAATTCATTTTCCAATATTGTTTGCATGATGATTTTTCTCTATTTAACAGCAATCTTGTCCTTCAGATAATGTATATCATCATCCTTTTTTTGAGCTGAGGCTCAATCATTAAGTAGCCACAGGCCTGGCAGCATTGCATCAATTTCATCTTATCATCGAAAACACTATTTCAAAACAGTAGAAACAAGCTTCCCTTAAGCCAGTATAAAAACGAAATTTTCCTAATATATTCTATTAAAAATAACATTTAATTGACAATTGCATATTTCAATAACGAAAATAGCCTTCGAATTGGTAAAATCCTACATTTAAGGTCTAGTGCTTAGCACAACCAGCTCTTGAGGAAAAACTGACAGACATTTCTTTTAAAATATCTAATTTTTCCTTTACACTAATGTGTTTTTTCTACAGCAATATCTAATTTTTAAGTGTACTGAGTAAAAAAAAATCTTGTTTCTGACCATTCTTTTTTTCATCTTTATAATCCAATCCAAACCATCAAACTAATTTAACTATGAGATCAATAGAGAGATTTTTTTAAGAAGACATTCCTTAATCTCTTATTGAAAACAGTTCCTTTCTATCTAAATGCCATAAATTCAATATTAACTACAACTTTTGTGTTATAACAAATAATTAGAGCGCTCAACTTGACTTTTTAAATTGTTAATAATTTCGGAATTTAATGAATAAGATCTCTTAAAGAAGGGATTTTAAAATATATTCTTAAAACGTTAAAAGAAAATGAAGTTATTTTGCTTTGCAGAAAGAATAATCAACCAACAAATGTAATTCATAAGTTGAATTCATTATTGTATTGCAAATTCGGAGTTACTATAAAATATTTCAAAGTTGATGATAAAATGAAATAAAAGTTGAAATTGAAAATTCTTTTTTGGGTACTATAAGGCTTAGAGAAATGATAAATGTAATGGTGTCGCTTTATTTTTGGCCTACATTTCTCAATAAAGAGATTAAATCAATATTGCGAATAAATATTTTTTATTTCTTAAGTTAATTGGATAAGTTATGAACCATTTCACAAAGTTCTAAAGTCTAATACATTATTTAAAATTGCTTTTTTAATAGATAAAATCATTTCAATTGTACTTAATAAATTTAAAATTAATAATTTTTTTTTTTCAAGAAAAATGTTTTTTTTTATTTAATAGAGGACTAAGTCATAAATCTTAAAGTTACCTCAATAGTTTTATTATATATATTTATATATAGTTTAAAGAGTTAAGATTGATATCTTGTTATAAATGAGAATATATTTTTGAAATATTAATCTTATGATAATGATTGATGATATTTCAACTAAAAAAATTAATCGAAATTCTTTGATTTAGCTCATAATAATTACAATTATCAAAAAATGATAAGCTAATAACATTTTTTCCATAAAATGTGAAATTCTACTTAAATTAACAAGAAAATTATGTTTTTAAATTTAGAAAGTAATTATGTTGCAGTCACGGGACTCATCTTTCGAAAGCGAATTTTTATATCCTTGCCATAATGTAGTTTAGTTTAACTCTAAGATTTATGAAGATTTTTAAACTTCTTAATGAATGAGAAAAAAGGACAAAAGAGTTTGATTAGTTTGTTCATGGTTTAAGCATTGCTTTTTAATTTCGATGGCACCTATAATTGAAAAATTATTGTGTCATCTAATCTCTTTCCTTATATATCAGTGTTTTTATTAAAATTCGAAACACCAACAAAGATCAAACTCAATTCTTAATTTTGGAGGATAACATCTTTAATCTTGTAGATGTAGTTGCTTGAAGAAAAATTCCTAAACGAGAAAATCTTTAAATAAACATTCAAGATGAGAAAGAATTTATAAATTTCTTTATAATGTAATTTAAAATTCAAAAAATATAATGAATAACATTTCTTGGAATAAAGTTATCATTATTAAAATCAGATTTCTTAATTAAATTAAGAAAGACTCTTTTTGAATCATATTTAATTATATCCTATCGGAACGTTTTTCTTGGGTGGGAAATGCAATTTAGGAAGTCAATCCTTTAAAATTAAAGCAAGAGTTTAAAATTTCATTGGACTCATAATGAATTAATTGATATTCAAATTTAGAAAATTATAATTAAAATTAAAATAATGGTGTAATTTTGCGAGGATTGCTAAAAGGAATTATTACGTAGACTAATATAATTAATATTAAGCTTATGCAAGAATTTGTTTTTAATTTATTAGCATTAAGAATCACTTTAGATTAATTTATACTTACAATGCAAAAAGGGTTATTTTAAATTAAACAAGAATTTAAAATGAGATTTGGAACTCAAACTAATAAGAAATAAAAGAATTTAGTAAGAAAATAAATATTGATAAATTTCAACTGAGAATTAGGAAAAATTCATAAAAATTTTGTACAAAAATGTAATAAAAAGATGTTTAAAACAGTCCCTAATAAGCAGACTATTACTTTTAGAAAGGTAAATTTATACTATATTTTTTGTAGCAACAACTCTAGAAAAAATGAAAATATTTGGAGAAGCACTGAAATTTTACGATTAAGCTATTCAAACTAACCCTAATTTTTCAGTATATTATTAAAGCAAAGGTAAATTAGTTATTACATATTTTACAGCAAGAACTCTATCACAAATGAATAGACTTGAAGAAGCTTTGTACAATTATGATTTAGCCATCCTTCATAATCCTGAATTACTTGAAAATTACTATTTGAAAGGTAAATAGTAATCATAAAAATTTTAGCCTAAACTTTATAACAAATGAAAAGATTTGGAGAAGCCTTACAAATTTATGATTCCCTTATTCAGATAAATCCTAATAATTCTTTATTTTTTTAGGGCAAAGGTACATGGTCAATTCAACTATTTTTTTTAGCAAATACCCTATTTCTAACCAATAGATTTGAGGAGGCACTGTAAAACTATGATTAAGCAATTCATATAAACCCTGAATATTCAGTATATTATTAAAGCAAAGGTAAATTAGTTAATTACATATTTTTTCAGCAAGAACTCTATCACAAATGAATAGATTTGAAGAAGCTTTGTACAATTATGATTTAGCCATCCTTCATAATCCTGAATTACTTGAAAATTAGTATTTGAAAGGTTAATAGTAATCATAAAAATTTTAGCCTAAACTTTATAACAAATGAAAAGATTTGGAGAAGCCTTACAAATTTATGATTCCCTTATTCAGATAAATCCTAATAACTCTTTATTTTTTTAGGGCAAAGGTACATGGTCTATTCAACTATTTTATTTTAGCATATACCCTATTTCGAACCAATAGATTTGAGGAGGCACTGTAAAACTATGATTAAGCAATTCATATAAACCCTGAATATTCAGTATATTATTAAAGCAAAGGTAAATTAGTTAATTACATATTTTTTCAGCAAGAACTCTATCACAAATGAATAGATTTGAAGAAGCTTTGTACAATTATGATTTAGCCATCCTTCATAATCCTGAATTACTTGAAAATTAGTATTTGAAAGGTTAATAGTAATCATAAAAATTTTAGCCTAAACTTTATAACAAATGAAAAGATTTGGAGAAGCCTTACAAATTTATGATTCCCTTATTCAGATAAATCCTAATAACTCTTTATTTTTTTAGGGCAAAGGTACATGGTCTATTCAACTATTTTATTTAGCATATACCCTATTTCGAACCAATAGATTTGAGGAAGCACTGTATAACTATGATTAAGCAATTCATATAAACCCTGAATATTCAGTATATTAAGGAAAAGGTAAAATTGTAAATTCCCTATTATATTCAGCAAGAACTCTACAACAAATGAATAGATTTGAGGAAGCTTTGCAAAATTATGATTTAGCAATTACTAAAAATCCAGAATAGGAAATTAATTACTTGTATAAAGGTAAATTTTAAGAATCATATTTTGTAGCAGCAACTCTATAGGATATGAGAAGATTTGAGGAAGCTTTGTTAAACTACGATTTAGCAATTAAGTTAAATCCATTAAAAGCAACCAATTACCATTTGAAAGGTAAGGTGTAAATATATTTTGTAGCAACAGTTCTAGATCTAATGAATAATTATGAAGAAGCATTGTATAATATTGATTAAGCAATTAATTTAAACCCTGAATCATCAAAATATTATTCACACAAAGGTAAATTAATAAAAATTGATTATTTTTTCAGGAAGGACTCTATCACAAATAAACAGACTTGAAGAAGCTTTGTAAAATTACGATTTTGCAATTATGAGAAACCCTGATAAGCCAGACTAATTTTATTGGAAAGGTATATTAGTAAAGTCCATATTTTTCCAGCTTTAACACTATAAAAAATGAATAGATTTGAAGAAGCCTTATAGTATTTTGATAAAGCAATTCAGATAAATCCTGAAAATTCCTAATATTATTATAACAAGGGTAATATTATAAAATTAGTTTTGCAGCAAGTACGTTAAATAATTTGAATAGATATAAAGAAGCATTGGAATAATTTGAGGTATCAATATCAAAGGACCCTGAAACTTTGCAGTCTATTAAAGGCAAAGGTAAGAAGATCTATATTTTTCAGCATACACTTTACTCAAAATGAAAAGACTTGAAGAAGCATTAGAGTGTTATTCTTCAATTATTTAAGAAAACTCAGATACTGTCTACCTTAACATTGGTAAATATATATTAGGAAAAGCTTGAAGCAATGACTTTAATGGAAATGAATAGATTCGAGGAGGCATTAAAATATTATGATTTTGCAATTCAAATAGGCCCTGAAAATTCAGAATGCTACCATTGCAAGGGTAAGAGAAAAATATAATTTTACAAGCAATAACTTTATTCAAAATGAAAAAATTTGATGAAGCCTTAAATTATTATGATTTGGCTATTTAAAAACAACCTCAAAATTCAGTATATTTGCAAGGCAAAGGTATATTTTAACATTAATAATTTTTCCAGCTTATACTCTAAAATAAATGAATAAAATTGAAGAGGCCTTGTTTTATTTTGATTTAGCAATATAGAGCAACCCCGAATAACCAGGCAGCTTTAATGGCAAAGGTAAATGGTAAAATAAATATTTTGCAGCATATACTCTATTAGAAAGGAATTAATTTCAAGAAGCCTTATTTTATTTTGATCAAGCTATTTAGAAAAGCTCTGAATAAACAGATATATATTATTTTGGCAAAGGTAAATTTTAAATTCCATATTTTGCAGCAATTACTCTAAAACGGATGAATAAATTCGAGGAAGCATTATGTTATATTGATTTGGCTATTAAGAAAAACCCTGAAAATTCAGAATATTATTCTAAAAAAGGTAAATAGTAAAATTCTATAATATACAGCACTTACACTAGCAGATATGCATAGATTTGAGGAAGCATTAGAATACTCTTATTTAGCCATTAAGCAAAACCCTGATGATCCAAATTTGTATTAGCATCTAGGTAAATAGTAAATTACATATTTTAACAGCAAGTGTCCTATAAAATGTAAAAAAATGAGGAGGCGTTTTAGTTTTATAATAAGGCTTTACATAAATACTCTGAAGATCCATTCACTTTATTTTAAAAAGGTAAACAATAAAATTATATATTTTGCAGGTAATATTCTAAAAGATATGAATAAATTTGAAGAAGCTTTGTTTTATTTTGATTTAGCAATTTAGAGCAACCCTGAATTACCACACAACTATACTTCGAAAGGTAATTAGTGAATTAAATAATTTGCAGCATATACTCTAAAATAAATGAATAAATTTGAAGAGGCTTTGTTTAATTTTGATTTAGCCATTTTGAAAGATCCTAAATAACCATCCAATTACTATGGCAAGGGTATTTAGTAAATTAAATATTTTGCAGCAACAATTCTATAAAAAATGAATAAATTTGAAGAAGCCTTGTGTTATTTTGATTTAGCTATTTAGAAAAATCCTGAAAAATCTCTATATTATAGGGACAAAGGTAAAAGTGAATTATGTATTTTGCAGCAAATATTCTAAAATAAATGAATAAACTTGAAGAGGCCTTGTTTTATTTTGATTTAGCTATTTAGAAAAACCCTGAAAACTCAGGCTGTTAAATCGGCAAAGGTGTGAAATTTCTCTTATTTAGGAAATACCTTAGTAGAACTGAATAGATTGGATGAGGCATTGAATTATTATGATTAAGAAATTCAAAAAAACCCTTATGTTTCGGATTATTATTTTAACAAAGGTAATCAAAAACATTTAAATAAATTGATAGGTCTGACTTTAAATAAATTGAATAAAAATGGTGAAGCTTTGGAATATTATGATAAAGCAATTTAGCTTAACCCCGAAATGTCCAAGTATTATTATTATAAAGGTATTCTAAATATATTTTGAAAAAATTTTAGCCAACTCATTATATTAAATGGAAAGATTTTAAGAAGCATTGTTATCGTATTTTTTAGCTAACTAGAAAAATTTGAAAGAAATGGAAAAGTAAACCAAATTTGTATTTTAACATACCTCCTACTTTTCTGTAATTTGACATTATAAGTTATTAATATAATTACACTTATATTGTATTGTTGCTAGCCTACCTAGACCTTCCGTCTAGCCAAAGCGATATCGCTTGTCCAATCTTTTAGTACATGAGTTAAAAATAATAAAACGATTAAATAAATTCGCAATGACGAACTAATCTTGAATAAAGTCAAGGATAAATGCATTTAGATGAAAAAGGATTGGTCATTGAATGAAATTATTCGACACCTTGGATCACCTTGAAGAGTATAACCACAGATAGATTTGACACAATAATGTTTTTAAATATAAAGATAAAACACATCTTTGATAGAAGCAAGCTTTTATAAAAGTAATTTGAATGAGTATGTTTAGAAAATGTAGATTATGATAACTCTCAACAAACAAAGATGTCAATCAATATTTTCTGCAAGATTATTTTCAGCACCAAAACCAAATCAAAGAAGCAATCCTTGAAATTCTGTTTTGTTTAATCTATCAGGGAAATCCTTGAATAGTTTCTATTTCGTTTTAAATTTAGATTTTGGTGGAGTCTTTTTTCGAAAGATTATAAGTTAAATCTGGAATCCATTCTTGCGGCATTTAACATAATTCTAATTGAGCCTCTAGAAATGGTTCTATAGCTATGAATAGCTTTGCTGTGTTAGCATATTAAATCCGATGATAATAATCTGTTGAATGTGATCTAAATCCCTAGGTTGAGAAAAAGGGTTTATAACTTTAAATAATAAATATAAAAATCAAATAAATGAATTAAATTCATTGTGATTATTAATGCACGCAATTATAATGTCTGGAGTTATCTAAATCAATGGATTCAAACTGAATAATTTCCACATTCTCATCTTGCGAGATCTGAAAAATGCGTTACAATGCTAGTGCTGCTAGATGTTTATTCGAATTATCGAATTAACTAAATTAAGTAACGTAAGAATATTAAAATCAATCCTGGTTAGTCATCTACTTCAATAATATTGGCTTTGATATATCTAGATTAATAAAATGTTGATTTGCAAATGTAATTCAAACTCTTAATAGAGGTTTAGTAAAAACTAGTATCATTCATAAGTAGGATTACTTATCTCTCTGCAATTATTTTTATGAATATATCTATCATTATTGCTAAGTCAATACCATCTCTGCTTAGATTGCCGTGCTCTCTTTGAGACTTAATTAATTTTTCATAGTTCGCTTTTATTCTGGATCAATTATTATCTAGATGTTACAAGTTCATACATACACTAAAATCATAATTGAGAGCAATACCTACACTGCAGAAAACATTATATATAGTTTGTGCATTCTTAGTCTTCAATTGTTTACAATTTTATTTCATATTAGTTATGTATTATTTTAGAATTATGCCTTTAATGTATGAATTGAAACAAAAAAATAAATTATTATGATATTTGATAAAAAGTTAGAAATCAAGGATTCATCGAGGGACTAGTTTATTTTATGTATAGTATTAAATGAATGAGGAAATTGTGTTTCTCATAAACTCAAGTTTCTCTTTTTATTAAAGAGGATCTTTAAGATACAGAATAATCCAAAATTATTAAAGGTTAATCCAAGTGAGAATACATTCACGCAAACTTACGCAATTTATTTATGAGTTCAATTAGAAAATTAATTCAACATAAATGAGGTGAAAATATATTAGCACCTAATTAATTATTTCAATATTTTACATTGAAATTGTCTATCAAATTGTATTGTATTTATATAAATTAACAATAAATAAAATTTAATTAATTCTTTATATTAATAATTATATATGTTATTAATTCTTTTCAAACGTTTTGATTATATTTGGGGAACTAGAGTTTATATTATAGATATACTTAATAACTTGATAAACAATATTGACTTGATGTGTATGTTTAAGTTTGGCCACCATGGTACTTTGGATCTCTCATTTTGACTTATATTCCATTTACAATTAGGATTGATTTAATTTCAAAAGGAATATTTCTAACTTAGCTTGTTTGATTTCCATTACAAATTCTCCAAACTTCTCCTTAAAAATTGCAATCACTATAAAATTCTACACAAGGCTAGAAAATCTCTAAAGTGAATCTCTTAGCCCCCCAAGCCTCTAACTTAAAAAATTATAATACCATTATCTACATCCTCATCAAAGTGACCTTGTAAAGTTAATTTCAATGACGTTTTTCCTTATGGTAAATTAAAATTATATGATTTCGAATAGAACATATCTTGATAGCCAGAATTGAAACACATATTAGTTCCCAAGTTAGCAGCGTAACTAACAGTATCTATAACTACATCATTTACTAAGACTTGTAAGTAATCATAACCTGCATCCCAACTATCGAGTTTTACACCTGTGAAATTAAAACGAAACTTGAGCCCTAGTATATTATTATTGAATTATAATGATATTTGCTCCGAACATGAAAATCGGCCTTTAAATAAAGTTCCTGCGCAATCTGCTACCCTATTTGACCAATCGTTATTGTAACAATCACCACTTTGAGCATCCATACAATTTTGATAAAAGAGGATTGGATAGAGAAACAGAATTTTTATGAATGAAACCTCAGGCATTAAATTTCAATTTGAATTTATTAATAATTATTAAACATATTACTCACAAAATATCATATCTAATTATCTAATTGAAGATAGTAGGTGTATAAATATTTAATAAATAAAGTAATTCCTGTTATAAATTTATATTGATTGACTTTGAAGGAGATGAAAAGACACTTTGAGTTTAGGGACAGTGAAAAATGTTAGCGTTTTGAGAATATTATCCGATTCAAGAATCACATCGTGCCTACTAGTAAGATTAGACCAAGACAAGTGCCTACTGCCAATGACAAGTGCCTACTGCCAATGACAAGGAGATTACCATTTAAGATTAACATTGTAAATGCAATGATGCATTAAAATAATAAGTAAATTAAATAGATTACCTAATTCAAGCTTTCTTTAGTCAATATTAGCCTTAAATCAGAATATTAAGTTTTGAATATTCGATTTTCAATTATTCATGTTTTCTTTCTTTTAGAGAAATTCTGCTTTCTATGTTCATTTTTTTTGAATTTCCTTTTTAATATTGACGATCTTGCTATTTTATTGAGTCAAAGAAAATTCTAGGAACTCTGAAAATAAAAGTTATCATATTATTTTACTTGAATTTATAATATAAACTACAATATCATTCAAGATTGAAATGATATTCAATTTGAAAATAATAATAAAATAACAAACTATTATAATCAGAGAAGGTTCAACTAATATATGGATTATCCTCAATCTGTATTTAAAAACAAAATTATCAATAATTAAGATATTTATCTATATTTTATTAATAATAAATGTTTTTAGTTTTTTTGCAATTAAAATATTATTATGGGGGGATTTTAATATAATTTGAAAAAATAAACTTCTTTATTTAGATGGAGATTCTAACAAATTTTAGTATTAATACATTTTAAAGTAAGATATAGCAAATCTTTACAAACTGGCTTTAGTTAAGAAAATTATTTCTTTTTATTTTTGGTTTTAATTTATTTATTCTAAATTAGAATTCTTCCTCGTGTGCAAAGCTTATAATTAAATTTTTGCATTACTCCCAACTATTGTATTACTTTTCAAGGTAGCAAAAATTTATCAAATACTTAAACCGATGGGGAAACTAGGACATACTTCAAAAAATATCATTTAATCCTTGCTATTTTTGTCACGCTTTTTTCACTTTAATTGCATCACTGTTTATCAGAGACCGGATAAATTTATTGCCTCAAGTTATTCGAATGTTGATCTCATTACACAGTATTAAAGCAAAAGGATCTAATCTATCTCTTAGATGAGGTTGATTTTGCAAGTTCGAGTATTTTTTATTTTATTGCTTACCTCTAGACCAACAATAATTTTCAATCTCTTTTGTTGCATAATTTTTCCTTGTGAAAGAACCTAATAAATGTGAGGTTTGGTCTAGAACAAACCCTAAATAATAATTTTTGATGATAAATCATATGTCATTGTCGACAGCCCCTCATCTTCGTAAGGTCGACACTTACATTACAGGAGTGTTTGAATATTATGTATTTATCAATTGCTTTGGCACACAATGGACATATCATTAGTTGGTCTAAGGCGATCCTGGCGAATCCAATAGAATTTAGTGAGCTTATTTCATAATCTACAACA